AGAACCATTTTCCAAAATGATGTTTCTTTTCGAATTTCATTTTCAAGTTCCTTGTCGATAGTATTAGTATCGTTTTTTTCTCCAAAATTTATACACAGCACATGCTTCCGAATGGCCACTCGAACAACTGTGTTGTTTAATTCTTTCTGATAAATGCTTCCAATCTCTAATTCCCGTACACCAAACATTATTCCTTTGTGAAGCAAATAACCAGCAGGGTTGACAATAGGCAGCGTCTAGTATTTTGGAATAACACAACCAAAAACGATTAACTGGCCCATATTTAGAACACGAAACGTAGTACGATTTTGAAAAACACCTATTGTTCTGGTTGATGTCTGTTGGAAAAGGTCCTGAAGGCTGTAAAGGCCCCATATCAAGAATTTGACGTTTTTCGTTATCACTTAATATCTTCTTCGTGAAGTTTCCCAAGTCATAAGAAAATTTGTCATACACATTTCCGAAAAATGTAGAGGTCTGTGGTTCCTCCAAACCCTCCGCTCTATTTGTGTCATGCAAACATCATCCACGTTCACATGATCGGCGGTGGAGGTATCTCCAACTGCGATAATTGTCGAATCTTCTTCAGTAGGCTTCTCAACCAGCACTGCAGTTACCACATTATTTGAGCCGCTATCAATAGAAATATTTTGGCTAGACGTACTTGCAGAAGGCTGACTAAAAAACTTGTCAATTTTGGGCAATTTTTGTTTACTATCTTCTCTTTCTTGGCGTTGTTTGCGTTTAAATGCACCACTGGGTTTCTTCTTTTTATCCATAATTTTAGTTTTCTAATTTATTTAAACAATACAATATTAGATTGTGCTCGAGTAGGTAGGTACTCACTGTTCACTGACGACGTTAAAAGTAAAATAAAAGGAAAGAGAAACACAATGATACGCAACAAGTGTCGTTGGGGAATCCCCGGAAAACAATTATCACCGTTAGTGTTACCACATTTAACGGTGGAGACTGTGTAATGGTTGGCAACTGTTACGCGATCTTTTAAGGCGCATTTTGTCATCCCGTTGGAGGGATGCGAGAGAGAGAAAGGTAGATGTATGTTTGATATAATCGGGAGAGGGTCTCCTTGGTCTTCTAAGAGCTAGAAGCACTTACTGGAAAACAATGCCTATTTCTTTTGTTTTTAAATAAAGTTAAGTTTTATTGTTTTAAAAATCTGGTCTGCTTATTTATTGGAAAGGAAAGGCATTACAGGGACCATGAACGATCTCCTGCCCACGGACCTGAATTAATGTGCCTACTGCAGGTGACTTGCATTTTTTCACGATATTTCGCGTTATACAATGAGCTGTAGCCAAAATCTATAGATTTGACACGATTTATTGACTTAACGGAGATCAATATGAGTGGTAAAATCAAATAAAATTGAACCACTATATTGACCAGTACAAAAAAGTTTATTAACATTAGCTTACTTACTCCTGATACAGCATTAATTTTTTAACCGTTCTCGAAAAAAAAATCTTAATTCGAATTCACAATTAAACGCACATCGATGAATAATAAAACGCACATATCACTATCCGTAAAATTGACAACACTGCCAACCTACAGAAAGAATTTAGGGGAATTCCCTAGGCATAACTTTTGAATTTCTCTCAACCATGGGTGAAAGCCCTTATATAGCAAGAAGGAAAAGAGAAAAACCTGGTACGTAAAACATTTCATTCCAGCATTTTTTTCGAAAAAAATGAAATATCTGTAACTATTAAGATTTCTTTTATAATTCTGGCATATATATAAAACTGCTTCTTTTCTAAGATAAAGTAGATATTGTTGAAAAATTTAAAAAAAGAACAAGTAAACTCCTCCCCAAAACTAGCTATAACTGAAATGGTTTTACTACCAGCCTTTCCTCTTTTCTGTCTCGCTTTCACCCCTGCTCTCAACTGAGTTGTCATGATTAAAGTGGGGTTGCAACCTGTCATATATATTTTGAAAATGGGAGAAATTTCCAAAAGTTCAGTTCGATCGAGATTTCTGGTAAGGATTCGAGGGCCCCCTGAGCTTGAGGGCCCCGGGGCACTGCCCCGCCTAGCCCCGTGGTAGCTACGCCACTGAGTACAATGTAAAAAACAACGTACGTAAATGTAGAAAATGGCAAGAAAATAGAATAAAAAAGTTNCGTATACGCATCTCAACCCAACAAAGACAGAATACTTATTATATCCAAGATACAGATGGTAGTGGTCGACGTAAGTTCCCACAACATCTTCTCTTTAAATCCAATGGGCTATAACCTTAACTTTCTTCTTATCCACCATGTTATAACTCTGAAGAGTTTTAACATTATATTATGTATATATGTATACATTTTTTATGTATATATTTTTTAATCAAGTGATATCTTAACGCTTCAGTTTCTTGCGATTATGTGTTTAATTTAGGAAATGGATACACTATCTGGTCAAAAGTATTTGGACACCCAGTGGGATGGACTTAGAGCGTTCAAAGGCACATATTAATGATTTTGGTCCCCCTTTTGCGTTGATGTACGCGTCTGGGAAGACTTTTCCACCAGTTTTTGATAGGAATTGACTTCCATTACAGCTGAAGTGAGTGCTTACGGTGAGGATTGGCTATGCAATCTGCGCTCTAATTCGTCCCAAAGGTGTTCTATGGGATTGAAGTGAGTGCTTACAGTGAGGATTTGGCTGGCTATGCAATCTGCGCTCTAATTCGTCCCAAAGGTGTTCTATGGGATCAAAGTGAGTGCTTACGGTAAGGATTTGGCTGGCTATGCAATCTGCGCTCTAATTCGTCCCAAAGGTGTTCTATGGGATCAAAGTGAGTGCTTACGGTGAGGATTTGGCTGGCTATGTCATCTGCGCTCTAATTCGTCGCAAAGGTGTTCTATGGGATCGAAGTGAGTGCTTACGGTGAGGATTTGTCTGGCTATATCATCTGCTCTCTAATTCGTCCCAAAGGTGTTCTATGGGATCGAAGTGAGTGCTTACGGTGAGTATTTGGCTGGCTATATCATCTGTTCTCTAATTCGTCCCAAAAGTGTTCTATGGGATCGAAGTGAGTGCTTACGGTGAGGATTTGGCTGGCTATGTCATCTGCGCTCTAATTCGTCCCAAAGGTGTTCTATGGGATCGAAGTGAGTGCTTACGGTGAGGATTTGGCTGGCTATATCTTCTGCTCTCTAATTCGTCCCAAAGGTGTTCTATGGGATCGAAGTGAGTGCTTACGGTGAGGATTTGGCTGGCTATCATCTGCGCTCTAATTCGTCCCAAAGGTGTTCTATATGATCGGGGATTTGAGAAGGCCAGTCCAGTGTTTGAGCACCCATTTCGTCAAAACCACTGTACAAGCCTCAAAGTGTGAATGGAGCAGTTATTCTGCTGGAAGCGAAATGTTCTTTCCCCGAAATATTGTCATAGAGTTGGGAGTGCAGCTATTATCGTTGTTGTTTTTAACTTATAAGTGTTAGAATTTTTTAAAAAAAATGTGGTAAAAAGTAAAAATAATTTATGAATGAATTAAATACAAAAACTAAAACATCTTGTTAGAAGGATATAAAACATTAACTAAAATTACTGGTATAGTGAAAGTACTAAATTTCGAGTTGTTACAAAATATTTTAAGATAATAAAGAAATTATTAAAAACATGAATAAATATTATCTGGAAATGCTGATTGGGAATGGACGGAAAATTAAGGGTAAAAACATGAGACTGATAAAAAAATAATTACAGATTAGAAAAAAAACTCACGTTGTTCTTTATTAGCACGTATGAAAAATACATTTTTACGAAGTTTAAGTCACACTATGGATATAACAAAACTCCACAATATTTCAAACTATTATATTAACACTCTATAAATCCTTATATATAAATAATACAAATGGATGAATATGGATTGAGCACAGTTTATATTCGAGAACAAAATTTCCAAACTCTATGCATCTTAAAGATGGACCCCTTAATGCCCATAACTGTGCATCAGGGCACGCTCACACCAACAGAATAATTTCTTCACTCACGGAAAAAAGGAAGACTCTTGGATCTACAAAAGGTGTTGCCATCTTTCATAGAAGGAATCTGTTGATAACTCAGCTTAAAGGTGCCGCTGAGGAGGAAAAGTATAGTTTATCTTTGTGACGTATAGAGTGGGTGTGTTTATTGTGGCAAGGTGGCACCTCTGTGGGTGTTGACTGTTCCTTTTAAGCATTTTCTTGCGTTAATGTTATACAAGGTTTAACAGCAGCATTGTCCAGATTGTCCTCATACAGAGTTCCTGTTTCATGTTGTTATGGAGATCATGTTCAGAGTTCATGTTGCTATGAGGATGTTTCTCGGTGGTTGCACCGAGAAAAATCCCCATAACAACAAGATGTCCGGATACTTTTGGCCGGATAGTGTAAATAAAAGCATCGTAGAATGGCAACACGCAATAATATGTTTCGTTCGAACAGGTTGTGGTAACAGATAAGTTTCCCGTTGAGCTTCACTATGTTCCAAATCTGGATCAAGTTTGGGTTTTGTGCTGGAGGAAGACAGAAGACAGGGGAACCAAGACCATTCAAATAATCCGAGATGCCAGCCAGAAAAAGAAACACCACACTGTTCACCCCGAGCCTGTGGATGGACACTTTGATCTGGTGCCTTTCTTCTTCTTTTTTACTCGTATTCAATATTTCTTGTGATTATAATGACTAAAAATGAATTTCTCATTAGGTGAGCGGGCTCTTCATCCCTCCCAACCAAGATCTAGGTCACGGATGGAAGTACGGATATGTAGTGCATACCAACCAAAGAGGCATGTACAAACTCGACCTTCAGGGTATGAAGTATCTCAAGACGGTGGATCTCACCCCTTACAACTGCGCTCCCAAGTCAGCCGATTTCGCCTCCTTTGGTATGTCCCTTTTCTATTTGGTAAAAATAAAATATGGATGGTTGACCGAATAAAGCAGATTGCGCTAGAGGTTAAAATTCATCGTAAGACTTCCGGGTTACTATTTCCGATTGATTTTTAAGCCTAAGTATGAAAAAACGCCCCATATAATGTTATTATACTTTTTATTTTTATTTTATAACCGTCGTTGAACAGCGGACCCAATTTTATGGGTTTACGACAACTCCGTAGCTTTGTCATTTTGAATCCAATCCAGAAGACAAGAGAACTCTTGGATTGAGTATTGGGAGACGCCTTCGTGGAGGACTTTTTGATGGAGCTACCCGCATTTGCGTTACGTGGAGAGGAAGACCACGAGAATCTCCCACGGTTAGCCTGACGGCAAGGGGACTCTAACCCATGATCCGTCTACCACTGAGGATATTTCACGTCAGCACTGTGGTTGGTGCAAGCCGGACTGGGATTCGAACCCAGTTCACCTAATTGGAAGGCGAACGCTCTATCCCCTGAGTCATCGCGGCTCGTTATTATACTTTTTATTTTATTTTATAACCGTCGTTGAACAGCCGACCCAACTTCATGGGTTTACGACTACTAACGTTCAACTTCGTAGCCTTGTAATTTTGAACTAATCCAGAAGACAAGGAAACTCCTGGATCAGTACCCCCAGAGGTATTGATTTGTTGTGGGAACATGGAGGACTTTGAGACTTGACAGATTTAACGTGCATCATTCACCATTTACTACACGGCGAGTCTTCGGCCGGCGAGGATCGAACCCACGACCTCTTGGATATGGGCCCAGCGCCCTACCGACCAGGCTATCCCGGCCCCTTCGTTATTATACTTGTAGTGTTTTCAAAAAAGCACGCTCTTTCAATCTATCTTTCAACAAAACAAACAACAAATAATTTCGTTGTAGTTCATTTACGTCGCACTTAAGCTGCACAATGGGCTATTGGCGACGGTCTGAGAAACATCCCTGAGGGTGATCCGAAGACATGCGATCACAATTTTGATCCTCCGTAGAAGGAATGGCACCTCCGATTCGGTAGCCCGACGACCTGTGCTCAAAGTCTAACACGTTGCGACAGAACAGTTTAACGAGGATTAAATACCGACCTCCCTCGGTCCCATCGCAGGCTGATCTAAGTGTACCCCCACCTGCACACTGACCGCAGCCAGTGATGCTTGACTTCGGTGATCTGGTGGGAACCGACTCTTTAACGATCAGTCCACTGCGGGAAACAAATAATTTCGGAAGACTCCGCTGATAATTCAGGAAACCATTTTATAAACACGGAGATAAATTTTATTGTTTTTAAAAAGACTGAAACTTTTATCCAAGTCTAAAAAATTATTATTTGCATGAAATCTTTCACAGGTGGATTGGTGATACTGGAATGTCTGGAGCCAGTGACGGGAAGGCCAACGGGTCAGATTGTGCTGGACTACCTGACAGACACTGTGATGGTGCACGGAACAACGCTGTTCGGAAAACCATATGTCTCTCCAGATTCCAGAAAAGTTGTGACCTTAAAAGCAGATGACCACAGTGTTCTCATAGTAGCTCAAGAAATCACGGAGGACGGTACGGTTATATTTTCACGTTATGTTCATTAAGGCTATTTTTCAAAGTCACTTTTTTCTTGCTATTTCCATTACTGCTGTGGGTACATGGCTATCTATGATTATTTTGAAAATGACATTCTATGTAGAAAAGCCACAGTTTAGTGAAAATGATAAACTTTCTATAAAGGGAGCCAATCCCGCCAAGAAGAATGAGTACATCTCTACTAAATTTGAAAAATTTAACCTCCCCCATTTCGGCAAATAACAAAAATATACAGAAAATTTTTATTATGAACCAACCAGGGCTCGAAAAAACTCAGGAATTTTACCCGTCCCCGAGGACGGCTTGTTTAACAATGTACCCGTCCTCCTTTGAAACTAACCCGTAGCTTCCAAATCAGTGTTTCTTAACCTTTTTGATGTAATGGACTCCTTTTAAAATTTTTTAAGAAGTCGCGGATCACCCCCCTGTGAAAAGAATAATTGCAAAAAACATCAATTATTAGAAAACACTTAATTTTATTATTTTAATAGTATACAAAATTTTTAAAATTAAAATTTTTAATGTGAAGGTTGCTGCTGCTTTTCCTTAATTAATAAATTGAATTGGGGGATGGTTTTCGACAAAGCAGCATTCAATCGATTTCGATGTTATGTTTTTATTCTCACAAGTGTGGAAAATCCCGCTTCGCAAAGATACACTGTAGCAAACGGAATTACAGCTGCCATAGCTCGCTTTACAAGCAATTGGTAGGCTTCCAAACGTTTTAAAAATTAGGAGCAGTCAGCGGACCCCCAAAATATAACTCATGGACCCCTTAGGGGTTCATGAACCACAGGTTAAGAAACCCTGTTCTAAATAAATAAAAATATAATTTTCTATTATTTATTACAAACATTAATATATATTGTTACTAGGATTACAAATACATTATACAGTAATAAAAGAAATACTAGGTTATTAATAGTAACCTAGAATTTCTTTTATGAAATCATTTATTTCTTTTATGAAATAATTTAAATGACAAAGGTCAAGTTATCTGGAATGTCAATTTATCCGAGGGTACTGCGTTTTTTAAATGAATCAAATATGACCTTTGCCGGTTCCACAATCATGCCAATGATTTACAGAAGTTTCTGCACAGAAATCTGAAAGAGGTTTTCCATTTATGTAGATGTTCATAAATGCGTTTAACGCTTCTTGTTTAAGACTAGTAAGTAATGTGTTTTTTTGTAAGTTCATTGCTGAAAAGCCCCTTTCAACCGCTGCAGTACTCCCAGACAGAGAAGGCCGTTTNAAATTTTTGTCTATGCTGCCAAATTTGCGATGTTCTTTTAAAAAAAAGTTTAATAACTTTTAATAAAACATAAGTTATTTGTCCATTGTAAAGTCTTAGATGATTCTTTACGGAAGATGGTACATATAGTTTAAAATAATAACTTTGCCTCAAGTGTCAGACACTTAAACGATGACTTCTTTATTTCCTTGGCAAAAAAGCTTCAACTTTACTGTTAAGGAAATATCTCATTTTTTATTGTTTCTTTATTATTGATGAAAACTTTTAAGCTCGGAAACCGTGTGAAACTCAAAACTTCTTAAAACATAGTACTTAAAGTAAGAATCGTTGAAATTTTAAAATTGCGATCGAAATTGGGTTACAGGTGGCGTAGAGCAGAACTCTCTACCTATGGCAACACTTCGCATGCTTTCTCCATTAGCGTGTGGAGAGTCATGGAAGAAGGAAGTACGTTAGTTTCTGTCTTGATTTTCACATAGATTAAAATCTTTTAAGTTAGGAAACTATATGGAACTAAAAACTACATTAAACATAGTTCTAAAAGAAAGCGTCATTGAATTTCTAAACAATATTTTTAACAATTAAACACGAAAAATATTAAGAAAAGGAAAAATATCGTAGTACATTCTTGTACAACTGATAAGAGGAAGAGAGGGAAGGGCCAAAGACATGGAACCGGTCTTCTCTCCAGATGGCGTATTCGATGGAAGGAGGAAATAATATCGTATTACATATCAGCAGTGGAAAGGAATCTAGACTAGAATGAGTATGGATTGTTGACCTTGAAAAGCTAATCGCAGATGGCGCTAAGGGTTAAAATTCCTCGTAAGACTTCCGGGTTACTACATCTGATTCATTTCTTGAATAAATATTATTATTCTAATAATATTTATTATTCTAATAATATTTATTCAATCCGTCCAATATTATTATTCTAATATTGTTCGCAATATAACGCGTTCTTTCAATTGAAATTTCAACGAAACAAACAACAAATGAATTCGGAAGACTTCGCATGATGCAACCCAAACAATATCAAACTGTGCTATCTTAAACAAATATAGCCAAATAAGGGATAATACTCAAAACATGGCAAACCTTATTCTTTATTTATGTTTTGTTACATAATTTTCTTAAATTTGTTCTAAGCTTACGATTTGTTAGAACTTATAGATTACAGACAGTAAACTCTTGTGTATGGTAAAATTAAGAGTAAATTTAAACACAAATCACAGCAATAAAAGAATAGAATATTCTTTGTGATTTGTATTCTTTCATTATTGTGATTCTTTCTAGAATAATAAGCCTCTTCACACACCACTTCGCAAACATAACATAAGCGGAGGAATACATCGGAAGTTTTCTAAATTTCTTCCGGTTTTAGTAAGCTTGTTACTGTTTATAGTTTGTCTATAGTAAGAAATCCCTTAGCCATTCGCCTGAACCGGTGACTATGGTAACGAGATATAACTATTTCAAGTAGGGGTGTGGGGTCATTGTTTAGAACAGGTTTTAGTTCGGGTTCTGCGAGAGAAAGGGAATCTTCTTCTTCGGTCTATTGCGCTAGCTTTAGAGTGAAGAGAAGCTTCCCTCCATGAAATGCGCTATTCTGGTTTCAATAGCAGTCGACGCCCTCAGACTTTGTGGAGAGGGGAGTTCTTACTGTAGACAAACTATACGTTCAGTCATCTCCTCAGATGACTTTTTCGAGTATTGCGATCTCTTAATCTGCTTACTTTTCTTCTTTTAATTTATTCAGGACTTCGATTCCTGTTTGACGTGAAGACAACTCTGCAGATCGGCGACGTCGCTTTCTTTCCCTCTCGTGCGAGTCACGGTTATGATCTATATGCGACCTCCTCTTCCAAAGAGGACATTCTTTTTGTGGACCTCACGGATGGCAAAGTGGAGATGATTACTGGGATCGGGCGTCCTGCTCCCCTCCAGACGGCACTCTGGGGTAACAGTAATCGTCCCATCTTCAGTTCCGGCATCTTTGGAACCTTCATGATAACAACTGCCGAGGACGCCATCTTCGTAGTGAATGGGAAGACGAGGACTGTGAATTGTGAGATTGGTTCTGTCCTCCATCCTCGGATGATGGTCTGGGTGAGGGCACCCTGACTGTTAACTTTCTTTTTAAAAAAAAAAGTTTCTTTATTTGATATAAGTGCCGCAGATAGAGTTTGACAACGTTCTTTTCCTTCCGTGATTTAAACGAAAAAAAGAATGAGAAGATTCATCGTACAAATGTATGCGCGAAATTTTTTGTGTTGGTGTATTTTCTTCCTTTGGAGAAAATTAGGACATCTTAGCAGACGATTTATTAAGTTTTTGGGTGAAAAACAGTTTAATTCTGAAAACTTTGCGAACAGTATTATTAAATTTTGGATAGAAGAAAACGACTTAATTCGAAACATCTGAACACTTTTGCATTAAATTGAGTGACGAAGAACAATTTAATTCTGGAAAACTACATTAAGTTTTGGAGTGAAGGACAACTTAATTCCGAACTTTTGTAATAGACGTGTTAAGTTTTTTGATGAAATACAGTTTAGTTCTGGAACTTTTCTACATATTTTTGCAAGTCTCGTAAATACTTCGTTGATAAAATCAAAGTTCTTTTTTAATTTGTGAAGAGTTCTGATAAAAGTAAATGATTTATTTCCTCTCTCTCTCTTTCTTCTTCTTTAAAAAAAATTTTTTTTTACGATCTCACGTTTCTCGAAATAAAACTTTAGGTCACTAAGGCATACAATGAAAAAGAAAAATAAGCACAATCAAATTTAATAAACAATGTTCGTTTATAAAATTTGCTAATGTTTGCGAGGTACAATATGAGAAGTACCATACAAATTATAAGAACGATTTAATGTAATTATATTTTAAAAGCATTATAATTACATTATTCGCGGGTACTAATCTATTAAATTTATGTAAATAACTTTAATCGGATTCATTTTTGTGATTGACTATACATACAAATAATTAAAAAATGACGACGCATTTCCGATATTTTGAATGTTCTAACGTATATAGATTTGAAAAACACAATGATTTACCTTTAATTACTATAGTTTTGTAAATACAGATAGCAAAAATGATTGCAAACACAAGGAAATATTGAGTATGGCTTCACTTTTTCACAACTCTATATTGCCTTGTGACCAATTCTTAAGAAAAGAAAAAAGGTTTCCCTTTAAATTTTTATAGGTTGATCACACAAAATTCTACATTATGCCATACAACTAAAGAAAGAGAGAGAATTTACGAACTCTTTTTGTTTATTATCTTAGTCAACTGATGTTATTGAGTAGATAAAACAATAACACTGTATAAAAAAATAAATAATGCTAATAGGAAAGAGACAAACATTTTAAGGAATAGTTTTTTCTAGTCTCTCTTAGATAGAGGCGTTTACTAGCCAAACTGTATTTAAAAATAATTTATTTTTACTATAAATAATTCCAATTATTTTGTATGCACAATGTGTTTCTGTTTATCGTTCGAATGAAATAAAAAAAAAGGGGGTTGTTTATGCATCCACTTACGAATGCATTTATAAGCTCTGTGTTATACACTACTTGGCCAGAGGTGCAGTTGTTAATGTCATACACTTAAGAGGAATCCATTTTGATACTTTAGTTGCTCGCTATTGAGCAACAACGACTACAAACAAACTGGTTTAATCTTAGCTACTATTTATTGCAATTTTAATTTTTGTGTGCCACAAATTACATGTCCATTTGAACGGATCATTTTGATTTATTTTGCAATCCATAAAAATCAATAACAAACTTGCAGTGGTGTCAACTTATTGGACAATTGGAGACTCGAGTATTTTTTTCAACTTAATATACATATATACACTATCTGGCCATGATGTTTGTCCCCCTTTTAGCATCGATGACAGCCTGCACACGGCTGGGAAGACTTTCCACCAGTTTTTCATAGGAATTGACTTCCATGACAGCTGTGCTTTCAGTGAGGATTCGGCTGGCTACGTAATCTGCATTCTAATTCGTCCCAAAGGTTTTCTATGGGATTTAGATCGGGGATCTGAGAAGGCAGTTTTTGAACACCTATATCGTCAAACCATGTCTGTGCAAAACCCGATGTGTGAATGGGGCAGTTACACTGCTGGAAGAGAAATGGGCCGAGCATTGTCCATATAGATCTAGTTCGAGTTGGAAGTGCAGCATTGTCCAAATAGATCTAGATCGAGTTGGAGCATTGTCCAAATAGATCTAGTTCGAGTTGGAGCATTGTCCAAATAGAATTAGTTCGAGTTGGAAGTGCAGCATTGTCCAGATAGATCTAGTTCGAGTTGGAAGTGCAGCATTGTCCATATAGATCTAGATCGAGTTGGGAGTGCAGCATTGTCCAAATAGATCTAGATCGAGTTGGAAGTGCAGCATTGTCCAGATAGATCTAGACCGAGTTGGGAGTGCAGCATTGTCCAGATAGATCTAGTTCGAGTTGGGAGTGCAGCATTGTCCAAATAGATCTAGTTCGAGTTGGGAGTGCAGTATTGTCCAAATAGATCTAGTTCCAGTTGGGAGTGCAGCATTGTCCAAATAGATCTAGTTCGAGTTGGAAGTGCAGCATTGTCCAAATATATCTAGTTCGAGTTGGGAGTGCAGCATTGTACAAACAATAGGAGTATGAGAATAGGAACACTAATAGGAGAACATTCCACAAATAGGAGATTGTTAGTGACATAATAGAACAGTGTTAAATCTCAGCCCACCACGTGTTGTCCAGTAGTAAAGGAAAATTTTCACTTAATGATAAGTAATTATTTACATGAAATGAAAAAGAAAAGATTTTGCAGACGAAAACATACAAACATAACTTATGGCGGCAAATCTATTTTCAAAGTTAGTATTTACAGATGTACAGTGCGCAAAAATTCTTTTTTGAAAATATCTGAAATTTGTGCAATTTAATTTCTCATGAACTATTAAACCGATTTTGCTCAAATTTTGTATTTTGCCATGCAAAATTACATTTTTTAAAATGATGCAAAAAATTGTATACCTTACAATTCAAAAATTTTTCGACAATTATTAAATAAAATAATACTTTTTGCTTGGATAAACGAGCTTTATAATTTTGAGTAAAAATTTTTCAATTCGATTGAAAAGTTTTCGAGACATAGCGGAATACGTAAAAATAAAATTAACATTAAGGGGTCTAAGTTTTCTAGATTGCGGCTAGCCCCTATATTTTGGATGTCAGAAATCCGAATTCATCGAGAGAAAGAAATGTTTATTCAGAAAAAGTAAGTTTTTGTGTCTGATTTCGTAACTTAAAATATCGTCTGTACAAATCATTGTGGTCTCTCTTTCTCAAACCATTAAGATTGAGTACTAGAGTGTGAAGATCCGATCATTAGATCAAAAGTTATTTAGGATGGTCAGTTTGTTTTCCCCCACTGTACACATAATTTATTACTTAATAATAAATGAAACAGATATTTGTATTCCGATTTGTTATTTTCATCCAAAACTCGCTATAAAAAGCATTTCTTTTTTACTTCAAAGGTTGACGCCATTGCAGGTTTCTGCTATGCCTAAAATAATCTTAGCAATATCGACTTTAACCCATTAGTGCCCAATGTCCCTTTTTAGAGACGGTTTTAAGAATGCATCACAAAGTCAGAGGAATAATTTTCTCCTCATAAACCATTTTTAAATATTCTTCTCTATGAAATTTTATCAATGGCAACATGTGTCAAGCATTCCGTTGATAATGTACAAATTCCATAACGCAGAACTAGTGGAGTGCGCTCAATTTTTTAACAATTGTTTGATAGCGGAAGCTGTACTTCGTAATGAGGACACTAGTCTGTATATGTCAATTTGAGCAGACTTTTCGTACCATCCAGTTCATAATTTCAACGTGACATCTCAATTCTTCATTAAATAATCATTCTTTTATCAATATTTCAAGTTTTTGTGTAGGAAAAACAAACGATAACAAAAAAAAAATTTATTAAAATCTTAACAAATAATAAATTCTGTTCATGGTTTTTCAAGATTTTTGGAAGGGTGTTAGATTCAACCATTTTGTCTAAATTGTTCGAATTAGATTCTCCATTTCCAAATGCATAAATTTTACACGAATTTTCATTTCGAAGAAAAAGTTAAAATAATAATAACTACAGTTGGCGACGGGATGGAAATTATTTTCCATTACAAATTAGACATTTACATTACAAATTATCGCAAATTAGAACATTTTGCTTAGCACAAAACAGTTTGTTTACGAAACAGAGAGAGAATGAGTGTTGAAGATTAAATTCTTTTAACTATTCAAGCACGGTAACTGTTGTTAACTGCTTTGGAGTGCGTTCTACTAGTTCCATGTTACGGAATATGTCCCAAAAATGAATAAATATGATGAAAAATTGCGACTAGGGCATTAATAGGTTGATATATTCCAGGTGCCTATATAATTGTAATGATGATAAAGAGTAAACATGCATTGATTGTTTAAATGTGTAGCCAATCCGGAATCCTAAATTTTCAAAAAAATACTTGTTTAGCAGACTTTAAATTAGCTTTTTGAAAAAGCCCTACAAACACAAAGATTTTAGCCATTGACAATTTCAGGTTTCAATACCCTGGTGTTATTACGATTCCTGCTGTATAACAACATTATTTTAAAGGAGTCATTACGTAGTTGTAGAAAACTTATCCTTCTTGTATTGCATAAAATATGTTATTGTGATATTGTGTTCCATTTCATATTATATACGTATGATGATGATGACGAATAGTTGTGCCAAAAACGGTGCCTCCGTAGAAGGTCCTTCCACACTTAATAACTATTGAAAGAAGAAATGCTTATATAGATGTATATAAAAACAGAGAGATCAATTTGTATTCACGTCAAGTGTCTTCCTTATTTCTTTTGACAAAAAGTCATCCTTCTTTGGTTAAATAATTTTACTCATTAATTGAAAACACAGCTAGATCCACGGTTTGTTAAACAAAAACGGCCTTGTGTTGAATTGGCAAAGACAAATAAATAAATAAAAAACTATTCATAAGATGAATTTTAGTGATCATTATATATATAGATATACAACCGTCTCACTGTCATTTAAAAACTCGATGTTGCTATAATACAGTCAACAGCAAACTGCCAGCTATTATCACGAGATGAGCTCCCGCGATTAAACCAGTTGTTTTATTTTAATTTTATAATCAACGTTTAACAGTCGACTCAATTCTGAGTTAATGACTATGAATGTTCAATTTCGTTGCCTTGTAGTTTTGAACTTAACCCAGAAGACAAGAGTAAGCATTCGGACAAACTATCCTTTGTGAAGGACTTTATGAATAGAACTAACCCGCATTTGTGTTACATGAAAGGGAAAACCAAGAAAACCTCTCACGGCAAGAGGGTTCAACCCCTAGATCCACATAAAACATTTTGAACAAAACAATACTGTGGTCAGTGCGAGTCGGGAGCAGAAATCATCCCCGCTGAGGTTCGAACTCGGGTCACCTCATTGGGGAGGCATACACGCTATTCCCGGAGTCACCGTGGTTTTAGACTTGTTGTTGACGGTAAATTATGCATTGTTATTTATATCCAAAAACATAAATTTTCGTTTCTGTTAAAATAAATTAAGTATGTTGTATTTTAACTATTTGACTATTAGTACTGTAATTCTAAAACATAGATAGCAATCCCAAAAACATAGAATATTACCAATGTGTTTAGGTAATGTTCATTTTTAATAAAATAAAATTACATATAAAAAATTTACGATTTCTTTGCTTTTATTCCTTTTTTAAAAAGTAACAAAAAAAAGTCCTAATTTGAATTTTTTTTAACGCAACATCGGCAGCAAATCGTCAGGCAATCTACAAATAATAATTTTTCCGAAGATTGATATGAATTCATTTTTTGGAGTAGAAGACATTTTTTAAGAGGCTGTTTATTAAGCTTATTCTCCGAAATCACTTATTTTGCTATAAAAATTTTTTTTACAACATATAATTATTTTTTCTTAATTTAGTAAACAAGTTCAATTAAATTTACAAATTATTTAGTACAATTATTAAGAATTTATAATTGTAAATAACATGCATGCATTTCAGTCTTTAATCACATACTGGAAACAAAAACAAAAAAAATTAAATTGTTTGTAAAAATGAAACAGAACAGCATAAAAAAGCTCAATTCCTTTGGAAATCAAAATTTTTATGCCATGAAATTAGATCTTCTCTGATCAAAGACTAGCTTTAAATACGCGCTTACGTTTTCTTCTTTACTTATGGTGTTTTGTTCATGTGTGTACAAAACACTTTAACAAAGTGGGCACTGACTTTTATAACGTCTAGCTAAATAGTCACTCTATCATTTAAATGTTTGTGAACATGGAATGTAAAAATGAATGAATGTTTATGATAAAAATATGTATTTATTTTTGTTGTCTCAAGACTGTGTGTTGATTTTTACAAATATTTTATAGTGTCCTTTTTACCTGGCTTGTTAATGAAATGTTTTGTTCGTGTAATACTATACCATGTACTTGGCATATTTTTTAAAGGTACGATTGGTATTACAGTAGTTTTATTTTAAAAATTATTTATGTTAAATTTGAACTTGATTATATTCCAAATGTACAATACTTCTAAAACTTGTTTGGTATACTTTTATTATTCTAATGACATATAAAAACATATTGATTTCCCCCACCCCAATTAAAGACATTGAAATGCAACAAACTATTGCAACTTCTGTACAAGTAAGTCAAAAGTAGTTTTGATTCTGCTTGACATTAACTTATAAAACTTCCATCTTGAAGAAAAGATTCATAAGTTTTTCCCCCTTAAAACATATTTAGAGTTCCATTTGAATTTTTATTGGAAGCTATTATACTGTTGATTATGTGCAAAAATACTCTCATATTGTGCAACACTTTTAGAATCGCAACAACCACGAGAGATTTTCAATTTATTTATTTTATTTTTTAAATCAATGTTCTTCTCATGAATAAAATTCTTGTGAAACTGCTATCGTCTTGTTCTTAAAATCATTACTTTCAGTTAAAGAGACAAAAAAGTGAAGTGTTAGATTACAATAAAGAATTTCATACAATTTTAAAATCGTCAGTTTCAGGGTATCGGCGACATTTTGGATACTCAAATCCATTACTAATTTCAAGAATTTTTCAAGTCACTATTTTTCCCGACAATAACGCAACAATAAATTTTTAAAAAAAGCATTATAATAACATCAATTGAAATGATAGGTATAACCAAAACTGTTATGCACTGCATCTTCATATTTATAGATTTTAAATTTAAAGAAAACAGAGTAAAGAAAAAGATGAAGCAATAAAATAGCTGAAAAAAAATACAAAAGCAAAAAAAAAAATTTCTGCAGAATTATATTCTAAAGATACTTTTCTTGTTCAGCTGAAAGAAAGAAATATTCATGATTTTTCTGTTCTCATTTCGGAATAAAAAAAAATCTACCAATGACTGACTTGCTTCAGCTAGACTTAGAAGTTTATAAAATAAAATAAATAAATAATAACAAAAATTCTGAAATCGCAGAAGTTTAAAAGATAGTTCGCTCTAGAAATGATGTTTCTTCCTTCGTTTTTTTAAAGAACACCATAATTTTTAAAAAACGTGATAAAACATTTTATATTTTAATAAAATATGACTGTGAGTGGGTATTTTGTTATAAATTCAGACATTCGGAACACAATGAAATTATGGGTAGTGGTAAATTCCATTTTAAAATTTAAATTTTTTGGTGACCTAACTCTATGACTTTCCATGATTTTTTTTATTTTTAAAAATAGTTAAAATCAGGACACTTCATGACAAATTTTGTTCAATACCGAAATGTATGACTTTCCAGGTATGTAGATAACCTGCAGTTTAAAATCAGTCAGTTTTAACACAATCAGTAATTAACTTGTGAAATTCAATAAACAAAATTATTTTAATAATTTTATTGGTTTTTACAAAAATAGATAACCTGTTCACTATGTACAGTCTTTTTTTTTTCTATTTACATAACATTAAAGTAACAATTTATAACTTTCTGTACATCTTAAGAACTGGATAAAGGTTTTCAAATGCTTCTTTTAACTCAGACGTACTCTTTGCTCCTAAAAATAATAAATCACATGAGTTTATTTGTGATTGTTTTCTAAATGCCCACTTGGTAAATTTTTAATGAATAAAAAAAAAAAAGGCTTGCAGAGAGTACCGTTATTTTCCAAACACGGAATATCTTGATTCCCCCCATAGGACATGTAAAAAAATCTATTCAGAAACAATATTGAAGGATAAATTTTATTCAATACAGTAACTATATTCTGTTTTTTAACATCTAATATTAAAATTATATTTTTAAAGATTAAAATATTAATAAATATGCATGTCTGTAAATGTAAAAATATAAAAGATTATTCTTACTGTACACAATAATTTATTAAATTTTAATAATATTTTTTTTTGATACTCATACAAATTGATTTTGCTTAATAAAACATGACATATCTGCTAAAAATAATTTATCAAAAATTAAAGCAATGAAAAGTCATCGAACAATAGTTGTGCAATGAAATTCATGACACTTCTTGAATTGGACTCATGAAAAATAAGAATTATATCATGTTCATGCATTATTATTTATAATATTTATTGGATAAAAAATATTTTTGTCACCATTGTAAGCAAAGTTAGTTAACCTTAAGACATTTAAAAACACAGACACTAACTCAAAATCTTATGCCTGTAAAAATTTTATTTTTAGTCATATTTCTTTAAAAAGAATTTAATGTTTGTTTTTTAAAAAATTAAAATACACAGCAAATTTCTTGTCAAAATATTCTATTTAGAATGTCTTCTTTAATCCAGAATTAATTTCTAAATTTTGTTCTAATCTAACAAAAGGCGAAAAACAATATTTCTGCCAAACTTCATTTAATTGAAATAAAACTAGTTTAGTGTATTTTTTGAAAATAAAATTAATAAAACGCATATTTGTAAACAAAATTTTTTTTAAATACTCTAAGTAATTTTAATGAAATATTTGTTGGTTTTAATTATGTTATTCCTTTTTTCAAACTTGTATAACTTGAGTTTTTAAAAAATATTTTTGAAAGAGTTTTTTACTGCTAAAAAATATAAATAATTTTAATGAAGAGTTATATCTGTAAGAGAAATTTTGAACTGTATAACTTTAGAATAATACTTATAATAAATTTCTGACTTATTTTGATGGTCCAACCTACACCATGATCTAAGTTTCACAATAATTTTTTCTCCTTATCAAATAAATGACTGCAAGTAATTATTAATTTAAAGATCTAATCTTGTAAAGTAATTGCAATTTATTGTTCTTTTCCAGGGTGCGTAGCCAAATCTTTCAACAAAAATAAGCACCTTTTAAATGCTTTTTAAGCACTCAAAAAATATTTTTAAGCACTTATATACTTTAACAAAATGCAAAATAATTTTCTGACTATACATAATCAGGATAAAATAACTAGTTTCTGACAAAGAACTCTTTTCTTGATTATATTGACCATTATAAAGTGAAGAGATTTTTCGGTTTTATATCTGAGGGTAGAAAATAAAACCTGAAATTGAGAATAACTTGCAAAATGCAGCAGAGTTGCACATGAGAGTGCAATAATCTACCAGCTCAGTAGATGCATATGCAAACTCGCAAGTATTTAATAAAACATGTAAAATGATTGGGGCTTTCATACGCTATGGACCAACGGTACATCGAAATAGATTGTGGTTGAATGAATTGTGAAAATGTTGAATAATGTGAAAAGCACGCTTTTAAGTCATACGTGGCGGAAATCGACATGGTAAAGAAAAAATTCTCATTTTCGAAAAAGGAAAATTAAGCACTTTTTAAAAACACCCAAAGAAAAAAGCACCTTTAAGGGCTTTTAATAAATGCAAAATTGAAAATAAGTACTTCCTAAAAACGCTATGCACCATGTTTTCTTAAAGAATAAGTTTTAGAAGGTAGAGTAGTAGAGTTCAAAAAAAAAAACATCACATAGCAGTGCTGAAATACTTGTTTAAATAAAACTGGCATCAAATAAAATAGCAATAACTCACCTGTTATCACAATTTTTCCAGATACAAACACAAGTAATACCACCCTAGGCTGTACCATTCTATAGATTAGTCCAGGGAAAAGTTCTGGTTCATACCTTAAATATCAATAAAATCTTTTTAACAAGAGTCCTTATATGTATTTAATGAAAAATCTGTATATTTATATAGTTCATCATATTATTAGGAACACTATCTTATCAGCTAACAATAAGGGTGCAATACATTTTTAAAAAGAGTAAAAATCCCCCCCCCCTAAAATAAGCTTTATTTTCAATAGTTTATTGCCATTTTCTATAGAAACAATTTATTGAATAACAAATGTTTAGGTTAAAACAATTAAACTTAATTTTTTTAAATATATCAAACACATCTAAATAAAAACTATTTTGAGCTTTTTTTTTCCGATTTACAAGAAATGTACTCCGGCATTGCAATACTTAAAATAAAACTTAAATTTCTTAAAATAAAACAAAATTTTTCAACCTACTACTTTTTGAAAACAATTTTTACAAAAAAAAAAAAAAANTATTTCACCAGACATATTTTTTTGTTTTGAACAGAAAATTCTGTTGGTAATCTTCAGTTCAGGAGAATTATTGAATTATTAAATTTGTTGAGTGTGTTCAGTGCAGTGATATAATTGGTGCAGTAATGTTTAGTGGAACATAATGACTAAGAAATGGTTTGTGAATTTTCAAAAGCAGGGTAGCAATATTAAATTGACTAAAACTATGTTTTAGAATAGTTATCAAGAAGTTAATTTATTTTACATAATTTTAATATTAATTTATTTTTCTACTTTAACACATTATTGTTGCATGAATTTGACTATGTGGCAATATAACAATAATATCAAGTTAAGCAAAGAAAATATTAATTTAGATGAATTAAAGTGATCACTAAAATTTACATATGTAATAATTTAGAGCTGCACTGCTTATTCAGGAAGAAAAAAAAGTTATAAGAAAGGGAATAAAAATTTTGAGCCTTATCTCTCATAATCATCTCACTTCATTCTCTTAAAAAAAAAAAATCCTTCTTCTTCTACTCCCTCCCTTTTTATTGGCCAGATTCATTACCAAAAACTTTGGTAGACAAGTACTGCCAATTTTTTCTGAAAAAGGGCCATCTAAAACTGATACACAAGGCATGCTGAAACTATAGATGTGGGTCAGATAAATATGCAGTGAGTAGGGTATTTATAAATAGATTTACCCTCAGGGTAAATATGCAAAATCAGGGTTTTTTTAAACTTTTTGTTTCCTTTAAAGCATATAACCATCATTTGTCTCTTTATCATTCTGGAAATAATACAACATCTTTAATTTTCCAAAATAAACATTAAACTTAAACTACATCAATTCCAGAAAAAAATATTTCAAAAAACTATAAATAACCAGTACATAAACTACATTGTCACATTAAAAAGTAATGTAAAAAGATTTGCATTGTGCAATATCAAAAGCTAGACATTTAGTTAAATGATTTAAGTGAATGTTGAGCATGCTTCAAGATAAAGATCATTTTTTTCCAAGACAATAGTATAAACTGGATGAAATAGAGGAAATGAAAGAGCATGGGAATGATTTTAAAATATCTTAAATTTGTTTATTCTACAAATTTAATTTAAGTGAAAAAATGTAAGTTTAAAATCATTTGATATTTTGCTTTAACATACCTTTTTTTCTGCATCTTATTAGAAACAATAAAAATGCTTTTTTTCTTTTTTAAGTCAATGAAATTTTAGTGAAATTTTAAAATTTCACTAAAACAAATAATGAAAATATGCAATTTAATTTCTATACAAATGAATTATTTTACTAACTATGAGCAAAACACTACTTAACCTTTAGAATACAAGACAATCTAGACAATTAAACAAAAGGTAATTATTGTTTAAAAATTATCAAATATAACTGAGTTAAATTTATTTAAACTTGTACAATGTTTTCAATTCTATATAAAATATTGATTACTAATATTGTTTCTTTCTCATATTGTTCCAAGTTTTTAATTGTACAACTATAAATTTTAATGAAATATTTATTTTAATTAAACTATCTTGTGATTTGTAATAAAAATACACCTTGTAATGGATAAAATAAGAAATTTCATGAGTTTTTAAAGACAAGTTTTTCTTTAATGTTTAATTATAATTAGGTAAGGAAGATAAACTTTATGAGTTTTTAATCTATCAAGTATTATTTTAAAGATATATCAGTTAGGAATAAAAGATATTTGCAAATAAAATTTGGTTGAGATATATTATTATATATTTGTGTGCTTTTGTTATCAATCTCATTTGCTATATCCTAATCAGACTTACATGTACAGCATTTAATTTATTAAAAAAAAATTTTTCAAGTCAATTTTATGTATTTAAATAACAAAAAAAAAATTAAATAAATACTTTTTTTTCCCTTCCTGTAAGTATAATTAAATTTCAGTTCCTTAAAACATTAGGTAACAGTAAAACTTTATATATTTTATTTCTTTAGCATATTTTATGTAATAAATGTAAGTAAATCTTTGCTTAGAGTTATTCAATAAGTGAAACATTTAATTTTAAAAGTAGAAAAAAATAGTAGTTTTTCCTCCAACAGAACAGTTTTTTATAAGAGAAGAAGAGTAACAACCTCCACGTAAGAAACTAAACATGCAAACTAGCATTTTCATAGATTTTGTATCCCTTTGAAAATCTTATTAAGCTCTATATTTGAATCAATTGCTAATAAATATAAAGAACACAAAAATTTACAGCCAATTTAAATTAATACATTAAGTATTTTTGTTCATCACAACTAAATAGCAAAACTTTCCTAGTTTAGAAGTTGGTCACTTATATTGGGGATAATGTATCAAAATGTGAACTTCAGGATGATTAAACCATAGCCATTTTCAAATAAAAATTAAAATGCAATGATTCCAATAATTTAACTGTTCAATTGAAGGAAGTTTTCTTCTTAGTAAATAACTAATTAACTATTGACAATATTAGCAAATTTTAATTGCGTCTTAAATATGCATAATTTTATAAAACTCAAAAGAAAAACATGATCATTGAAGTTACAATAAAATTCATAAGTACCCAGGTATTTATGCGTATTTACTTCAAGTTATAAAAATCAAGGTAATTTACATCTACAGCTCAGACTTACGAAAAGAAACAGTAAAAATATTAATTACAAAAGAAAGATAAAATTATACAGCAAACATATAATGCAATTATTTATCAATTGAATGGGAATGCATATTGCAGATATTGGTTGTTCATGATAAGTCCATTTGCAAAAAATTATTAATTAAATTTAATGAGCGATTCTACATGTTCATTAAAATCTTAAATTGTACATTTGGAATGCTTAGAAAACAAATTTATTATTTTTTATTCATTTCAAAAACAAAAAGTTAAGAATTTTTTTGTACATTGTAAGACATATAAAGAAATTATAAAATGAAAAATACAAATGAACATAATATGTGCTTTCAATTTCATGAACAAAGCTTCTAGAAACTATTCACAAACTTTAAAGCAAATAATGTGTTTATTTATAAAGTTAATCACAAAGCGAATTTGCATTTGTTTTACATTTACAAAGAATCATTTCAGTAACTTCATCATTATGCAATTTATTATACATTTAGAAAAATACGAAACATGTTATTCTCATTGCCATCTCTTTTATTTATCCCTAATAATCAAATTATATATTTTTTCAGTATATACTATTCAGTATATACTATTATTCTTATATTTAGTATATACAAGTATACGTGTAGAATATATTTGAAAAATCCCAATCATCTCCAGACGAAATTGGGTCTTTTCATGAAAAAACATGGAGAAAAAAAAACCCTCATAAGCTAGGTTTTATCTTAAAAACCTGGGTTTTGGCAAACCCTGATTCTGTGCATTAAAGGTTAGGAAAAAAAGGCTTGAAATTTTCCTGAGTTATTTTAGTTCAGTGTGCTGATAAAGAATAATGGATAGCAGAACCAACTTTCATACACATGTTTGAATGTGTACTGAATTAGAAAAAAATTTTCTTAAATAAATTTTGGAGGTAGATAAAAGCATTTAGTTTTAAAATTCGAATAAGCCCCCTGTATATGCCAATGAAGAAAAACTAAAAAGAAAAATACCTGGAAAACTGGTAATAGCATGTAAACATATCTTCAATTTTGATTGGAAATTTGACATCACATGTTGCAACCAAATTCTGGATTTTGTAGTCTTTAAAACGTACCTAAGACAGTATTTCAATTAATATACCATCTTGAAAAATTCATGCAAAAAAAAACTTAAACAAAGCAGACAAATTTTCTATAATGGAATACCAATAGTGCTTTTTAAGTAATAATATAATTTTAAAAATATATATTTGCAATCTTAAGATATTGCATGTGCTTTAAAAAAGTAATAAATAGATTTGAAGCCTTAAAAAAATTTCTTAAAATTTAGTTTTCATTCTTGAATGCTAACAAATCAGAAGTTGCAGGTTTTTTTTTTTCTTCCTGCAAGGTTATTTAATTTAAATCAGTTTGATTTAAGTCAGATATAAATCAAATGATATTTTAAAACAAAATGATTGTCAATGAATAAAGGATAAATTACTTGAATTTTTATTTAAATTTTTTATTTTAAAATTTCTTGTAAAGATTTTTGTGTTAATAAATTTAAATCAGCAAAATTACATTAATAGTTGGCGCATAATAAATTAACTTATTAATTATTTCATAGTTTATATAAACACACACACACACCTATAAAAATTAGTCATTGTATATATATATATATATATATACATATATATAAGTTCAAAATGAAGAATAAAACAAAGAAAAATTAAAGACATAAAATATATATATATATATTCACTAAAAACACGTTTGTAATGAAAATATTACAAATTAGTTTTAAAACGCAATCTTCCAAACAAAATTTTGTTTTAATGTTAGAATGTTTAATCTATTTCAGTATCATAAAGAATATACAATTTTAAAAAGGAATTCATATGGCATTTAAAAGCTCTTTAAAGATAAATTCAGATTGCTATTTCTCAGACTCTTTTTTCCTTTCTTCTTTTTTTAAATAGGTGAATTGCTCTATATTGAAATACTTGCCAAACTACAGTCAGTGTACAATGTAACACAATTAGTTTTGTCACTTTAAAATTTTGTTTATAAGAAAGTTCTTCCTCAGCTACATGACAACCCTGGGTGAACCCTTTTCTCAGACACCTCTCCATTCAGAGATTGTCCTCCAATTTTCGGAATGAAAGAAAGTTTAACGAAATTAATTTTGTGATTTTATTTTTTATTTTAGTCTGTTTTTCAGTACTTAATAATGATACATTTGTCTTACATTTTCAAAAATTGTGCATTTACGTAAACTATGCCTTTTTACTTAAAAAAGGGGGGGGGAAATAATTAGTAACAGAATAATTTAGTTATAATAAAATTTCTCTATGTGTCTTTAAAATAAAAATTATTTGGTTTCTGGAGACTCCATCTTCAAAAAAGTTGTTTAGAAAAACTGGTGAATAATAGCACTCTTCTAAAAGCAACTGGAGAGTTGCTTTAGCTTTTAAGGATTACAATTATTATACATAAATTGAAGAGGAGGGATCTACAATTAAAATTTTTATTGGGATGTTATATTTAAAATTTAGTCAACTTGTGCGGCAAAAGAAAGAAATTACCCTAGATCAATTCTTTTCAGTTCAATCATTTGATACACCATATCTTATGGTTAAGGCTGCAAGTTTGTCGAGGGAAAAAAAAAATGAAATTCACGGAAAATTTTGAAAATTACGCAGATTCTAATCATAAAAAAATTTACTATATAAATAATGCAAAAGACAGAAATTGCTTTAATAATAAAAAAAGGTTAAGAAATACACAACAAAAGTATTTCTTTCAATTTCAAGCAATATTAATAGTTTTATTTAAATGAACAGAATTTTGGTACAATGTATTGTACATCGTCAGTTTATTCTCATTTAAGCTTCGTCTTTCATCATTTAATACATTTTTATACTTAGAAAACCATCTTTCTGAGTCCACGCTGGCCGACAAACATCAAACTGCCACTTTTGAATAGCGTTCGGTCTTTGATTTCCAAAACTCAATTCATTTTCCTTCATCAACGCGCAATTCCTTGACGTAATTGCTGTGAAAACTCAAACATTCTACATTCAAACTACTAGTTACAAAAGCCTATCTCCCTCTCATCTAAGAAATTGATCCCTATTTAAGAAATCACAAGAAGCCGCCCAGGAAAAATTGTCTGGATATAGAAAGACAGTGAAAATTTCATTGCCCAGTGCAATAGCATGTGTTACAATTTTTCTGTCAAAGATTTTATTTATAACATTTTCCTTCTTTCGTGTTTCCAATATCTTTTTGTACTCTTACTGACTTCACGAAGGTAATCCTATCAGTCCATTACTCTCCCTAAGTGTAAAAAAAATACCACCTTACTTGACAAGATTGAGATTATCTCTTATCTCTGAACTATTTTCTTGTCATTTTGCTATTGATTCACTCCCCTGAATATCTAATCAATTTTACATGTTCAATTTAAAGCTTCAGAAAAGTAAAAAATTCTGGTAAATAAAAATAATAAATTAAAAATGAAAAAAAAATTCAATTTTAAGCAATATTCGCGCAAATCAAAACATATTGAGAAACTTGCGGATTTTAGAAAAAAAGAGGACAATTTTGCGGAAATTCCTAATACACAGGGAAAGGTAAAACTTTTGAAGCAACAGTAAAAAAAGTAAATTTATCCATTAGCTTTAAAAAAAAAAAATTTTTTTTCAAACCAATGATTAAACAAAACAAAAAATAGATAATTTATTATTATATCTTAATTTATTATACTTAATAATTTATTATATTTTTCTTATTTAGTTTATCCACTATATATTTCTTATTTAGTTTATCCCCTCCGGACACAGTCAGCTTTTGGTATGACCACTGATAACAGAAAGGCTCTAGTGTGTTAGCAGACAGTGTGTCCCCTGATGAAGTGCTGTTTTTGCTAACATACATATCTTTAAAAATCACCAGAAGAGCATTAACTTGCAAGAAATTATTACTCAAAAAAAAAAGGATGCTTTAATCAACAAAATCAATCCTTAAAGCTCTTTCATTAAGATCAACCTCAGCCAAGAAACCTGGAGAATAATGTAAAAAATAAATAAAATGCACTTACATCGAAACCAAGCTTTTGAATCAACCTTGCATATTTCCTTGCAGCCAAGTGAGCAGCAGTTTCACTGAAAATTTAAAAAGAAAAATGCAATTTCCTTCTATCAGAGTAAACCATGTAATTCATTTACCTAAATAATAATAAAATAAAACTATGCAATTGGTAGATAGGTATTTTATTTACGTTGCACTAGAGCTGCACTATGGGCTATTGACAATAGTCTAAAAAACATCCACGAGAAAGACTTGAAGACATGCCATCACAATTTTGATCCTCTGCAGATGGAAGACAGACTGTCCGGGTTAACTTTTGATCAAATGATCGGATCTTTAGGTCCTAAGACTCAATCTTAATGGCTCCAGGGTGTGACCTCAACTATGCTAATTAATTACTGCAAACGACATCTTAAGTTACAAAATCAGTCACAAAAATGTACTTTCTCTAAATACAAGTAAAATCAACATTAAGGAGTCATAACTTGGGGCTGCAATCCTGACCAAAGTATGGGGACCACATTTTCCAAACTAGGACTATCCCCATATATTTCGGAGGGGCAGAAATTCGAATCCGTGGAAAAAATTATGTTTAGCCAGAGAAAGAACGTTTTTGTGTCTGATTTCGTAACTTTTCTTGTCCGCACAAATTAATTAGCATATTTAAAGCCTCCTCGAACAATTGAGATTGAGTCCCACAATGTGGTGATATGATTATGTTACTCAGGGTGGTCCTTTTTTTGGGGGGGGGGCTCAGTATATGAAAGAATACTTTAAATTAAGTGCATAAAAATATTTTCCTTTGTAAAAACAAATCATATAAATATTTCATGTTAAATTTAATATAAAAACAAACAAATCAAAACTTTCCCATTTTATGTTCTCAAATTTTTCATTTCAACATGAATCATACTTCTTTTCGAAGTGAGAAAGAAAAAAAGAAAAAAAACTGTTTTCAAACTTTTTCCAATTGAAATCGAAAAGAGCAAAGGATTAAAATCCTTCCTATGAAGATGAAGCTTAAACACATGCTTTGAAATAAATTTGCCGATTAAAGAGCGAATATTCTCCAGTCAAACTTGACAAATACTCTGATTTTTAATGATTTTAATTACTTTTTTCTTACACAATAATAACTGAATAGAGCTTGAAAACCTTTTTGGTTAATTTTCAATGAAATACTAGCTTGTTACTCTCAATAATTGTAATTTTTCACATTTAATTTCCAACAAGGTTTCTGAAAATCTATATATAAAGAGAGTTCATAAAAAAATACAAAAAAAAGGTAATAAAAAAATTATTTAGCAATAAAGAAAAGTTCTTTTGTTTTCAAAACATTCTCTAAAATGATCCATACTTTAAAAAAATCAGAAATTTTCTTTTAACAGTAGACATGTACCTGAGTACTTTAAAAAAGGACGATTGATCTACTTAATAACAATAAAGGTAACTTTTATTGCAAAAGAATAACATAATATGCCTTCCTAAATTTCAGAATTACTTTGTTTTTAACAGAAAGTTTTAATATTTACCAGTATCATTTTCTTAACAAAACAATTCAAAATAGTTTTTAAATCAATATATAGTACATTTTTGTAGTACTGTTATATTAAAGGACATAACCAAAATCAATTAAAAAAATATTCCTTCGTACCAATACATTATATAAATATTTAACAGAGTACAAGTCTTCTTTAATTATATAATTTAAAGTAGGGTTTCACTAACCTTGAAACAATAAAGTGAATTGGCAGCTGAACATTAATTTACAAAATTAATTTAATGAATGATACCACAATTCACCATATGAAAATTTTATGATTACTATATAGTTGATTGGAATCTTTCAAATAAGAAAAAATTAATCAATAATTTTGACACTACAAAACACCACCTTACATGATTTGTTGCTGCATTTGCTGAAAGTTTACACTTTAAGAGGTCTGCATTTTTCAAAATACAAAAATTCCTTTTTCCCCCCAGTTTGTAAGCAAAAATTCAAATTTCCCTCCATTTTCTGTTATTTCAGATGATTTTTAAATTCCCTGTATTTTCCAGGTTTTCCCTCTGGAGTGGCAAACCTGAATTATTTAAAACTATTTAAGACTATCTAATATCGAAATTGGTTCAATTTTCCATAGTTTTTAGTAAACTACTTTCACTTATTTTTATATTTTTGGGCTATTAAACTGACTTGTATATAATATCGTGTTCTCGTCATTTTGCAAGTTGTAGAACAATGACTGCAATGTCAAAAGGTCACGTATTGATATATAAAGGATTAGGGCTAACATCCAATGGATTAAGATGAATAGACCTCTGACCCACCATCCATTGGTGAAGACTCAAGATACTGGAGTGTCAAAGGTTGTGACAAATTAGAAACATGAGTGAAAGAGGAAAACTAACCTTTTAGCTCCAGTCACAACAATTTTTCCTGTTCGAAATATAAGAGCAGCCGTTTTTGGATCTAATATCCTCATGATAACTGCATGGAATCTTCTTGGATTGTACTCGGCATTTCTCAGTCTAAAAGCTATTTTGCAAAGATCTAGATAACATCCTAAGTCAACGCAACATACAACATTGCTAAAATAGAAAAAAAGCACATGTTAAACTAATTTATAACTGGTTACAAATTATTTAATGCTTTCTTTTTAAAAGCAATTTTTCAAAACAAAATATTTATTAGTGTATATCTGGGGCTCTAGCAGTTATCAACCTTCATTTATGAAAAGGTACCCCAACATAGAATCGAGTTAACATGTCTTATATACTAGCAGGGCTGATTGTGAGTCCAACTCAAAAATCCGGAAAATTTCTTGAGTAAAATCATTAAAGAGGCATAATGTCTTTATAAATTTAAATCATTGATACTGTGACGATAAGCCACTTAATTCAGAATCACAATAAAACATTTAAAATAGATTTATCGTAAATTGCAAAATAATTGATTAGATTTAAAATACTGTGGAAACTTCCATTAGTACATAGAACTTAAGCAAATACAAATAAACTCTCTTGAATAAAGTTAAGAAATACGTGTCGGAAAGGGTTAATCAGAAGTTTATAGTCCAAGTTTGATCTCTTGTGTGACCTTTCCAGAATTTAGCAATAGTTTTATCTAGCANTAGTGTATATCTGGGGCTCTAGGAGTTATCAACCTTCATCTATGAAAAGGTACCCCAACATAGAATCGAGTTAACATGTCTTATATACTAGCAGGGCTGATTGTGAGTCCAACTCAAAAATCCGGAAAATTTCTTGAGTAAAATCATTAAGGACGCCTAATGTCTTTATAAATTTAAATCATTGATACTTTCAAAACATTGAATTCTAAATAAATTATATACAGCATAACTTAAAAGAATAATTATGTATAAGTTTATTTTTATCTCTAATCACACTTATTATTCTACCAGAAAAAATATTTACAAATGAAAGATACCAAGTATAAATTCTAGTTCTTCTTCTTGGGCACTACAGCCTATGACAGGCCAAGGCCGTCCCAAAAAGTTTTTGCCATTTTGATTTATTCTGTGCCATGGCCAAGTTCTAGTATTTTTGAATAAAATATACAAGAATTTTTTTACATAAATGTGATCGATGATTTCTTGAAACTTCAGGACCTAAGATTTCCGGAATCTTCCGGAGTGCAATTTGGGAAAATTTTCGGAACACAATCACCCCTGTACTAGTGAATTCGAATCGTATTTTTGTAGTGGTAGACACACTACAGTACTCTCCCACCAGAATTACAGCTGTGATAAAATTCAATGAATGGATACCACTACTTGATTCATTGCTGTTTTGTGACAAGCCGGGAGAACTATATTAAGATCACCATACTTTTGAGTACTGATCATGACAGGGTTACCACTCAAATCTGGAGAAAAAAAATTCCCTGTACATATTATACACAATATATTAAGAGGAAACAACAATTACTGTGCTCTTGTGTGAGCTATATTGCACCAACTATATTTATTAGTTTTAACTGCTGGAAAAACAGCTGAACATACTTAAATAATGCTATAGTAAGTGAAATAATTTAGTATAGCTGAAATATCATGGTTAAATATCCCATAGAATACTCTTTGAGCAGTCACCCTTTTTTAAAAGACAAAAATAAGAAACAAAATTCCCTGTATTTTCCCAGTTTGTAAAGAAAAAAATCAAAAATCCTGCATTTTCCCTGTTATTTCAGGTGATTTTCAAATTCCCAGTATTTTCCAGGTTTTCCCTATTCTCCCTGTGGAGTGGCAACCCTGCATGAGAGCTGAATTAAGTTCACAGTCGTGTTCGCTCCTGTGTTGTTTTTAGCAGTCGAGTGTAAATGTTGTACGTGATAGAGACTGAGTAGCAACAGGGAGAGGAGGTGGATAATGTCGCAGTCACAAGTACAGTACAGAACCCATTATCCGGAAATCAGAAAACCGGAAAACCAAAAAACCGGAACGAAATTCAATTAATTATCCCGTCATTTTTTTAAAAAAAAAACAAATATTTTTCCTCATAAGATTTTAGGATTTTTCTTTCTTTTTTGAAATATGTTTACTATGCCATCATTTTAGAAATAATCATTACTGTATTACTTCATCGTTTTTTCTTCTTTTTAAGATTATTTTTTTTTAGTTGGTTTTAACAATTAAAAAAACGGCTTTTTGTAGTGATTCAGAAACCCGGAAAAATCAGTTATCCGGAATAGCGATGGTCCCGATCGTTACGGATAATCGGTTCCCTACTGTATCAAGTCAAGTGGGCATAACAGTCAAGATAGACGTGTTCATATCAAAGTGGGAGTTTTTGTCAAGGTAGGCATGTTCACATCACGTCCAAAGGTCACCAATGTGGGGACAGGAGTGTTATCAACAATATCAAAAATCGTCTATGAAAAGGTACCCAAACATAGAATCGAGTTAACATGTCTTATATACTTGAGAATTGAAATTGTATTTTTGTAGTGGTAGATTCACTATAGTATATATATTATATTAATAATTATATTATATCATTAATAATTACATTATATTATTAAATATTTATTAAAATATTTATTTATTTGAATTAAACTGGCAAAAAATTTTAATGAAGAAAATTGTGATTTCCGAAATTACCAATTCGGCGAATCTTTCTCATCTGATGAAAATTATTAAAATCAATAAATAATCCTTTTAGAAACTGGAGAACGACAACAAGCAGGAGAAGGAATCCTTTAGCATTAAATATAATTTAACATTTGTGCTAGAAAAAAATCTTTAATTTGATTGCATACCATTAACTTATTGGTATGCTGTAATGGTATGTAGTATTAATGGACCACTGTTTATTATTTTATGCTGGTCCGACTGTGATTTTAGTGGTCACAGACCAACGGACCACCGTTAATTTCGAGCCCTGCCATTAAGACAAAATAAAGTTACAATTTTAAATCTTTGTAGAAAAAAAAAGTCAGTGAGTAAATGTCATAAAAAGAATAGAGTCAGACTCTTAAGTTTTGTTAAAGATTATTAGTTATTTAAATGAACAAAAGATTTTCAATTTCTATGCTTATGCTATCAATATAAGAATAATATAATTGGAATTCAATGTCCTTATTTTCAGAAAATACTAAGATTCATCTAGAATTGACATTAATACTAATCTAGAAATTCATCATAAATACTAATCTAGAAATTCATCATAATACTAATCTAGAATTTCTTTATTGAAAAAAATGAGGAAATATTTTTAAAAATATATATTTTTAAAATATTACCCATTTTCTTAAGTGAGATTTCATTTAATTAAGGCTTTTTGACTTTAAAAATTAAAAAAATCCATAATCCAGCAGGTATTGTTTATTTGGTGGAAAATCTAAAAAAAAACTAAAAGTATTTCAAGAAACATATAAAATGATTGATGCTATCGTACTTTACAGACACGGTAAGCTAAAATAGATTGTGGTTGAATGAATTGCGAAAACCACGCTTTTGCATGATAAACACCGAAATTCGACATGGTAAAGAAAAAAAAATCTCATTTTTGAAAAGGAAAAATTAAGCACTTTTTAAAACACCACATGAAAACAGCACCTTTAAGGGTTTTTAAAAAACAAAAATCAGCACCCTTAAGCACTTTTGAAAAAAGCCATGTAAGTATTGATAATAGTAAATATTGATAACAGTAACATGACAATAGTAAATATTGATAGGGATATTGTTTAAATTGTATCTAAAAATAAAAAACAATTAAAGATAACACATTTTTCCAACAGTCTCAGGTCAATTTAAGAAAACATTTACCCTAACTTTACATTTTCCTGTTTTGTGTGTTTTTTAACGCTAGTTCGATGGAAAGTCTGAAGTTGGAGTTCTACTATATTGGTAAATAAATAAGAAATTGCCAAAAAGATTAAACAAGATTATAAAAAATATGATCTTCAAATTCAATGGTAAAATATAATTCATAATCAACTAATAAAAAAAACGAAAAAAAATACAAACTGAATCTTTGGTATGATTCCAGATTCGGTTGAAGATGGAATGGATTGAACAGGTGGTATTGGGTTTATTGCAGTATTGTGTACTTCTAAAGAGCCATCCTACAATTTACAAAAAATATATTGAATAAAATACAAATGAAACAATATAAGAATAACATTAAACACAGGGTTGGGTTTTTGCCGTCAAAAACTGGTTTTTGACATGACAGTGGTAAAAACCGTGTTTTTACTTTCTTTAATTTATCTTTAGTTTCTTTAATTTATAGCATATAGCGGACAATATATTATTTTCACTTAATTGCCTTTATAAATGAATATAAGTAGTAGTTTTGTGTCTGTAAACCACNAAAAGCTTGGAACTATTAATAAATTCAAGAACTAAAAAGATTTTAAAATTTGGCATTTCTTAAATATTGGAAATAAGCTAAACAAAACTTTCAAAACTTGCAACTACTAACAAACTCTTAGTCAGGAATGACTTGACATTCTTCAGTAATGTAATATGCCAAACAAAATGATGCTTGGAAATGTTGAAAATTTTGTATAATATCCTAATATTTTACTTCAAATAGTATGTTTTGATATAATCATGTTGGGAAAATGCAAAAATATGTTCTTAAATATTTTTTAACAACTTTTTTTCTAATTTTATTGTCCAAAAATTAATTAATTTTAAATCATAAGCAGTTAAACTCAAATTAAAATACAGTTTTATCAAAACTATGGGTTTTTGACATGACGGTAAAAACCATGGTTTAAACCGGTAAAAACCGTCATGTGTCAAAAACTTGACAACCCTGATTAAACAATTATCCTATTTTAATAGAGAATTCTTTTTTTTTTTACATAGAAAGGTACATTTGAGAAATAAAAATAGTCTTTTTTATATAGATATTTTTCAACTTTAAATGATAGAATTACAGACTAAATAATTTTATGGTAAAGTCAATTGGTTTAGAGGGAATCCCATCAGGGTGGATAAAACTATTTTTACTATTAGAAATAAAGATTTAAAAGAAAAATTTTTTCAGCATAAAAGAGCACTATCCACTACTGTATCCTTAGAGAGAAGGAATAAGTTATTCAAATCAGCAGATTCAATTTTTCTATCCTTTGCAACAATATAAATACACATTTAATTAATATAATGCTCACTAAGGAGGCCATGAAAAAACGTAATTTGCAGGTACTGATATGGAAATATCTCTGATAACTAGTGTAATTTCTAGTGTTGATATTTTTTAATATGGGAAATTAAAAAGCAATAATAAAGTAGAAAAAAAAATGCTATATATTTATCAAGGAAATAAAACTTGACTTTTATTTTCAATGTTTTATGTAAAGAAGTACAGCAAGAATTAGAATACCACAATAAAGTTTTGAAAATTCTATCTATTTTGAAAATTTAATTAGGAAAACATGTAATCACATCCCCAAGAGAACTTATTTTATTAATTATCCAAACTGTGGAGTACTCAAACAAACTCTCAGATATTTAACTCTAAGTTCGTTTGAGTATCTACAGCTTTTATAATTCCATATAAAATTAAATTAATTAATATTGAAACAATTCATATCCACAACTATGAAGTATTTTTCAAATGAATTGCTTCAATAGCATCAGCTATACGTTATAATAGTTGTTTGGAAATACATGAAATAATAATTTTGTAATTGAAATGAAAGATATCGTCTACAACTGATTAAAAACCCACTGTTTCATTGTTAGATTGGTAATGTGGATCATCAACAGTAACTTCCATGTTACCGCCACGGATATTGACTGTCTAGTTTTGGCTCCTAAATCCCACAGTAAATCTGAATGAGATTGCATCATTCCATTTCTTTGCAAGTGAGGTAGAATTTATTGCGCGTGCTCATGCCCACCAAAAATAGTTACAATTTATTTTTTTAAATTTAATCTATCTATAATAAATAATTGTAAAAAAGAGCATTTAACAACTTGCAGAAATATTTATTTACTATCATTTTCAGATAAACACTGCAGTGTGCTCAAGTTTTGGAGCATGTGCATTGCTTATTACCTTCTCCACCTACGAAAGAAGTGGAATAATCCAATCACATTCGGATTTACTGTGGGATTCAGGGTTTTATACTGACTAAAGGTGAAAGTCAAGTATAAGCAAAGTTGTTCAGAATTAAGCTGAGAAGATCGAAACATGAGTTCACAGATTTTGAAAGTAAGTTTCCACCTCTATAAGCTTTACTAGAATTTCATCTTTCTCTTATACCAATTTCAGATTATGTATGAGATGTACACGTAGTTTTATTTTAATTTAAAATGAAAATATCTTTCTTGTAAATTTTGTGCTTTTTAACTACCAACTTAATTTTGAAAATAATTAAAGTGATTCGTACTTGCAAAAAAATGTTAAAAGATACATATGAATCGTTTAGATCTGTTTTTATAATTCTGTATTAAAGGGAAAAGTAATTTTGAAATTATCTGTTTTCACTTAGTGCTGAGATAAAACTAGGTTTCGTTGATTTAAGTTGCTAGATTTTTCAAAAAAAATTACCTGGACTCAGATTAATTCGTTAAAGATCAGTTTCATTGAAGGAAACTCTTGGTAAGTAAGACGTTCAGTTATCGGGAAAATATTATTTTTGTAGTTGACTACAGTTACTTATTAACTAAAACTACTTTTTAGTGTAGTGACTACAAGCTTCCAAAATGTAGTTAGTACTTTTAAGAGACAAACTTTGCTGTAGAGCTTAATTTACACCTTGCTGTAAATGGTTTTAAATGAAGAAAATTGGCTTATTTAAATGTAAGCAATTATTAAAAAATATTTATTATTTACTTGAGCTTGTTAGTTATTCTAAACCACTTTTTACAATGTTGCTCTTACAACTTTTTATGCCTTTCTCAAAAACAAGTGTTTAATTTAAGAAATTTCTTCGAAATCGTCAAATATTTGCAATTCTGTTAATAGTTTAATGCTCATTTATTTCCTCTGCTAAATAAAGTACACCTAAAAATTCAGTACATAATATGTTCCTTTCCATTGAAATAACATGAATGTTTCTAGAGTGCATGTTTACATTTGATGGTGTGGTTAATTTTGTGTACATAAACATAATTTCCTGATTTCCAAACAACAGTAAAAATATTTGTGTGGTTTTTAGAAACCCTGATCCCCTATTTGTTCTTTATAAACGCTTCCCTTTTCCATCCTTATTACAGGCACATTAGTATGTTCTCAAAACAAGTTAAATGCATTTTGAATTTTATATCAAGTTAACTTATCTTGATTTCTTATCTCTCTTATTAAATTTTGACATTTTGACTACAACAGTTAGCGCTGGCCCCCCTTAGTCAAAAACTGTGTTGTAGCATTTTTAATAATAATAAAACTTATTCTCTAAGTCAAAGGTAGATTTTAATGATTTTTTATAATTTATCTTTTTCTATAGAAATTTTCAAAATCAAAAACCAAATTAACTATAAAGTGAATTATTTTATAAAAATGCAAATACTTATATTTTGTGAAATATTTATAATTCAAATGTTCCATTTGAAATTCCCTTGTCTTAATACTATGTTATTAAAAATACTGGCACTTCAAAGACTGTATGAAATGGAATAACTAATAAGAGAAAATGATGATATATTTCTGGCAATATAAAAAATTTGAATTGCGCATTTGAGTATTTCCTTTTTAACGCAATGATTATATCGTTTTTTTTTTTTTTTAAGCATTTGCGTAACCCCGTCGTTGATCTTTATTTCGGTAGTCAATGCTATGGATTTCGCGATTCTTTTTCTTTATTGTGGTGATGTTTCACAAAATGCGAAAAAAGAAATAAATAGTGTGTTCTTTTCCCAACAAAATGCAGGAATATCACTCACATTAAAATTTTTAAAAAATTACATATTCGATTAAATAAAAAAAATTTTTAAAATCACAGCACCTCTGTTACTTTAAATTAGTAACATTTATATTACTAATTTAAAGCTAGAGAGTTTTATTGCGGAAAACCCAAAACAGTTCTGCCACAGGGGTATGATTATAAGTGAAAGTTGATAAAAGTGATGCTAAGTGAGTAGTGATAAAATAGATATAAAACTTTCAAAATGTGAAATAGTGATAAATTTCTATAAGGAAAAGCTTTCTGCTAAATGTAATATATGTAAGTTAAATTTTCTGCATAAATATCTGTATAATTTAAATCACAAAAATCTGGTAAATTATTTTTTACTCTAGAATTATTTGTTTTTATCTGTAGAATGGTCACCCTGCAAAATATTTTTTATGGAAAATTATGAAGTCTGGAAAATCGATTTATTTTTATAATATGTGAAAATTAATAATTTCTTTCTTTCAGGTATGTTCCAGAGCTCGTTTTTTCCAGCGAGCTTTAAACACCTCAGCTCCTAAGAGGAGAACATTTGAAGAATTTAAAGAATTGCAAAGGCAAATGGCTGTAAGTAATCTAATGTGGTCAGCCACATTTGTTTATGAGAATGTGTTTATAGTTTGTCTATGGTAAGAACTCCCCCTGACACATTCTCAAGTTTCCAAATATAAAAATTTTTAAACATTCATTACCCTGTAGTCAAATTAATTACAGATTTACTTTTATCAACTACATTTAACAGTAAACCTATCCTAACAATATCTATCAAAAAACCATTAAACTGTTAAACAAACAAGAACAAAAAAAAGATAAGGAATTTTCTGATTGGTTAAGCATTAGCCATTGTTTTAAATTTTAATGAGGGCGATTATATTTTTCCAAATATTTTAAATATAACGCTAATGATATTTGCTAGCTTATAGATGTATTTGATCAAGAAAAAAATTTACAGCGCATACTTTAGTATTTTTTTTTTGTTCGCTGTCAGATAAATTCATATGTCAGCAAAATTAAGAGAATAGTAAATCACTTAGGAGAAACTTAAAAATTAGACATTATTGATACCAATAATAATTAGTTATAGTAATAAAGAGGAGCATAAATTGTAATGGACACTCCTATGTGCAGTGTATTCATACTCAATGTGATTTTTTTCATTGCAGCTTGATGAGATGACACCCGTTTATCTACGAAAAGGTAGTTCTGACAAATTGATTTTCGGTATGGTCTGCCTGGGAACCCTTGTTTGTGTTGCCATGAGTGTAGAATTTGTTTACGGAGCTATTTATCCAAAACCTAACTCATAAATGTCTCTACTGTATGTAATTTCTACTGTGTCTCAACTATATATAATGATATTGTAATATGAGAATAATAAAAATATAAGTAGTCATAAATCTTATTGTCTGTATGGATTGTAGATATATCATGTGCAAGTTATAAGAATTATTTATTTTGAAAAAAGTTTTTCAAGCAATGGTAGGATTCAAATTTTAAGAAGTCCACCTAAAAATAGGCTTTGTTATGCTGGCCACCCAGCCCAAATAAAACCTCGTTCATTGTATCTGTATTTTAGGTTCAAATTACATTTCTAATCTCTTTTTTTTCTTCATTTTTTTAAATTGTATTTAGCTTACCGTATATATAAATAGAATGCTATGTACATAAATGTTTTTCTCTCTTTCATATCGGAAGTAAAATAAAGAAATGTGAAATACTACTACTGTTGAAGAGCTTTAAACTAAATCTAATGTCATTCAGAGCTGTTTGTGCTCCGGAAAAAATCTGGATTTTTCGCTAACCGTGATCCGGAAGTTTCCGGAGATCAAATTTTCAAAGGTGAAACTTAAAAACACAGTTTATTTTATTTGTTTGTAAGGAAGAGCCAGATACTTTATATTCAAGATTAATATTAATTTTTTATCAGTAAATAGTAAATATAATCATGAACTCAAGAAAAAAAAAGACATATATTTTGTAAATTTCAATTACTTCTCCAGGTTATCCTATGTGTAAATGGTATAAGTTTGTGTAAAATTTTAAATATATTTTAAGTAAACTAAGAAAGATTGAGAAAAAGGGAGAGAAAAAAAACCTTGTTTAATTTTTTTCCAATTCAAACTGTTTTTTTTTTACTCAAGAAATTTTCCGGAATTTTGACTTGGGTTCACAATCACCCCTGGTCATTACAATTGAAAATTGCTTTTTTTTTTGCAAATCATTCACTAGAAGAAATCTTAGTACTCTTTTACAATAATTTCATACAAAAAAATACGTTAATTTCATACCAAGAAATTATTGTAAAGAATACATTTATTTCAAAGATTCTTGTGCCGAAGATGTTTGAAATTTGATGCTATTACGGATTAAAACTCACATATATTTGTAATCAATAATCTTAAATAATATGTAATAATAAATTAAATTCTATTTTATATAAAACCTGACAAATACAGTAAAAACAAAATTTTTCCAGAAAAATACGACTTTTAAGTGCGGCATAATTAGCTGACTTAATACGGTTTTTGATTACCAGACCAAACTGCTAATATTCTATTGACCTAGAATGGATCGATACCACTACAAGCATATTTTGTATATTTAAAATCCATTCTGTTTATAAATTGCTAAGAAGAAAACGAAAACTGTGATGTAGATTTGTGTGTCCATCATTGCTTTAAAATTATCATACTGAATTAAATTACTAAGATTTTTTTTTGAATTGCATTTTCATTTATAATGCTTGCAAAATCTCCAAACATGTTCTTTCTAATCCTTCCATTTTACTAGAGGCATGCATTGTTTTTTTTCAAGTATTACAATAATTGAATGAAATCAATTTTAAGACTTGTCTGACCAATAGTTTAGAAGGTATAAGGGTTTAATTTAGAAAATGTGCAAATTTATACTTGTACATATTTATGTAACTGACATTGCTATCTAAACAAATGAAGCTGTGTTTCTTATGTATTTTTTCACGAATGAGACTATACGCAACGAACAAATAGTTTAAAATTTAAAAGAGTTTTTGCACATAAAAAGTATTTCTTTTGTTGTGTACACTTTTTTACATTGCTATGTAGGAGCTATCTATGCTCCTACATAGCAATGGAGGAGCATGTAATTGGTTGAGATAAAAACAGAAATTGATTAATAGTTAAGAATTAACAAATGAAAGCAAACACAAATCAAAAGAGCTACTATTTCAAAAACTGCAATGTTTTTAAATAAAAAGTTTCATTTTTAGTATTGTACTTATAATGTTCCTTATAATTTCAAAGCTATTAATCCTGAATTTTTTTTCTCATTCGATTCAGCATGAAAAATTACATACCTAACATGTTCAATGTAAAAAGTGTACAAGTCAATAGAAATACTTTTTATAAATTAAGTGCTTTTTAACTATTCATTCTATTGATTCTTGTATAATTTTTATTTGATACAACTTAAAAAGCTACATATGAAACAATGATTCACTTGTTTAGATAACAATATGAAATACTTTGATAGGTACAAATACAAATTTGTACTTTTTGTATATAAGTTCTAAATTATTAGTCTGATCATCTTGTAGTTGATATCATTAAATTATCGGAAACAATCCATTACTTGCCTGTTTTCCTACAAATAAATTACCCCCATTTTCCTCAAAAAAGAAAGAAACGTACAAAGGACAGTTTTCAGGTATCATTTATAATAACATTAAGTTTTCTGCCACACAAAAAAAACCCTTTTATTTCATGGCTTTTGTGCTCACTCTGAATTATCGCTATAGTGAATTGAGCCTCGGACAAGTTGTGCTCACCAAGAATTGTGTCCTCTACGAACTGTGTTCGTGACAATTTGTCTTAGCATAGAGCTGTGCTCACGAGGAATTGTCACTCCGACGAATTTTATAACCTTTGTTGAACCTGCCGGCTGTTTTTCTTAATTTTTTTTAAAATTCATTTTAAGGGGGCCCCAGGCCATGGCCTAATGGGTAATCCGGCACTGGAAGTGGTCACCCACCCACACGCTGACCACAGCCACACACTGATGCTTGACTTCGATGTTCTACTCGAAACCGCATCTTTACGATCAGTCCACTGCGGGACTGATTTGACGTAGATTTCGAAACTCTTTTTGCACCCTGATGTATTTGGTATTTAAATATTGGAAGGGTAGGTTGAAGAGAACTGAAATCAGATGAAAAATTAACATAAGTACTTTTATTATTTATATTTTTACTGAGATTCCACGTAGAAAGTTTACAAATGCGTTTAAAAACAATCAAGTAAAGTTGAATATAAATCAAGGATGCCAACATATCTTTTCTGTTCCTTGGATTACACTTTTTCCAAACCATAAAAAAAGTTTCAAAATATTTATGAGGATGAATTAAGAGTGACTCTTTGTAACTCCTTTTCCTGCAGAAAGAAAACTTTTGAAATTATACAGGCATACATCTACAGCCTAAATAAACTAAAAGCATGTTTATCTTTTTTTTTTTTAAGGAAAAATTTATTTTGAAAAAAAAAAGTTTGTTTACAATACTAGTTAAATAAAGTTTCTAAAGTATTCAGCATCGCTCCTATCTAACATTTTAAGATTGAATTTATATTTTATTTTTTTTAATTCCATTACTCTTCTGATATGTAAGTTACTTTTTAGACTTAACATAATATATAGCAAAAAAAAACTAACAACCAGAGTCTGTAAAAGCAAATAAAAAATGCTGAACATGTAAGTTCATTCTTGCACTAAAAAAATAAGATATGCCTCCATGAGTCAAAAACATAACTTAATTTCAATTCTTGATTTTTGGAAATACCGTCACAAACTAAAAAATTTTCTTGGAGCAAGCATATATAAAATTCTAAAATTTAAATTTTTACCTTAGTTTAAGAAAGCAAAATTCATACCATGCGAAAGAAAAACATTTTATAATAGCAGATAAGAATTACTTTTCAAGATGCCAAAAATTAGAGCATTTTAAGATCCTGTAAGTTTGTCAAGAAATATGAATTACAAAAGCCTTCAAAATATTCTTTAAAATGTCACGAATATACTATAAGAATTTTGAGAACCTGTAAGAGCTTTAAAGTTTATAAGACAGGGGTGATTGTGCTCCGGAAAAAATCTGGATTTTTCACAAATTGCACTCCGGAAGATTCCGGAAATCTTAGGTCCCGAAGTTTCAAGAAATCATCGATCACATTTATGTATAAAAATTCTTGCATATTTTATTTAGAAATATTAGGACTAGACCATGGCACAGAATAGATCAAGATGGCAAAAACTTTTTGGGACGGCCTTGACCTGTCATAGGCTGTAGTGCCCAAGTAGAAGAATTTATACTTGGTATCCTTCATTTGTAAATATTTTTTCTGGTAGAATAATAAATGTGATTAGAGATAAAAATAAGCTTATACATAATTATTCATTTAAGTTATGCTGTATATAATTTATTTAGAATTCAATGTTTTGAAAATATCAATGATTTAAATTTAAAAAGACATTATGCGTCTTTAATGATTTTACACAAGAAAATTTCCGGATTTTTGAGTTGGACTCACAATCACCCCTGATAAGAAAAAATCACAAACTAAATAGGAAAAAACAAGTAATTTGTAGTCGTAAAAACAGTTTTATGAATTGAGAACTTTTTAAGAATTTGGAAAAACTATAGAAAAGTTCTTTAATATTCTGCGGTTGGAATTGAAATCTATAAAAATCCAAAGAAAAGTCTGCAGTAGTTGGCATTCCTGTACATAAAGTTTTACATCAAATACTTATGAAAGGTTTCAGTATAAAGTTTAAAAAATTTGTGAAGTGAATTTAAATTTGATACAGAGAGTCACAAATACACATTTTTAAATAATCTAATAATAAAAGATCGTCTCACACAGATATTTACAAGCAAAGTAAACGAGAAAAAATCTTATATACATCATCAATCAAAGAATAAAAGATAATGTACAATAAAGTTTATGCAACAAATTGGAAAGAAATAGTTAACTATAAAGCAATGATAATAAAATAAAAATAAAGACAAGAAATCTTTCAAATATTACAAAGCAAAAGAAAATATATAAATTTTTAATAAATACAAAGCACTGAAAATCATATCACACATTAGTAAGAAATTATATAATAAATGAAGTTATTAATAATTACAATTAAGTAAGAGTCACTCAAGAAAGACAACATTCAAACTAAACATTTCACACATAAAACACTTCTGTAGTTGAGATAGAAAGAACAGCATGCAAAATTTTTGAAATAAAAAATAGTTTATGAAATAAAAAATGTGTTCTTATTAAAGAATAAACAACTTATGTCGCTAACATACATTTGTCAATTCATATGGATACAAATTTTTTAAACTAGCATAATTTATAATTACTGATAAATAAAGATTAAAATAATCCAACGCTGAATTAATAATTGAAAAATAAAGTACGTTGAAAAAAGTTAGCTTGATATAATAGGTACTTTTTACATATACTAAAAAGAAATAAAAAATCGTAACTAACACTAAGGGTATATCCTGGTGTATAAATCGGCTTTCCAAACCCCCAAACTTTAACAAAAACCAGGAGATTGACTTATACACCAGTAATAAAGTTGGACATCCGTTGATCTTGAAATATCGATGTATTATAAACAATGAGATAGATAATAACTCTATATCAATTTACGCCTTTCAGAAACTATTTTTAATGTTTTATATACATTTTATCTTATCATATTTTCTTAACATGTAAAGGTTATTTTTTCAAAAAAATAAAACATAAAAACTTTTAAAGTTACATAATGCTACTAATTTAACCAATTGTCTCATAGCATCTTTATTTAGGGGTAAATTTATGTTATATCTAGAGTGAAATATTTTTAATTTGGGATAAATTTGTAGACTTAGTATCTCTTTTTTTAATTTTAGAAATCTTCATATATTTTTTCAGCAGTCGACTTATATACCTAACATGCTTTACTTTCTCTTATTATTAAATAACGGGGACTTGAATTATACAATCGATCGATTTATACACTGGGATATACAGTGCATCATAAAATCTGTAAATAAAGTAATTATTAATAGGATTTTTTTTCTCACATTTATAACTTTTAAAGACAAAAAATGCCAACATGAAAATGAACCTTCCAACAATAAAATATTTTCCAATATGATTAATTTGCAACAACTCTCACTGAAATATGAAAGCGCAAATAAAGAGTTTTTTAAAAGTTGCACAAAAACAGATTTCACATACCAGTTAAATCACATTATTTTTAAAAATCAAACAAAAAGCAATTTTTTTTCTTTTTAACATGGGTCATTAAATATCACTGATTTTAATAACTACTTCATGATTCATATTAGTTAAACACATCTACAAATATTTCATTTCTTATTAGCTGTACAATGCACAATGATGCATGCTTACATTTTCTTTTATTAAAAAAAAAATTATATCTAATTTTAACTTTGTTTCCTTTTATTTTTCTGGAAGAACACAAAGTTAAAAGTTTTTAGGAGATGGAGTTTTTTCTTCAAAAGAGAACAATGGACTTTATAATTGGCTAAATGAGAAATCATAAATTTTTAAGTAAATTCCAGGTGCGTAGAGTTTTAGCCAATTTTGGTGTCCACGAGAGAATCTTTTAGCATTCTTTCTTAGAGGGGTCTGCCCAGGGTAAATTTATTACTGTTTCGTGGTACCTTCACAAATTCAACTTCAGGAAAAAATGGTAGTTTCACAAAATACTTTTAAACTAACGGTCTAAATTCTAACGGTAGTTTCACAAAATACTTTTTTCTTCTCATGCGAACCCCGTTCTCGTTGCAATCTATGGAAAAGGGTTTTTGTGCCAGTGGACTTTTACGAAAAGATAACACGTGTTTGATCAGATAGTGCAATGTGGCACGCCTAACTAGTCGCTTACTCCATATCAAAGCAAGTTTTTTTTTTCGCTCAATTTTTTAAAATGAAATGACAAGCCCTCTATAAACTTTACAGGAAGTCAAAATTCGAACATTATTCTAAACATTTGAACATTATCTTAAACATTATGGTAAATTTATTCGAACAGAAACATTTTTTTCTCTGTGAAACTTTTTTTTGTATCACCTAGTTGAAAATGTTCTCATAATGAAAAAAACTTTTAGTGCTAGTACTATTAAATGCATGTTTTCATTAAATTTAAGTTGAAATTTAACTATGGACAGTGATTTTTATGGATTTTAAAATTTGGGTACAATTTTAAGCCTATGATTTTACAATAGCAAACTTATTTTTGAATATAAGGGGGAAAATATATAGAAATTTACCAGTCATAAATAATTTTTATTTGTTGTGACAATTTTTGAAAATATTTTCGTACTTTACCACAATTTTGTTGATTTTAATTTTCACAAATTATGCCTAAATTTTCACAAAATAGGTACCTCTTAAAAAAATTTAGACAGACTCCTGTTCTAAGCAATATAATGAAAAAGACAGCTTTATATATTAGAAAATTTGCTATATAATAATACCATTTTAATACATTTGTTTGCATTTCCTACATTAAATACATGTCACACAATTTTTACTACCATATTATAAATGTATTATAACATTTATTTAATAAGTAATAAACGATTCTCATCCCTAAGCTGTGAAAAAAGAATTAAATTATAGCAATATTACAAACATTTAATAAAAGTTTCCTGTTATATGGAGACATTTTATTTTACATCTTTCAAAGTGATCTAAATGAAGTGCTTTAGGTGCTCTTATTTGTTGAGTCAAAGCCTGTTTTCTACAACTATTATTGAGACTTAATTAAATGACCTGGTCATGCAATATTAATAGAAGAATTGTTTTCCATGACAGCAAAAAAAATTTGAATTTATATTACTCTTGTGAATTGCGACACAGGAAAATGTCAAATGTCATTAGAACTTAAAAGTTTCTAATGTTATGAATTTACTAATTATTTCCCACTCAATTTCAGAAAAAAAAAATTCCATGATTTTTCCAGGTATAACAGGCAAATTTCAATGAAAAATGAGACCATATTTTCATCAGAAAAACTTTGATTCTTTTATTTGTAATGTGAAATATTAGATTTGGGTCAAAAATATTATTAAATGAGGATAAGAGCATGCCAGTTTGACTAAAATGTTAAATTTTTACAACAAATAATTGTAACAAATGTTAGAATTATTTAACTTGAATCTTAATAACTGATTACTGTAACTCACAATTTTAAGACTCATTATTTTCCAGGTATGACATAGGAATATTCCAAGTTTTTGTAAAAAAATTGCAACTTTCTCTGACTATTCCCTGATTTTTGGAGTAAAAATAAAATTCCCTGAAAATTCCAAGTTTTCCCTGTTTTAACACTAGAAAGACTGAATATCTAGATGAAATCTAAAATCCTAGATCCTCCTGAAAGTCTCATAAGCTGTCAGACTTTCAAGAGGCCCATCCCAGATTGTTTGAGTAGAGATAAATTAGGTATCCAAAATCTTACAATATAATCAAAATTCCTTTAATAAAAATATATTAGAGACTCGTTCATTAAAATTTCACAGTAATTTTTTTTTATTTAATTAACAAAAATATCTGATTAAAATGAGCGCTGACATTTTTAAAAAAAATGAAGTTGGGATACTTTATAATTACCCCTTTCATCGTTCTAGATATGAAGTTCTATGTATACATTTCTATAAGGATAACATAATGATTAAATAAACACTAACATTGGATTAAATTATGAAAAGTCAAATATACTCAATAATTTCAGTAAGTTATTTTTTGAATTACAGAACAACAAAAAACAAGAGCAGCCGAATAGTACCCATTTGTCTTGCTCGTGTCAGTTTATTATAAAACTAATTATTATAGCTATAGTGAGAGATTTGTGTAATTAACTAAAGGAATAGACGATGGGTTCGCTAAAGGTGAATTCGCCATTCAGTTCCAAATTTTAGTTTTAAATAATTTTTTTCATGAACTGAATACAAGAAAGCATCGCATATTCGATCAAAAGCATGCTTTCTGAGCATTTAAAAATCATCTTTTGCTGCAAAATCAATCTCTTTTTTTTTTTAATATTTACCATATGTTGCTCATGATCTTTTTTGTTATTGTGTTCGCACTAATAACTTAAACACAAGATTTATGTGTTTTTTTTATTAACTATGAAGAAGGGAGAGGATGCTTCTAATAAATCAAGAAAGTAGTGATTGAAAGAACAGAAAAATCAGTTCTTGCATATTTTATGTTTTGGATTTGACCTGCTGAATGACACACATTGTAAGTGAGTCCATACATATTTATATAACTTGCTATAATTCACACTTCTTAAAGATAAATTCATTTAAGGTTTAGTAACATTAAAAATAGGTATATTCAATAATTAAATTTTAAAAAAAAATATTCCAATTCACATAATTTTTTTTTTTACTGATTTTATTTAAAAGAAATTTCTATTTTGGTAATTGTTCAAAAAAAAAAAAGCACGATCATTTTACACCTCCTGATTTTAGTTTAAAAAGTGTTTCGCTATTCTTTTTTCATAGCATACTTATGAGATGACATATATTTTATGACGACAAAAGTAATTTTAGAGCTATCTAACATGCTTAACATTGAATCTCGAGATGTTAAAATTTATAAGTACTATTCATACAAAATAAACTATTTGGGACGGCCTAGACCTGCAACAGGCTGTAGTGCCTTGTAAAAAGATGAAGATTCATACAAAATAAACCATAAAGTTAAGTAACTTATTTTTAAAAAAATGCACAACACACAATTAGAGACTCACACATAATTTCTCACTAAATCATTTTTAAACAATACAATCATCAACTCATGTGGAGAAAAAAAAGCTTCAAACTTTGACTAAGAAAGACATTATTGCTGAAGAGAAGAAACAGATCAACGCAGTGCATTATTTTTTTTTCTATACAAATTTTCAAGGTGCAATTTGTCCATAAAATAGAAGACCAGCATACAATCCAATATACGCTTGGAAAGGTCTTTGAAACTAACTTCAAAAAAAAAGAAAGAAACAATTTGCGAAATTAACACACTATGTGGTCCAACATAGTTTCTTTTCTTTTTTTCCCCCTTAGTTTTCTCTAATCTAAAATATAAAGAGAAAAAAAAAGCAATTATTAAATTACATAAGAAATATTAATAAATATTATGTGTGGGGTTTGCTAAAGTTGGTTATTTGATTATTTTTAAATTCTGCTTTTGGAATAAAAAAACATGCATAATGTGGAACCTTCAGCTGCAAATTTTGTAACAAATACCCAAAGTAGAGAAATAAAATAACTGAGATTTTGCTAGCAACATTTTTAGGTCTACGCGTACAGTTTTTATACTTCACGCATAATCATGTGAGTCAAAGAGATAAATTCAAAATTGGAAATAATAATAGCACTTACAATTGGCGAAGTAAAAAATATGTAAATAAATCTTATTCTAAAAAAGTTTTTTTTAAACCATTATTCTGAATTACAATAGACACTCAACATCAAAATAATAAATACATACTCATATTTCGAACTTAAGTAGCTGATTTGGTCATGCATAGTAAATTTTGGGGTGATTTTTGTATCATGATCTATGACAGAATAATTGGCAAGTTTTGGAAACTTCAGGGCAGCACCCTGCCAGAATCTAAAAAAACACCACAGAAAGGGACTAACTCGAAAGGTATAACTTGTAGTCAGCCCTTAGCAAATATCTACATGTTTTTTTTTTTAAATTTTTACTGTTTAAAATCAATTTGTGTGCCTTGGCGATTGTAGTAGGAGTGTAGTTTCATATTGTATCACAATAGGAAAATATCCCCAAAATTTTTATCTAAGTTCTTTGCATAACAGTTACCAGAAAAATTACTTTTCATCAAAAGCAAGCTTTTAAGCTTTTCATCAGAAAGTGATGAGGAAAATTCGGAGCAAATTTTTTCTTAACTTTAGAGAAAATTCTTTTGCACTCTGCATTGCTATATGGAATGCATAGGATACCTAACATAACATCTGCTATATTTTTGCACTGTTTTTTTAATTACAGTTCATTTTCTCGAAGCCCAATTGACACGCACAATAAATGATTTTGATAACAGAAATGCATTTACGTTTTGACTATCAGTAAAAACAGAATGCAAATAAAGGAAGTTATTACTGCCAGATTCTCAAAAGTAAAGAACGAAGTACGTAATCGGAGAAAAAACAATTTACTAAATAAACAACTCACAGCAGCGCCATCTGCTTGAGGAATAAGAGAAGTACTTTTGCCATTAGATGATATTTATCACTAACAAATTATCTTTTTTAAATTTCTTAAAAAAATATGGAGAAATTTGAGAAAATGAAGGTAAACGGGAGATAGTCATAGAATATGGGAGTCTTTGTTAAAAAAACAGGAGACTTGGCAGGTATGCAATGAGTTTGCAGACAAATTTGGATTTATGAAGATAGTGCTGCAGATTCACTCTGCAAATTCTGCGATTAAGGAAAAAGGCATACATATTTGCATATTTATTCTTTTAAATTTATTTCTCTAACTATTATCAAAATAACTGAAAATACACTGAAAAAAAATTTCATATTAAGCCTTAATGGGCAATCAGAGATTTACCTTTTATTTAATACTAAATCTGGGAATCCAGACATATTTCATTTTAAAAATAAGTGAATGAGAAAAGACTGTATATATAAAGAAAAATTTAGAAAATAAAAGTTAGCATTTTAAAGAAAAGGATAGAACATGTTTTTATTAAATACTGTAACATTTAAAGACCATGATTTTTTCCCTTAATTCTCTCATTCGTACCAATGTGTAATATTGATAGATATTGGTAGGAACAATGGCAGAATATCCAACCAATGAGGAAACATATTCCTTTATCTATTTTAGAAAAAAAATGTTTTTTCAAAGAAAAAAAAAGAACAAATTTTCAATTCTAAATCTTCAATTAATTTCCAAACATATTAACAGTAGAATTAAAATTAACTATCAAAACTAAAATTTAAATTGAAGCAAATAATCAATTAATAAAAATAAAATTTAACTTTGAAAAAAAGTCAAGATGTTTAAAAAATGTAAGTACTTTTTTATATTTTTATTAACAAAATTTTTGACAAATTTTACAATCATATATATGATTCATTAGCTTGTTAATATTTTTTAAATAGTTGATGTCTGTTTTAATTAAATTTACTTTAATTCGTTTTTTTTTTAAATCTGAAGAATAGTTACTAATATGTTACTAAGCACATAAAACAATTTCATATATTTAGAAAAATTATTAAAAAATTCATGAATATAAAATATGATTTAAATCAACTACATATAAGTCAGCAATTTTATTATAATTTAGGTATTTCTCAGTTTGTTTAATAATTAAAGGGCATATTACTGGTACATACTTAAAACATTAGATACAAGATCTGCATTCATACTTTACTAACATTTAGCATCTGAAGTAGCTTTAAAGAAAAACTATTTGTAATTGAAATTACCCTTAGCAAAGTTTCTTCTGATGGAAAGTATTGAGCCATGTGGGAGAATCGCAGCGACATTGTAGCAGATAATTACAGAAATCTTGTAGAAAGATTTTTCTTTGGGAAGAAAAAAATTTCAGGTTGCTTTTCAGTAGAAATTTGCACACAAAATTTGAATCGCGCATTTAAATAACAACTTTTTGAAGTGCTCAATTTATGCCGATATTGTAAATCCATTTTGATTGTATTTTCAGCAGTTATTGAAATTGATTTTTACGTGGCTTTTAGATATCTCGATACATTTCAGGCGATAAATTCAAACATATTATTTTTCTTGTTTTTGTAAACAGCGTTTTTGTTACCTTAAATTAGTAACATACATCTTTGATATTATAGAAAGTATATTGCAGAAAGATATTAGAGCTAGAGAGTTTTGTTGCAGGAAGCCCAGAAAAATTCTGTCACAGAAGTATTGAGCTTGTTATCAGTATAGCTTCATACTTAGATAATTTATTTTAGATTATCTATTGATCAGTAACTATTATCTATTGATCACATTGAAAAAAACTATAAAATTGATCAGTACTAAACAAACTATGACAATCCAATTCAATAAAGATAAAATAAAGCATAAAAATTAAAGTATTGGAATACTACTTAATTTGTCAAATTTTAAAAAAAATAAGGTTTAGAATTTATTACATTTCATGATCAGACATGAAAACTTAAATCACAAACGTTAATTAATCATTCACTTAATTCACATAGCATATAAATTACATCAGATATCATAAAATAACCAAAAAATGAAATATTCTAAACATCAAAACAATCATCATAACAATAATCTGTATCTACCATTAATGAGAAGTGTGACAAAAAGTGGCTGCCAGTCAATATTCTATAATAAAGTTCTAACAGAGTACCCCACAAGAAAGTTACACGTAAAAATAAATTAATAATAAATGTCTCTATAAATATCACATCTCCAGGGTCGTCACAGTAAAAAATGAACAAAAATAGTTGCTTTTAGTAGCCTCAAGCATGAAAATATTTGCCTAAAACTTTAAAAATAGTTGCCTGAACAGGAGCAAAAATTTATCGAAAATAGTAGACAAATAATTAAAATTGTAGCTTAATTGTCAAATACTATGATAAGGACTGGTTGATGTCAGAAATTTTAAATTGTGATACATCGTCCGTTAGACATCGCGATTTAGCATATGTTCAGAAATTACCTATGGGAAATCAATCAAAAATAAATGAAAAGGAATAAATCTATTACAAAAGAAAATATTAATTCTAAACATATTCTACTATAATATCAATATCATTGCTTAATTTTTTCGATTAAAATAAAAAAGAAGTAAAAGCAAACCCAAGATTTATTTTATTTTTCTTAAATTAAAAATGATTTAAGATTTATTGGTTTAAAAATAATAATACAGTAACAAAATATTTTACATACGTGCATTATAATTAAAAGAAAAAAAACGAAAGTAGAAAAAAACCAAAAAAATGTTAACTTTAGAAAAAAAAAATTTTTTTTTTAAATTATTTGTTGGAAAAAAAACTTTGTTTTCAGTTTCTCAAAAATAAAAGCAAATTAAATAAAGGTAAGCTCTATTTTAATTTTTTTATAAATAAAAACAACTGAACATTTATTGGTTCAAAAATAATCAAATTATTATACTTACCTACATTAAATCAATTTGAAAAAAAAAAAAAAAAATTAAGTACAAAATACCCCTATTAAATTGAATCGCTTAAAATGAAAAATAATAACTGAAAAAAACAAATGAATAAACTTTTTCAATTTATATTTTCTTTTCATTGATCTATTGAGTTCCGAACGAAAGTTTAAGATAACAGCGATTGTATAGCAATCGCAAAGTAACAGTAGGTCTACGAAAAATAAGTATAAGTATAAAAATAACTTTGCTAAGAGTAAAAAAGTCTCCCAATAGTCGCCTATTCCTGAAAATAGTTGCTTTTTTAGCCTTTTCAGGCAAAAAAAAGTCTCCATTGTCGCCTAAGGCCGAAAATAGTAGCAAATAGTCGCATTTTAGTATCCTGTGGCAAACCTGCATCTCATCAACTATAAATCATTTCTTTGAAAATATAAAACACATTAAAATGGTGCTTTTAAACAAACTAAGTGACTTTTTAAGTTTGTATAATGGGATATCTTTTACTTGAAATAAATAGTAATATCAAATTTAAATAGAAGAAAGAAATAGCTCAAAATTAATTTTAAAAAATTTTAACAATATATTTATTAATTTATATGCAAATTTACAATCATACCACTGATTATTAAATTAGTAACACAAATTTTACCTCAATTTTTGACATCAACAACAGGTATTTGAACATTTACAGGAATAGCATATTCATAACCTCCTTTAGAAGCCATTTGATGTTGCAATGAATTAAGCTAGGAAAGAAAATTCTTTTATTAGAACATTGCTCGTAGTACACCAATGAAAAAATTAATTGAAAATGATTTGTTTTAAAAATAATAAATTTTTTTTAACAGTATATATTAGATTAATTTAAAAAATATCTTGAAATGAAAACACCATGAATTATTGCTTAACATTTAAGTATGGATGGGTGATCTAATGTAAACAATAACAAATGTCCTTAAACCGGAAGAAATTTAGAAAATTTCCGGTGTATCCCTCCGCTTATGTTATGACTACGAGGCGATGTGTGAACAAGCCTAATATTCTATGCAGTTTTGTTATTGTAATTTGGGTTCAAATCTAAACATAATTGTACCATTCATAAGAGCTTTCAGAAATGTATTGATTCTCAGAGGTCGTAAGGCCAAAAAAAATTTTGGAAAGTAAATATCTCATTGTGAATAATTCTTAAGGTTTGCCATGTTTTGTATTTTATCCTTTATTTGGCTACATTTGAATAAAATGTCGCCAAAAATATCGTTAAAAATATCTTTTTAAGATAGCCTAATTAGCCTAATTAATGCTGAAATTTAAAGACTGAAAGAAAGAACTCGGTGCATGTGAAATACTGCAAAAGATATGATGCAATAATACGATGGTGCGTTTCTTCAATCTGCGGCGTAAAAATACATTGGAAGCAGTAACCCGGAAGTCTTGAAAGAGCAATTTTACCACTAGCGCCGCCACCCTTAGCTTTACACAATCACCCATCCATAAAAGTGTTGACTGATGATAATGATCAGAATGATAAGGTATAATCATAATGTATTATCATATAAGGCATATCATGTAAGGTATATCATATATACATATAAGGTAATAATATAAGGTATAAGGATAATGATTCACAATTTAAAAATTGTATGACACAATTACTGTACTATTGATTGGAATCAATAAATGTAGAACTACAAAACCCCACCTAACAAGAATAGTCATCGCATGTGGTTGAAATAACTAAGCATATGATCCCTGATTATACTACAATAAAAATTTCATAATGCAAAACTGTCAATGTATTGTCTTTTTCACAAAGTGACTGAATTCTCAAATAGTTTGAAACAATAAATCCTGCAGAAAAGGGTATAAGCTAGAACCATGCATATGAAAATTGTATTGAAATACAAAAAACAAAAAAAAATGCTAGAGTGAAAATCAAAATCTTTTGATTCATTGTTTATTTTAAATCTTGCACTTTAATTAATGATTAAATATTTTTTATAGTTAATATTATATTCTATAATTTATATTAGATTCCTTTAGATAATTAAAATAGTTCTGAAAATGAGATTCCATGCAGTAATGTACTGGTATTGCATCTCATTGTAAGAAAACTTAATATTTGAAGAAAAAAAAAGTGTTTTCTAAATAATTATTAAATCTACTCGTCACTGCATTTAAATCGACCATAATAGAACATTATGCATGCTTGTTCAAAATTTAGGTGCAAATATTTATACTCCTAACTATCGTAGTTTAAACCTGAAGTCCATGTATGTGGACCTAAAAATATTAGCCCCCTGGCAGGATAATTCATATTATGTCTATTTTATTACAACTAATGAGAGTAAAATAGAAATTTGAAACTGTGAAATATTTTTTTGCAATATTCCTTCAGTAGTGATGAGCTTAATGATTTCTACAATGCCTTTAAATGTTACCTTGGACCAAATCTGAGTTCTTTAGAGAAATAAACATGAAATATATTTTTGCTTACATGAACATTCATGTCTCCAGATCCAACGTGAGCTGTATGTCTGAAATTAGTGGGGCTCCCAATCATAGATCTATCAATTCTGTGTCGTCTTTTCTGAAATATTTATGATTTATTATTTAAAAAAAACATGTTTAATACAAATAAAGTATTTGCTCATATTAATCCACTTACTATTTAAATTTTTTTTCATTTTAGCAAACCTTTAAAGCAATTTACATACCTGTCAACATTAAAGAAATAAAAAAAATGGAGATTTTACTAGCGACATTTTTTTAGGGTACGAGTAAAGTTTTGATATATAAGTCATAATTATGTGAATCAAAAAGAGGAATTCAAAATTGGAAGTAATATAAGCACTTACATTTAGCGAAATAAAAAATATGTATACAAATCCTAATCTGAAGAAGACTTTTTTAAAACCATTATTTATAATTACTTATACTATATGNATAACAGAGATTTTACTAGTGACATTTTTTTAGGCTATGAGTAAAGTTTTAATACATCATGCATAATCATGTAAGTCAAAAAGAGAAATTCAAAATTGGAAATAATAAAAGCATTTACATTTAGTGATGTAAAAAATTTGTATATAAATCTTAATCTAAAGAAGATCTTTCTTAAAACCATTATTTATAATTACTTACACTATATGCACACAACATACTGCAGTAACGGCAATAGCATTATTATTGTGGAATAACAGAAGTATTTTTGCCATTAGCTGATATTTTTTTTCTTAATTTCTTCAACAAATATGGAGAAATTTGGGAATATACGGGCAAACAGGCGATAGTCGTAAAATAGAGGAGTTTTCGTTAAAAAACAGGAGACTTGGCAGGTATGAACTTAGCAATTATAATGTTTACCATAATTTGAAAAATGTTTCAAAAGAAATGCTTTTGTTTAGAACACAAAACTTTTTAATCATTTAAAATTTTCATTCTTCGAAAAAATTACCACGTTTTAAAAAGTGGCTACTGCAAAATAACTTAATTTTGTCCCGTAGTGAGTCAAACCACTTCATGAGTCGATATCAAAAGGTTTAAAACTAAGACTCATAATATTCTTTAGGAAGACTATTTTGAAAAAAAAAAAATTTATTCTAGTTTAGGGGTGCACAACCTATTTCCTTTGGGCCACATGCGGCCTGCTGACTGTTGATGAGCGGCCCGCGAGAGCTTCTGAACACAGTAAAAATTTCTTTTAATTTGGTTTTTGTTTAAACATTATAAATTTCGTATATTAGAATATTTAATTAAAATTTATATTACTCTATAAAATACGTATTTTCTTTCTTTCTTTTGCACTTCTGTAAGCTTCTTTATGATTAGAATTTACANACCCCCTTCCAATATTTATGTATATATATATATGCATTGATAAATTAATTATTGTGAAGAACGTAAGAAGTTTTTTTAATAAAATGTATCAGTTTTTTAAGTTTCAAATAAATTCAAATAATTAAGAGTATTTAATATTCTGCAAATATATGTTATTAAGTTTACTGACAAAAATATCTGATGCTTAGAACACTAATGTTTACATAAAAATCTTCATATTTGCCGCTAGCATGACTAAATATGCGTGCGGCCTTTCGTTAATCTACGTGCTGTGCAAGTGGCCCTTTACTCAAAAAAGTTGTGCAGCCCTATTCTAGTTAATTATATTAAAAATCAAGATGCCTGATTAATGAATACGGAAAATATGGTGTGTCATTTATAATTCGTGAAGAGTAGTGAAAAAAGGATAGAATTACTGGAGGTGGTTCATCAGTCACACAGCATGAGAAACATTGGATCCAGATTTCACTCATTCTATCACCAACACGAAGAGGACCAGACCTCCTCCTGTCTTCACCAAAAGGTCTCAGCTTTCTTCTTTTTGTAAACTCTTTAATAATAATCTAAATGCTTAATAAAAAAATACATATATTTGTTAGAATATATAAAATAAAAACAAATTAAAATTATTTGTACTAAAGTCACAAGAAAAGCAACAATAAAATCAAGAATCTTTCCAATAAATATAAAGAATCAGAATAGGGATAAGGAAATTAATTTATATTTTACATGCAAATTGATTTTTTCTTCTTTTTTTAGTTTAAAATTATTTTTAACACAGGGTTGAGGAATTTTTTTCTTCTTTTGCAAACAGCAAAGCTCGTCAAATTGTCTGACGTATGAGCTTCAACAGACTCAAGTCACCATACTGTTGGCTTTCATATTAAGGCCCAATTTACTTATAAGCTAGATAGGATACAGATTAGTGTGCTGAGAATTGTAGGGTCCCCTCAAAAATAACTATTTTTTACCTTCGTTTGCTTGAAGGTGCAAGAGCCTTTGCAAATCAAAATATCCATTTTTTTTGCTTCGGCATTGGTCAAAATTTGAAAATCAACACAAATAATTCCTCCCCAATGTCCTGTAAATTGCTTCTCTAATTGCTGTCTGTTCCATCCTTTCTGGAGTCTAATTTCTAGGAGCATTCTCGATTGCAAAAGAAAGTGTGTACTAAATTTGATGGGGTTGTAGATTAGTATTTAGAAAGAGAATTTTTTTAATTAAAATTTTCTTTTATCGCCCTTTTGGTTACTATTTTCTGCATACCATTTACTAATATTCTGCAATTTTTTGCCATTTCCTGAATTCTTATAACAATATAAACGACTAGCCTCCTGTCTCTGCTTATTTTGTTCACCAACCCCCACAATTTTCTTCGCATTTATCATTGTATTTTATTATTATTTTTTCCAAAACGTTCAACTTTTCCACAAAAATAAAGAATATTTTGATCACAAAATATACAATCATTGTGCATCTATCGTTAGATTTTTCGTTTACAGTTTTCAAGGCTAGGGTTTATTACCATGTGATTTGGTTATAGCCCATTATTTACAGTCATTTAGCAAAATAGATCATAAGATAGTTAATAGATTTTTAAAATAGGTAGGTTTCTTTCTTGGACTTTTAAATTAATTTAGACCATTATATAGAGATTTAAATTGATCTCTGAGATCATGACAACATTTATTTGTCATGGAGAGTCTGGTATTACTTAAACAATAAAATTATTGTGGTGTTAATTCTACAATATTTGAACTGTGACACACTTTCAATCAGGGTTCGTGATTTTTTTGATTTTTTAAAAAAAAATCGGATTATTTTGATTTAAATCGGATTTTTTTGATTTAAATCAGATTTTTTTTATTTCTATTCAAAAACACTATAAGAGCTTTAATTTATGATTAAAAAAACCTTATAAATGTTTAATCAAAATTAAATTAATATTAAAACTATATTATAACAATATTTTAGAAGCTCTAACTTACTAAAATAATTTTTCATTATAATGCATAGCGACCATTTTGATACAAAGGCATGATTGAAATTAAAAGACAAGATAAAATAGATAATTTAAAGAATACTACTTTAACTAATAACACAAAGTTTCAATTAGCACAGCATAATTTTAATTTAAAATTGTGATCTCTTTTTTTTCTCATGATTTATAAAATGGCAAAATAAATGCAACAGATTGTGTTTATAAATGTTGTTATTCATCAAAAAATAAATATTCAATCTATATATTTTTATGTTAAAATATTCATTTTTAATCCTTTATCAAAATACATAAGTTAAGCTAAAAAACATTTTTAAAAAAATCTATGTACTCATTGGAATTTTTTTTCACAAAAGAAAATCTGATAATTTCAAAGATACCGTAAACATATTATGAGAAGAAAAATAAAAACCAGTTAATAACCCTACTGCTTCAAATAGACTTTGATAGGGAAGAATGACACTATATCAGGAAAAAAATATCTGAACTCAGCTTTTTTTTTCTTTCTATTTTTGGCATATTAAGGTAATTTCTTTTTAATATAACCTCAAGCTTTAGAAATATAGAAATTTCCATCAATAAACTATAATGTAGATTTGAATTTCATGCTTTTTTAATCAAAAGGTAGAATTTTAATTAACATTTGCTTTTTGAAAAAAAAGCATGTTTATTTACTTTCTACAGCTATGCAAGTCTATATTAAGACAGCATTAAATATTTACTTTAATCTGTACTTTCAATGTTAAGAATCAAAAGATTTTTAAACATGTAATTTTAAATGTGTTTAACACACTCCAAGAAAGAAAGTAATTTCGTTAACTAAAATTAATTAATGCAGCAATTTATTTAAAATAAATTTTAAAACTAAGAAAAGAAAATAATAAAAGTATCAATAATTTAAAGCACTGTTTTTTAACTTTTAAAATCAATATAATATATATATAAAAATCAGTTGATTTAAATCAATGATTTTTTTAAAAAAATCATTTGATTTTAATCATGATTTAAATCGTGATTTAAGTCAAGCTGATTTAAATCAACAAACCCTGCTTTCAAAGGTGTAATTTCTTTTTTATTAAAGACGAAGTTAAGTGTAAAATCCATGAACTAAATTATGTCACTGTTTATTACAAAAACTAATTTTTCAATCACAGATTTCAATAAATAAATGAAATAGCCAGGGTGAAAAAAGTCATTATAAATAAATAAAAAAACAACAACTTTCTTTCTCTCCAAAAACTGCAAACTGTGCTTTTACAACAAGAACTTTAGACTTCGGAGTCAATAGGGGTAATAATTTTCATCTATCAAATAATTTAATAGATAACAAATGATATACAGTCCATTTAGTTCTATAAATTTTAGCTTTGAGGTAAATAAGCATTCTTTTACAAAACTTCCAGGTTTTACATTACGTCAATCAAGACAAAGACTACTTGATTTTAAATTATTAATTCTGATTAAACTGGTGTAGTTGCATTAATATAGAAATGCCTGATCTGTTTTATAGAAGATGTAGAGAAAAATATTAAAATTCTAGCAATTTGAAGCAGTGGTATAATGACTTTTAGCACGAATGAAACTCAATATGAGCAACTTTGGAAAAAAATGTCTAAATTAAAAGAGATTAATGAATTGAAACAAAAAGCAAGTCATTCTAATTAATAAAATTTACTTGGTTGTTGTTAATTTACGTCGCACTAGAGCTGCACAATGGGCTATTGGCGACGGTCTGGGAAACATCCCGGAGGACGATCCGAAGATATGCCATCACAATTTTGATCCTCTGCGGAAGGGATGGCACCCCCGCTTCAGTAGCCCGACGACCTGCGCGCGAAGTCGAGCACTTTACGGTAGCACAGTTTAACGAGGACCAATACCGCACACCCTCGGTCCCTACGCAGACTGATCCAAGTGGTCACCCACCCGCACACTGACCGTAGTCAGTGATGCTTGACTTCGGTGATCTGCTGGGAACCGTGTCTTAACGATCAGTCCACTGCGGGACTAATAAAATTTACAGTTTCTAATTAATAACTTTGGTTTACATGTCAGCTACTTGATGACTTTCAGCAATCAATTATTGTTTCCATTTTCATCTGGAAATTTATGGTTTGATGTTTTCAAAAAGTATGTGAAATTAAGGCTTTACACTTCATTTAATATTCCGTAATATATTGTAAGCCTTTTATTTATTTTAATTATTTCTAGTAGCATAATATTACAATTATGTAAAGAGAAAATAATTTTTTGGAGAAATAAAATTTTTTTGAAAAATATAATTTTGATGAAAAAATTTCAATTAACAAATTTTTTTGTTACAAAACTTAATTTTTGTTTTTGTAACATAAATTTTTAAAAGTTAATATTGCTTAGAGGCAATATTTTTTTAAAATCTTTTCTGGACCTTATACTTACAATTCCTTAAAAAAAAAAAAATAATAATAATAAATTAAAATAACTGGTGTTGCAAATGTAAAAATTATTTTGTTATGGATATAGCATTTTTTTGTTGTTACATCAGTAACAAATCAAGAACTTGAATTTAAAAGAAAGTGAATGCTTATATTCACAGATCTAAATAATTGAGAGAGCTTATTTATTAATATTATTCCTAACATTATGTTCTTTTTAACTAATCCCAAAATTTAATTTCATAGCTCCGAATAACTAATTTTGCAAAAACATTATGAATTTCCTTAACAATTTTTTTTTTCATTGTAAAAACAACTTCGTATTATTAATATTACCTTAAGTAAGACTTTATTTTGTAACCCAACTATAATGATTTAAAACAAAAACTCTTATTTCTCATTTTACAAAGCCTTTTTTATAAACTGGGACAGTTATTACCATAAACAAAAACACAATTTTTCTTTCTTAAAACTTCAAGATATTTTTTTTTCTTCTTAACTACATCATATGCCCAATGACAATCAAAAAAACATAACAGATACTGCATGTTTTCCATTTTTAAATATAATTTTAATCCTTAATAACAAATATAATTTTATAACAAATATAATTTTTTCATCATAACAGCACATTAAAAGTTCAGTTAGCTTTTTACTTGGGAAGAAGTTTTATTCTTTTTTAATCTCCTATACAATTACAATTTCCATTCTTTTTTTTCTTCTTAAACTCACAATTTTTTTTTAAAAGGAAAATTAACAAAAAAATTCACAATTTCAAAATGTAGACAATATTGTTAAAATTATAATATAACCCTTTGCACTCAGAGTAATTTAAAACATTTTTTGAATTAATGTAAGCACCTTATTTAACATATATGTTATGATAATGTAATATTTCATGATGTAATATTACTAAATAAGTCCACCCTGTTCCCATAACAACTCATGCCTCTGGGGATACTGATCCAGGAGTTTCCTTGTCTTCTGGATTGGTTCAAAATTACAAGGCTACGGAGTTGAACATTAGTAGACGTATACCCAAAAATTGAGTCGGCTTTTCAACGACGGTTATAAAATAAAATAGGTTTTAGCTGCTTAAACAGACTTCAGGACTATTACAAAACGAAAAAAAAGATAGCTAACAGATTCTAATCAGGATGATAGGACACATAAAAATGATAATTTACCCAGGTCATAAGCACAGAAGCATAAGAAAATTAAATTTTGCATTCTAATAACTTTTTTATAAAAAACGATAAAGAATCGGAGTTACCATAAAGGTTACAAAACCAAATACTTACTGATCAGAGGAAAAGATTTTATTTCCATAAACTCAAATTTGTAAGACAACTTTACAAATCATCAGAGAAACTATTTACTAAGTATTTTCTACTAGCCAATAAGTTACCAATGGTTACTTGTATTTTTAAAGGTGAATCTAAATATTTTGGAAAGAAGCATCGGAATCAAAACATTCTAATAAAATGGAAATGAAAATATAAGTAGTAGTAGAAGTAATCTGACGATTTGTTTTGAAGCTATGTGCTTCAAGAATGCGCTTGTAGCTTTCATGAAGTGAGTATTGAGTATAGTAAAGTGCGGCGAGCTCTCTGCTCATCGCTTATAGCTCTGCGTTTTGGATTAAGCTTTCATGAGTTAAGTTGTTGTTGTTCATTTACGTCGCACTAGAGCTGCACAATGGGATATTGGCGACGGTCTGGGAAACATCCCTGAGGATGATCCGAAGACATGCCCTCACAATTTCGATCCTCTACAGAGGGGATGGCAACCCCGCTTCGGTAGCCCGATGACCTGCACTCGAAGTCGAGCACTTTACTGTAGAACAGTTTAACGAAGACCAATACCGCACACCCTCGGTCCCTACGCAGACTAATCCAAGTGATCATCCACCAGTACACTGACCTTAGCCAGTGATGCTTGACTTCAGTGATTTGCTGGGAACCGTGTCTGCTCTTAGATATATTTTGCTTTAGGAAATAATAATTTTTTTCATCCGCTAAGAAATCACGTATGAAGGTGTCACAATAACAATTGTAGACAACAAGCTCAAATTCTTTCTACAGATTATTCTGCGATGCAATATTTTCAAACAGATAATTTTGTTTTTAACAAAGGAAATTTATATAATTTCTGAGCTCAAAACTGCTGTATGCGCTGGTGAGTTTAATGAGAAAATTTGTTTTACTTATTTAGAGATGTAGGGTGTTAAAGAGTGACATGGCTACTAGGTTGAGAAAGAACTCACTTTTTGGCAGTCTTACTTTGACCTCTTTTTACTTGCTTATTACTGTTTCTATTGCAAGTCGGAATCACCATACGTTAGTCTCACCTTATTGTTGAAGAAGAGAGATTAAGTTCATTTTACAAAATAGAAATGAGACATTAAAATCTTTATAATTAAAATAAAAATGTGTGCTTGCAGAACAGTACTTCCTCAGGGGACTTCCTATGGGAATATTTTCATTTTTATTTTAATTATAAAGATTTTAATGTCTATTTTACGTAAAACAAATTTGGTTTCAGCTGCCTTGTGAGCTTTTCCAATTTGATTTAATTATTTAATGTTTCAATGTGTTTATTTACCTCCTATGTATCAAAATTGACTAAGTAAATTGAATTGATTTTATAATTTGGTTCATTTTACAAATTATCATTTAAGTTTAAATTTTGAACTTTACATCCTTTTGCTCTTGAGGAAACTCTGTTGGTCTGTAAGAAAGTATTAGTATTACTTATATATAATGAAGTGAGCCTTATTTATAGAAATCAGTTTACAACCTTTCTTTTTGTTCTAAAATGTTTATTAAACTAATTAAAAAATCCTTCTAAAATTAATTCAAAAATCTTTGTTTTTTTATGAATTAAATGCCTATTACTATTCAATATCACGATCGAGTAAACACAATGCACAAAATTTTAAGCATATTTAATGCCAATGATGACTGGGAAATATTGCGGTCTTTCTTTTTTGATGACTATACAAATCCCTAATATTTCCTAGGCGCTAAATTTTTAGTACCTTTTGTAACAATTATCATGAAATTTATATTTCGTAAAATCTACAGGATTTTTTTCCTATCTACGTGAATACGAATCGAGATGTGTATGTTTGCCTAAGATAGATACTCTGACCGCCAGTCTGGTGTTATGGAAACAAGAAGAGGGCATCTTAGGGAGGGTAGCTTCGATGAAAGAGGTCTCTTCTCTGGCCGAAACCAGTCCTAAAGAGGGATCCCGCACCCCTACTTGAAATCATCATACCTCATAGTCACTGCGACAGCTCCAGACGAATGTCCGGCAGAGTACCTATCTTAGACAAACAGTAGCTTTTAAATTGCAAGAAGACTCACAACTTATGATTTTTAAAAAGCATAAATATGAATAGTGATATGTGATTTTTAAATCGCGTGAATGTGAATCACGGAGTATGATTTTTGAATAGCGGGGAGAGTAAAAATGTATGATATTTTAAACACGCATCGCGATATGTGATTTTAAATCTCGTGAATACGAATCGCGATAGATAATTTTTAAATTTCGTTAATGCGATGGTCAATTTTAAGATTGGCGATCGAAATGGGCTGTAGGTGGCGTAGAGCAGAACTCTTTTCCTTTGGCAACACTTCACATGCTTTCCCCATTAGCGTGTGGAAAGTCATAGAGGAAGGAAGTACGTTAGTTTCTCTCTTGATTTTCACATAGATTAAACTGTGACTTGAAAAACTATATGGAACTGAAAACTACATTAAACATAGTTCTAAAGAAAAGTATCATATAAATTTTAAAAAATATTTGTATTAAATAAAAGGGAAAAATATTAAGAAAAGGGAAATTTCGTAGTACATTCCTATACAACTGAAAAGAGGAGGAGAGGGAAGGGCTAAAGGCATGAAACCGGTCTCTCCCCAGATGGCGTATTCGAGTGTTGCGATTTTTAAAACGCGTAAATACGAATCGCGATATGTTATTTTTAAATCATGTGACAACAAAAAGAATAGGTTGGAAGTGTGTTGTTAAATTTGCACGTGTTTATGGAACTAGAGTAATAGGCACGTATTTTGAATTATTTTTTTGCAAAAGGGACCGCCTTTAATATAAATCTACCCATCTCGTTCATTTTTTTAAAATTCTCTCCGGAAATTTGTTGATTTTGCTAAGATACGTAATTACTTCTTAAGTTACAAAAATTTTTAAAACAGAATCGAGTTTCACGAGTTGTAATATTGCGTTAAAATATCAGGATTTTCATTCAAAATCACAAGTAACAATGCAGCAATAACGGGAAAGGAAAAAAAAAAAAAAAACATTTTCGAAAAACCTCTTACATTTATGTTAAAATCGGCACAAATAGAGCACGTAAAAAGTAATTATTTTAATGTATGATTCAAAACTATAGTATTCGCGATCGCAACACTCGAATACGCCATCTGGGGAGAGACCGGTTTCATGCCTTTGGCCCTTCTCCCTTCCCTCTCCTCCTCTTTTTAGTTATATAGGAATGTACTACGATATTTTCCCTTTTTACTTAATAAAAATATTTTTAAAAATTTCCGTGATACTTTTCATTAGAAGTATGTTTAATGTAGTTTTCAGTTCCATATAGTTTTCCAACTTAAAAGATTTTAATCTATATGAAAATCAGGAGAGAAACTAACGTACTTCCTTCCTCTATGACTTTTCACACGCTTGGGGAAAGCATGTGAAGTGTTACCATAGGAAAAGAGTTCTGCTCTACGCCACCTGCAGCCCATTTCGCTCGCCAATTAAAAATATCAGAATTTTCTCTTAAATCCCCTTTATATTTATTTGCGATGAAATCGGTGTAAATATAGTGCGTCAATAAGTGATGTATTTAAATGCGAGATTCGAAATCAAAGTGTCGTAATAGCTTATAAAAAATATCGGGACTTTCACAAGATTGTAGAAATGTGTAGCAATAATTACCAAAATAACGATCGAAGAATAATTTGATTTACGATAAAATCGGCCCAAATAAAGCACGTCAAAAATTATGGTTATCTAAATGAGTGATTCTTTACTCGCGATTCGTAATAAGATCGTGCTAAAATAGCGAAATTTTACAAACCACGTGAAAATGCATAGCAATAACTGCCGAAAAAAAGGATTAAAAGTCATTTAGATTTGCTATGAAGTTTGCGCAAATAGAGCGTTTCATAACTTTCCGAAACTACGTGAAAATAGGTAGCAATAACCACCGAAAAGTCATTGGATCCGTAACGTTAACGAAAAATAGCGATCGAAAAACTATATTGAATGAGATTGGGTGCGACAAAAAATTATATGCGTAAATTTAAAATTTCCGATTTTTTTTCTTTTTTAAAGTAATTACTTTTTAAAATTTTGTTTAGATTGCGTCTGTGGGCCGCACATCAAGGATTAGCGGGCCGCAGGCTGTGCACCCCTAGCTTATATTAATACACGAAAAATAGGATAGAAATTATTTACAATATGGTGAACCAGGGCCGGGATAGGCTGGTTGGTAGAGCACTGGGCCCATGTCCAAGAGGCCATAGAATCCCCGTGTAGTAAATGGTGACTGATGCACTTTAAATCTGTCGAGTCGTAAAGTCCTCCATGTTCCACAAATCAATACCTCTGGGGATCCAGATCTTCTGTTGTTGTTCATTTACGTAGTCACTAGAGCTGAACAATGGGCTATTGGCGACGGTCTAGAAAACATTCCTGAGGACGATCCGAAGACATGCCATCGCAATTTTGATCCTCTGCAGAGGCGATGGCACCCCCGTTTCGGTAGCCCGACGACCTGCAAGCGAAGTCGAGCACATTACGGTAGAACAGTTTAACGAGGACCCATACCGCACACCCTCGGTCCCTACGCAGGCTGATCCAAGTGGTCACCCACCCGTACACTGACCGTAGCCAGTGATGCTTGACTTCGGTGATCTGCTGGGAACCGTGTCTTAACGATCACCAGATCTTCTGGATTGGGTTCAAAATTACAAGGCCACGGAATTGAACATTAGTAGTCGTAAACCCAAAATATGATCGGCTGTTCAACGACGGTTATAAAATATGGTTAACCAAAGTTAAACGTGTAAAAAAATTTGATCAAAATTCTTGTTTAAAACATTGAATAAATAACATGATTTTAGAGAAAAAAAGCTTTTTTGCATGTCACATTCTGAATATTAATGTGGTGTCAAAAGAAAATCGTTTGACCTTCTATGCAACTCCAGGTCGAAATATCCTATAGATGGCTCATAGAAATAATTGTTGATAAGAAATCTCTAAAATATAAACGTTGATAAGAAATCTCTAAAATATATTTAAGAAATAAAGAATAGTTTCCTTAAAAAATAAATGTGTTTTGAAAAAAGTTTTTTCCATACTCAGAACAAGGAAACAATTTTTAAAATAGTATGTATTTTTTCCAACCCTGTTTGCAATTAACTTTTGTCAACTAATGTTTCTAGCTGAAAGAGGTAGGGATAAATGAGGTTCTAGTAAACAGTGCAAGACTTTGCTTCTAAATATCATCGCACACTAGAGCATCTAAAATAATTAAGTTTCAGCAACTGACCAGCACAAAAACTTCTTTTTTCCGGAAGTATGCTACCATTTAAACAAGAGTAAAACAAAAACAATTTTGAATTGGAAAAATATTATTTCAAGTTAAGTCACTGCCATACACAAGGTTCACATGCACTGGGAATATCCAGAAATATCAAGGAAAATGATATTTGGATTGAAAAGTGAAGTAAATGTCACAGAAAAATGTAATTTTATTACAAATTTGGAATTGTCAAAGAAATTTTAACCCCATTAAATCTTGCAAAATACGCAGTATTTCACACTTCTTTCTTTGCGGTTGCGCTAATCATTATTAAAAATAATAAAATCAATTGCTGAACAGACGGTCGCTTGAGATTCTTCTTTTATGATAACATTTGTGGAGATGAGGGACAAGATTATTCAAAAACTCTTCAGCCATCCACATTCCAAAAGTAATTTTTTAAAAGCAGTGGTAGAATTCAATGAATTACAGATATACAGACAGTTGACACGTAATTGCTGTTTGCATCTCCCACCTTATAGACATAGGGGCCCCGTACTTATCGAATGCTTCAAGCATACATAGTAACAAGTTCTGCAAGGCGATATTTCAAACGGATAATTTTGTTTTTAATAAAAGAAGTAAATTAGATGATTTCTGAGCTCAAATCCGCCCAATTTCATAAGATATTAATGCTATTAAGTAATTCTGGTGAGTTTGAAGTGAAAATTTGTTTTAGTTATTTATAGATATATTGTTAAAAAAAGGTGACATGGTTGCTAGATTTTAAATAACTCGCTTTTTTGGCAGTCCTGATCTGGTCTCTTTCCCTTTGTTTATTACTATTTATTCTTGTTGCAAAAAAAAAGAAAAAAGAAGTGATCACAAGCGCGACAGAGACGCGCTGCCGTCCATATCAGCATCTTTCTAGAAGAGACATTTAAATTACCATTTAAAATATCTGTATAAAAATTTTTTTTAATACATTTCATAAAGTAATGTTTTAATTTCTAAATTATAAAAAATATAAAATCCATTAACAGGTCAGCTCACTTACGGCCGTAGACTGTTCAGGCAAAAGCTGAACTAACTAGATCATTCTTGATACAGGTTAATGTGGAATAAGCGTGCATAATAAATAATTCTTTTAAATGGTCTGAAAATAATATTAAGTACAACAAAATATTTTTAAATACATAAAATTACGTAATTTCTAAATTATTTGGGGGGGGGGAATAGCCCAAAATGCATTAACAAAGAGTTCACATGAAAAAAGTTATATTTTTCAGCTAAAAAAAAAAAGCATCAAAACGGCATAAAATAAAGTTGTTCATACAAGTTAGCACCGCACCAAGAAAATAAAGCTGTCATGTTTTACTTCAGAAGAGCAAATAATTAACAGCAAAAAATATTTAATGCTCAGCAGCGCCGCTAAAAACCTTGGGTAGGGAGGATGGGAGTTAAGGAGAAAAAGGATGGAAAATCTCAGATTTTAAAAAAGTAAATTATTCTTCTATTATAAAAAAATAATTCAACCATATTTAGCGGAAGAATTAACCCTGCGACTGATCACATATATCTGTAAAACAATGTAATAAGAAAAATAAAATGAAAAATTTTAAGCAAAATATTTATGAAAAAAAAAAAAAGATTTAAAAATTGATTAGAGTTAACAATTTCAGTAAAAAATATAAAACAATGTAAAAATTGAGCATTAAAAATCCTTCAAAGTCACTTTCATCGCTACCAGAGATAAATAAGTTCAATATTTTATCATTTGCCATGAAAATCAGCACTAGAAGAATCCTCATCACAGTCAGAGTCATCCCCGCTGAGCTCAAAGATGATGGCGTTTGCAAATGCCCGAGTGATTGCTTTTCTAGGTACCGCAGTCCAAGAGTCTACTACCCACTTGTTGGTGATAATTTCGTAACTCGCTCGCTTCACCTTTCCGCTAGCGGTATACGTATGAAGCCCATCTTTCTCCCACATCCACTTTCCCCACCTTTTCCGAACTTCATTTTTAACACTCTGTGGACTGTTATATTGCAATTTTTTTGTCATGCCCCTTGGGATGATGGCTATTTGAGTTGACATTGTGTGAAATTTTTTTTAATTGTTTCTACTCTATGTGCAATCAGGGAGTCCATGATAAAGAGAGACTTGGGTGAAAAAAAGGAGCCGGCATCTACAGACATCGTCCAACCACTCCAACATCATACGTTAATCATCCACCCCTTTTCATTTGCAAAAAAAGCAATTTCCTTAGGGAAATTGCCCCTTGGAATCGTTTTTCTTTTGAAGATAACGAGGGGTTTCAGTTTCTCCCCAGTGGCTGAGCAGGCCAACACACAGGTGAAGCTAGATTTTTTGTGGCCTGTCTCTTCAATGGAAACAGTTTTCTCACCTGTTTTACTCACAGTGCGTGAAGAGGGACAATCAAATGTGTGGGGCACTTCATCCATATTTATCAATTGATTATTAGTGACGTTAGACCCCCTTACAATATTTTGCACAAAATCCACAACATTGTTCATTTTTAGTTCCCAGTCAATGGGCAAAGATTGCCCTACCGTTGTTCTAGCTCTTATTGATAAATTTTGGGGCTTCATGAATCGAAAACACAATGAAGGGCAGGCAGAAAATGTGGAAATACCCATATTTTGAGCAATTAATTTTGCATGCAGCCTCATCCTAAAGGTCGAAACCGCAAGCCTCTTTTCTCTTTCACATAGCACCTATTCCTCCAGATTTTGTTCTAGTTCTGGATACTTAGTTATTCCGCTTCTCCTCGCTCTTTTATTTCTAGGCATTTTTTATATTATTGACTTTTCTTTTCTCCATCGACGGATGCAGCGTTCGTCTTACTCAAATTCTCGGCCTGCTGCTCGATTGCCGATTTCTTCAGCCCATTTAATCACAGACAGCTTTAAGCTGACAGTGTAGTTCCTATTCTTTCTTGAAGCCGTTACATTGATGAAGAAGGTAAATGTTAACAGGGATAACATAAGGGAAAATAATAACAAAACAACTAATAACAAAATAACTAATTACAGGAATAAGAAATAACTAAGCGCACACAAAAAAAATTCTCAAGAAGGAATGAGCGAAGGAGAAAGGAGTTTCACTTTCACAATCTTCGGGGGCGGAATTTTAGTGGGTAGAATGCTCTGTCCAATGGAAATAACACAATATGACTCAGCTTAGAAAGACAGGAGAAAAAACTGTTTAAATGAGCGATGTACCCCACCTTCTCCGGTTGTCATTTTTACTGGAGCTGTTTAGGAGGAATCAATCAGTTTTTTTAAAGGACTTGGGGGAAAAGAAAAGGGGATACTTCCTTATCTGTTCGCTCTAATTACAATTGCCAAGGCGCTAAGTAGATTTCTAGCTTGCGATCTTTCTTTAAGCTGGGGGTGGATACAAGATACATACCTTTTAAATTGGTTTCCTTATGCGATGTTTTTTAAATTTTATTATTGGTTTATTTATTTTCTTGGTGTTAGTTGCCGAAAATTGCTGACTGCTCTGCAGCAGACTGCGATACGGGCAAATATTTCTTCGACATTGTAATAAATTTTTTTCATAAAGTCTTTCTCTCAGTAATTATTTAATCTTAAATAATTTTCTTTGATAAATGTTTTTGCAATAAAAAATTATTGTGTCGGAAACAAGGCACGTAGGAAAAAACCCCCCAATTTTTTCAATAGCGCCGCAGTGCTTTCGCCAAAAAATACAGTACCTGGAATTTTATGTAAATTATCCTTGAACAGTCAGGAAAAATTTTTCTTTTCTTTGAGTATGAACTATGAATAGTTACCCTATCTTCTATTCATCATCAATGGCTTAACAGCCAGCCCAGGGTGGGCCTTCTCCAAGTCTTTTCTGGGCTAATCTTTTTCCTGCTAGCATTTTACAGTTCTTAAGACCAAAATGATTTTTTTCGAAGCCATCTATCCATCTCAAATTAAGCGTGCCTTTTTTTTGCATGTCAGCTGGTCTGGCATTGAAAACTCTTTTTGTGGTATGGTCTTCATCTAATCTGATAACATGGCTTGCCAATTTCATTCTTTGCCGTTTAATGAAGTTAATAATGTCAGGTTCATTATATGAGTGATTAAGCTCTAAATTTGTTCTTATAAGCCACATATCAATTTTTTGAATTCTTCCAAAAATACTTCTCAAGACCTTTCTTTCAAAGGTAAACAACATGACCTCAATACTCTATCAGAAATAATTTCAGAACACCAGCAGGAGAGTCTGGTATCTGGAGAAATTACACGAACAGATATAGATACAGAGAAAACATAAAATTAATTTATAATTTATTTAATCTTTCAACAGCTTTTTTAAGACTTTGCACAGCTTTATCAATATCAGACATACCTGTTTCTCTTCCAACACTTAAACGAAGAGATTTTGCAGATAAATGCTCAGGTACACCTGAGCTCACAAGAACAAATGAGCCTGAATTACCACTATGACAAGCAGCACCAGTACTCGCACAAATTTCTTTGGTTTCAGCTAAGATTTCATGCCCTGTCATACCATCAAAATCAAATGCAACACTTAATGTATTTGGAAGCCTATCTACATTAGGTTTCACATTAAAGATAATCCTGTCAGAAAACGCTTCGATTAAAGATTTTTTTAAATAATTACACACTTTTGTCATATGCTCGTTGTAAAGCTCCAGATTTTTTACAATTAATTCACAAGCTTTTCCTAATCCAGCTATCATGCAGGTATTTTCAGTTCCTGGTCTATACTTTCTTTCTTGTCCTCCACCATAAAATAGTGGGTAAAGTGGTTTACCCTGACGGAAATAAAGAGCTCCAATGCGTGGTCCGTAAAACTTGTGTCCAACAATGGTCAGGTAATCAACCCCTAAATCCTGAACTTCAACAGAAATTTTTCCCACTGCCTGCGCAGCATCTGTATGAAAAAGAATTTTATGACCAGAATTCTTCAGACACTCGCCTAAAGCTTTAACGGGTTGAATCACACCGGTTTCGTTATTTGCCAGCATTATAGTGATGAGGCAAGTATTAGGTCGAATTGCATTCATTACATCGTCCACATGAAAAGAGCCAGTGGTTTTGGAGACCGGTATGATTGTTAAATCAATTTCTTTAGAAGAGAAAAGAGTCTCTAGATACAGGATGACAGAATCGTGTTCGATATTTGAGGTTATAATGTGGGGTTTTGTCCCATTTCTTGCATTAGAGTAAAAATGTTTAACTGCAGTATGAATAGCCATATTATTACTCTCAGTACCGCCAGATGTAAATATTATTTCATCACTATTGCATCCTATCATGCTGGCAACTTTAATTCGTGATTCCTGAATAATATTATGAGCCTCTTTTCCAAATGCGTAAGAACTGCTAGGATTTCCCCAAACTTTGGATAAAGCAGATGTTATCGTCTCACAAACATCAGAATCAATTGGAGTAGTAGCATTGCAGTCCAGATACACTACCATAATTATGGTAAAAAATCCCTTCAATTGAAATGATTAAGCTTACAAAAAAATATTTTTCTCCCCAACAAATGCAACGGGTTGCAATTAATCACATTTACAACAGTGTTTTCACATTAACAGTTCAAAGTTTGCATTTTTCGTTGATGTTTATTTTGATAAACGGCGGGAGCGTATGTTTCCGTCTACCAGTTTCTGTCAAAAGCATTTCGATCGAAATATATCTTTTTCCTACTGAGCTTAAAGCTAGTTCAACTGCAAGAGAAAGCTTCAGTAATAGTGGCTGTAGTCTTGTTTTTAATGAAAATAAAAATATTAACTATGTATTTGTGTCATTAATTAATATATTTACTTGCCTTTTTTTTCTTTAATGGATGGAAACAAAGATGAAAGTGAGCACTGCATATCCATTGCTCAAAAATATATAAATGAAGGTGATCGGACTAAAGCTCTGAAATTTTTATACAAAGCTGAAAAATTATACCCTTCTCAACGAGCGAAAGGTGAGTTTGCAGATTTATGATACTCGTTCTAGATTTTAATGATTTGTTCTAACACTTAATATTTCTTTTCATGCGGAGACTTTTATTGAAATAATTTTTCGTATAATCGAGTCTCTATTCATTATTTAATTAATGTTCTGATTAAAATTAGGTTTAAGTGGTTTTCCTTTCCTTATAACTCAAATGCGGGTTAGTTCCGTCAAAAAGTCCTCCACGAAGGCAAATTTCTTCCAATACTTGATCTATAAGTTCCCTTGTCATCTAGATTGGGTTCAAAATTACAAGGCTACAGAGTTGAACATAAGTAGTCCTAAACCCCAAATTTCTCAAAAGCAGTGTTTTTTAACAGATGTAGGAATGGGGAATGGAACACTGAAATAGAATTGAATCTAATTTATGTTTGTAATATTGTTACAAATTTAAGAAATTTCGCCTATCTTTAGAATATTATAAATAATTAAAATAAAAATTGAGTTAAAATTATATTAATATTTTTATTTATGAAATATAATTATTTTATTTTTTGTGCATGCAGATATATACTTAAGTAAGGAAAAATAAAAACGCTATTTAAACTAATGTATAAATATTGAGTTAAGTGAGTTAAAAACATCAAAACCTGTTTTATTGTTGGAGATGATAAGAAACACATGGAACTTTTATCCATCAAATCAAATTCATTTTAATGCTTTCAATCTAGCCCATCTTAATAGTGATTTGTATATTTTTAAAAAACTTTTTTTATTAACTTATGTAAGTTTATAATTTTTATTTCATATACATAACAAGGTTTCTAAAAATATATATTAAGCAAAGTAAACACAGGAACCTTTGTAACAATATTCATTTTTTTTTTCATTCACTTAAAAATGTTTTTAAATTCATGTTCATTTTCTAATTTTAATCTTTTTAGACTACTTACTATATGTTGTACATATATTGACATTAATTAGTAGATTATTAATTACAAATTTGTGATATTTGAAAGCTACTATTGATAAATTAGTGAACAATTTTAGGAATGAATGTCGAATTTATTATAATACCTGATGAAAATTTTTTCTTACTAAATCATATAAATTTCTTTTAAGAAAACTAGTAAATTTACTAAACAATTTAACCCTTTAAAAAAAAAGAAATAGAATTTTACCCTAGAAAATTCGTTTTTTAAATAGACCAACATGATTTGTAACATACCAGCGATCCATTTCATTTAATGTATTAAAATTGTATTGATTTACAAAATTGTATGATGTGATTTAAAAACATAAATAAATAAAATCGATAGGTAAATTGAAATTGAAAAAAATTATGCATTGTTATTAAAAGTTTCTTTTGAANCTACCGACGGTAGGTAGGTGGAGGAGGGGGGTTCGCAGGAAAACGTTGTCACTTATTCAAGATACAAATTGTTCTGCAGGACTTCGTTTGTTCTGCGACATACGTCGCAGTTTTAGGCACTTTCTGCTTCTGGGTAATTAGCATTAAAATTGTCATATATTATGTAAATAATTGATCTCCCATCTGAACTTCCATCATTGAAAAAGATTGTTTTTGTGCTCAGTTTTCCTAATTTAATTAATAATAATTGTTAAGTGAATGTTAACCCTTCAAGTTATGAAGATAACAACTGTTTGCTAAAAATTGCATTCATTATAGAACAAATGCTATTCAAGTTGTTTTATTTTTTATTTTGAAAAATGTATTCTATATTGATCAATGATAATTCACAGTGGTCTATAGTTACTGAATATTTCTTCATAGCTGATAGAAAATATTATTTATACCAACAGTTTTTTAAAAATAATTTAAAAAATAAATAAACCTATGTGCAAAGCTAATTACATTATTAATAGACACTCTGTTAAATTTTTAGGTAAATCAAATAAAAATGTGAAGAAGTTATGGGGCCTGCCATTATCAAATGAAATTGGGGATATTTAAAAAAGAAAAGAACTTTTATCTGGGATTCAGTTTTCATGAATTTAGTGCCTTTCTACAGTTGCAACTGGGTACAGATGTTTTGTACTGTTTTTCAAAAACAATATGCAGTTTCACTCTCCCCTCATAATCTTTCCCCGGATTCTCCCCCAACTGAAAGATAGCTGCCAAACATGGACTTTATTTACCTTGCTTCTAAAATTAGTTAAAATAGTTATCTCCTAAGTGAAAAGCTTCTTTATCTTAAAAATATTGCTGTAGACCATGCTTTTTTTTCTAATATTATTGATTCCCCCCAGGGAATATTAATCCCGTAATCCACCAGTAATATTTCGCAGGTTCTTTTTTCAGATTTTTCAATGTGAAATGATTTAACCATAAACCTTTCTTGGCATAAACGATTTTATTTAGATACATACTTATGCCACGGCACAAACATAAAATACAGTGAATTCGCGATAACTCGAATCTGATAGGACTGACGAAAAACTTCGACATATCGGAAGTTCGACTTACCGTTAGTTTAGGTTTTGGACTTTCAAAATATTGTCGAATTATTTAATTAATGCTTATTAATTACAAATCTTCTAANGATGGTTTTTATCAAATTTCATGTTAATGTTATCTGTATTAGATAAACTAAACATACCCTTAAATTTCGACTTAGAGAATATGAAAGATGTGTCCAAAATCAGAACATTAACCGATCTTCTTTTGTTCTATGTAGTTGGAATTCAAGTTACAGGTTTGAGTTTTTCTCTGCTAAAATCATTTAACACTGCTCATCATCCGAATTTGATTTTTGGGAATCATTCTATATTTTAAAACATTCTATTAATGTTTCAAAGTGTAGAATAGTTAATGACCTTTTATAGTAACCCAATATTTGAAAGTCTATTTTAGTTCCCGCCAAACCCACACACACAAAAGAGAGATGAGAAACACCTTGTTTCTCATCCCTCTTTTTAATTTCTCGTTCAAAATGTCCGACCATCCCCAATAGTTAACCTACATCACTTGTTTTTCTCTTAACTTTCTCGTCCATTATTTGGTGTATAGACACTGAGGAAGGTTCATGTTTATAGAATTGAAACTATTGTATGTCCATTTATCACATTGTTCACATTATCATTTTATTCACATTATTTTCTGCCGCAGTCCCCATATCACAAAGTATGGGTTATCCTTTGTTGGATGAATTTGTATTATTTTCATTCTACTTTTCAAGAAGTTTTATGCGTCAAAATATTTTTGTTTGTTCATTATAGATCTGATAGAGCTGCTTGAAAAATTGAGTGATTCAACCGGTGATAGAAACCATTACTCTAGGGCAAGAAGACCTGACTTTGAAGCAAAAGATGAGAGAGCAAGAAGCTCTTCAGCTAGAAGGAGATCAACTCTAGGTGATATAAAGCATGATTACACTGAAGATCAGCTGGAAGCAGTTCAAAAGTAATTGAAAGATATATTTTTTATTCTCCTTTCATCTCCCTTTTAAATTTTTTTTATTTCAATAAAAATTAATTGTTCCTGAAACTCTTTATTTTTTAAAAATAGACTTGTTTAGTTTTACTCATGTTTTGCTATCAGTGCTGCATGAAAACATCGTTTCTGTATGTATTTAGCCCTGTTGCAGAATTTTTTCCGGCTTTCTGCAAGAAACTTCCCTTTATGACAAACTTGGCTTTAAGATACTTTTAATTATAACAATTACTAATTTAAAGTAATAGAAACGTTGTGTTTACAGAAGAAAGTATAGAATAAAAATGTATAAATTTTTTTTATTGTAAATAATATTTTTTTAATTCTAATATTATAGGCGATATTCTCGCATTTTGTAGGCGAAAAAATGCATTAACTAAACTATTTCCTCTTTCGAATTTTATAAATCATTACACAAATTAAAATTCTTAAATAAATTAAAATTTGTACATAAATACCGTATATTTCGGCCTTTAACGCGCACTTTTAATACAAAAAATAACATTGGAATTTGCGGGTGCGCTGTATATGTCGAATGTAAAAAATTATAGATTAAAAATACAGTGGAACCCCGATTTTACATTGTCCGTTTCGTACGTTATCACGCTTCTTACGTCATTTTCTGCTGATCCTTGAAAATTGCCTATACCGACAATGTTTAAAAATCCCGGTTTTTGCATTACCCCTTTTATGAAAATCCCGCTTGATGCATTTTTCTACGAACAAATCAAAATTTTTTAAAAATTCTATTCGAAATAGTTTTACTCATTTTTCTGTGCTAGCATACCAAATGAGATTTTCAGTCGGTTTTGTTTGAGTTAGAAAGTTACAGCATTTTTTCTCATTTTCGAAACCTCAGCCATCGTGTTCTTTTCTCGAAAAAAGATGTCGAAACGAAAATGCTTTTCTCTGACCGAAAAGGCTGAAATCGTCGAAAAAGCTAAAGAATTTCATGGCACTAAAGTTGATCTTTTTAAATCTTTGGGTATTGCTTATTCAACTTTACAAATGATTTTAAAGCAGGAAGCTTCAGTATAACTAAACGCTGAAAAACTCGGAAAATATGCGAAGAAGAGCAAAACCCTTAAAACATCTCCGTATGATGAGTTAGAAAATTTTTTAAAGAAATGGTTCAAGGATGCCAGAGCAGCAAAGATTCCTATAAAGGGATCCATCTTGAGAGAAAAGGCGCTTGAAATTGCTGAAAGGCTTAAACTCCAAGGCTTCAGTGAATCAAATAGCTGGATCGATCAATTAAAAAAAAGGAACAATTTATGCTTCAAATCTATCTGTTGTGAATCCGATAGTGTGTATATGGCAACTGTGCAACAGTGGAAAGAAGAAACTCTGCCAAATTTATTAAAGGGCTATAATCCGAGTGACATATTTAATGCGGACGAAACGGGATTGTTTTTCTACCTATTGCCAATCAAGACATTGACAATTAAAGGTGAAAATTGCCATGGAGGAAAGCTTTCAAAAGTGCGCGTTACTGTTTTGCTCTGTGTAAATCTGTTAATCTGTGTAAATGCCGATGGAAGCCAAAAGTTAACGCCTCTTGTGATCGGTAGAGCAGAGAAACCTTGGTGTTTCAGAAATATAAAAAGTTTTCCTACCGATTACGCTTCAAGCAAAAAAGCATGGATGACGCAAGCACTATTTAAAAAATTTGTTCGAAAACTAGATAAGGAAATGAGTTTTCAAAAGCGCAACATAATTTTATTCCTAGACCAATGCACTGCTCATTTAAACCTTAAATTGAAAAACGTGCGAATAGAGTTTTTTCCAGCTAACTGTACGAGCAAACTTCAACCACTGGATTTAGGAATTATACGATCATTTAAAGAGAGTTACCGGAAGCAACTGGTTAGAAAATCTCTAATGTTTCTTGATTCTGGTGACTTTCAGGATGCTTCTAAGGCAAACATTTATGTTCTTGAGGCTCTTAATTTGATATTTTCAGCTTGGGACAGTGTCGACCAAAAGTGCATTATCAATGGATTCAATAAAGCAATATCGGAGGAGGAGAGCGCTGTTGTTTTGGAAGAAGAAGAAGGTAGCGTGTCTGAAGTTGAGGATTTTCCGGAAGTCGATGATGCATACATCGACTGTGACATAGATATCATTACTTCAGAAATCCCTTCCATAAGTGATTTAATGCCTGATTCCGACGATAGTGCTGATGACGATGAAATAGCAGAAGACGTACCAACAGCTGATCAAGCGATACAAAGCATAAAAACTCAAAAACAATTTTTACTTGTAAATGTAATTCAAGAATCATGAACAAAAATATATTTTTTGGAAAATTACATTTGGGAAGAGTATATCTTAATATTTTAAAAAAAGTATTAGACATTACGGGTGCGCGTTATACGCTGAGGCGCTTTATGCGCCGGAATATACGGTAAAAAATTTTAAAATCCGTGCAGTAACTCCCAAAATTACGAATCACGTGAATAGGACTCTTTAAAAAAGAGATACTCAAATAAGTGCATGTAAAATATGCTGTTCTTTAAAGAAAAAAGAAAGGAAAGAAAGAACATCATTTCTAGATCAAATTATCTTTTAAACTTTTACGATTTATAAATTTTGTATTTTATATTATTAATTTAAAATTCTAGCTGAAGCCAGTCATTACCGATTTTTAAAAAAATCTCAAATGAGAATAGAAAAAAAAATCATGATTATTTCTTTCCTCTCTGATGCGCAAGAAAAACTTCTTTAAAAAAAAAAATCTGCAAAAAAAAAATTTTTTTTTGTTTGAAAAATATGCATAAAGGAAAACAGAAAATTTCCCCTTCCGAATTGAAAAATCTTTCTGCAACAACTCTGTAATGTTCTGCAACAATGTCGCCGCAATTTTGCCACAAGGGATTTTACTTTTGACTTTCTTTATGCAGGTAATAAAGTTTATATAGTGTACTATTCTCTATTGTCATTGATGCTCTAAAACAGTTCATTTTTTTAATTCCAGCTTAGAAAAGGAACTATTGTCTGCTAATTGAATGAAAAATGTAATTTTAAAGGTTAAAAGATTTTTTTTTTGTTTTGGTTGGAGGTTAAACCCTAGTTGAAGTAAGTAATGCAGTGTATAGTGTGCAAAAAAAAGAAAAAAAAAGAACATCTTAAATAACTTATGATCTAATGATCCGATTTTCAAGTACTGACACTTAATTTTAATAGTTAGTTTAAATACATTAATGTTAATTTCTCTATTTGCATTTTCTTTAAAACTTGAGAATTTTTTAAGCAATTGTAAGGCACCCAAATTTTTACATCATTGTAAAGTTGGTAATTTTAAACGTCAAAATATAAAATTAGTGCAAAATCAGCTAAATAGTTTTTAAGTTATCCAATTTTAAAAGAGTTATATATTTAAATTTTTAAGTCACAAGAACTATTCAACTTATTTCATTCCAATTTTGTATTTTCTAATTTAAAATTACAAACTTTTAAATGATGTAAAAATTTGTATGCCTTACAATTCACAATTTTTTTGACCTTAAAGAAATAAAAAAATTTAAATTAAGATTATTTTTTTTTGCATGGAATCATCTTTGGATAAACAAATTTCATAATTGTTTCTAAAAAATATTTCAATTTGCTTAAAAAGTTCACCAGATGGTTTGAAAAAGTGGTATGAAATGATGGTATGAAAAACTGAAATTAACAAAAAGGGGTCCAATTTTCAACTGCTGTCCAGCTTACACTATTTGGACCATACTTTCTAAATTGCTGTTACCCTCAACCTAGTTTGAAGGTGTAGAATCCGAATTCATCAAAAAAAGGTATGTTTATTTAAAGAAAGTATATTTTTGCAATCTATTTCTTAACTTAAAATATCGTCTGTACTAATTAACGGCAATATTTAAAGTTAAGTGCTCATCGTTGAGATACAAATCCTAGTTTATAAGAATATCCGATCATTAAATCAATAATTATTTAGAGTGTTCTTTTTATTTTTATTTTGCACTCTACATTAATATTTTGCTCTTAAAATTTTTCTGAAATATTTCAGTTACAAAATATTTGATCTGCAAGAGATCAGTCTGCTCTGAAGCCCCACTGCTAATCAATTTATCCAAAAAGAGTTAGTCTTTTTGCAATTACCTCAGTTAATAAATTATAGGTAAATTTTAGCAGTGCTTCTTTTACTCAAATTATTGTATCAGTTAGCCTTTATAAAAAATGATAAAGAATTATTATATATTTAAGTAAATAAAACTAGTAATGCTCTTTATTGTTGATCTTTTTAGAATAAAAAAGTGCAAAGATTTTTATGAAATTTTGGGTGTCTCTAAGGATGCTGGCGAATCTGACGTTAAGAAGCAATATCGAAAGTTAGCTTTACAATTTCACCCAGATAAAAACAAAGCACCTGGAGCAACTGAAGCTTTCAAAGGTTTTTTTTTTTTTAGTATTCATGATAAATTAGTTCAAATATTCCTATGTTAATTTTATGAGAATAGTAACTAATAAATAAGTATTTTTGTTGTATATTTTATTTATTTGAAGAAGTAACTATGTACTATTTGGTGTTTTGACTGCTTATCCAAGTAAAAAAAAAAGAAAAAAGACTGTTTTGACTATTTGTATTTTGCAAGACCAGTGTTGTTCTTACATTTTGAGTTATAGATTTTGTTACTACCGTCAAAATTGATGGGATACACTAAATATTTTATGATATTTAAAATCTCTGGGCATTGAGATAGTTTAACATTTTATTCAAATAACAACTGTTATTGCATTTTAAAGGTTTAGTAGCATTTACTTCAAAGAATTATTACATTAAAAGTGTCATTTTAATTCACTTCTTTATTTAAATTTATGTTGTGCTGAAATTGTTATGTTTCATCCTCTTTTTCTTATAAGTATGGTATAAGTTTCATTTAAATCAATTCATTAATTTATGCAAAGGCAAAACAAGCTTATATATGTGTATTTAAACAATCTAAGATCTGGATAATTGAAAGCATACATTTTAGTTTTCATATTTAAGCAAAACAATTTCTTTTATGTTATAATAATTGAAGGAATTAAATGCTACTAAATTGCGAAGGAGTTAAATGCTACTGGGAAACAAACATTGGTGACTGATACTTGGTTTAATAGTAATACTAGTAGAGAAATGGGTTAACTATTTCCCTGAGGTTAATTTATGAGTAAGTAATTATAATTGATAAATACACCACTTGGCCATATGTCATGAATTCTGGTTTAAAATTTTTTATTTCATTAGTTTTTTTTCTATTACTTAATTTGAAAATTACGAACGATATACCCTCAATTAAAAATAAAACAACCATATAGTAATGCAGTTAATAGAACACACAGCAGTGATAAACAGAGTGATTAAAGCTGCAACGACGTCGAAAGAACATTTAATGTCTTATATTCACATATAGTATGTTTGATGACTATGTTGCATAAACTAATAATGCTTAAAGAAGGATTATTTCAAGGCTGATATCAATAAGTTTTTAAAGTTTTTTCGGCTTTATATCACTAAATGTCATTTTCATTTTATCTTTTGTTAATGATTGAATTCTGTCTCTTTATCACAACATGATTTTCAAACCACTCATGCCTTTTGATGTTTTTTTTATAGGCTTTTTTGTGTTATTTGTACTGAACAACAAAAAACAAAATATTGATAAGTTTTTATTTTGCAGCTATTGGAAACGCATTTGCTGTTTTGAGTGATCCCGAGAAAAGAAAGCAATATGATGCATTTGGATCATCTGACAGTCGCAGCTATAAACGTTCTTCCTGTCCTCGCAATGCAGGATATTATGAATTCTCACGAGGATTTGAAAGTATGGATAGTTAGTTGCTCTTTTTTTTAAAAAAAAGAACGAAGTAAAAATTTTAATAATTTTATTTCAACATTTAAGGCTCAATACAAAAGCTACTTATGAATGTAATTATCTTCATTATTAAAAGTTTTGTTGAGGTACGATTTTTTCTTTGAGGTATGATTTTTCTTTACCTTCTCAGGGGTGATTGTGCTCCGGAAAAAATCCGGATTTCCGGATTTTTCACTAACCGCGATCTGAAAGTTTCCGGAAATCCAACGTCCAGAAGTTTCAAGAAAGCATCAATCACATTTATACATAAAAATTCTCATATATTTTGTTTAAAAATATTAGAACTAGAATTTATACTTGGCATCTCTTTCATTCGTAAATATTTTTTCTGGTAGAATAATGAATGTGATTAGAGATAAAAGTAAACTTACACATAATTATTCAATTAAATTATGCTGCATATAATTAATTTAGAATATCATGTTTTGAAAATTTCAATGATTTAAATTTATAAAGATATTAATTTTTTGAATGATTTTACTCAAGAAATTTTCAGGATTTTTGAGTTTCACCCACAATCACGCCTGCCTTCTATAATTAAAGCTCATCCACTAATTCATCTAAACCCTAGGTTTCAGTTTTTATATAAATGTGTTCGGTGTTCTTATCCAATTTTATTATATCATAGCTGTACTCCAAAACAGGCATTTTATACAAGACTGTTCTTAGCTTTCAATCTATCCTAACTATAATCAAAAACAGGCATTTTACGCTAAATTATTCCTAGTTATCAATATATTCTACCTGTTAAAAAATTTTAATTACATATGAAATTTTTACATTTATAAGGATAAAATTCAAGGAACCAACAAAATTCTTTAAATTAACAACAGTTTTGAATTAGAGATGTGTGAATTAAAGAAGTTGTGTGTGCTTCCTTCATGTAGATTGCTAGCATTTTAACGCATAAACTTCTTAAATATTGTCTTTGAAATCATTCTTCAGTTGAATATAACCATGTCTTCTTTTACATCATTACTTTTTTTAAGTAAAAATTTTTTTTGTTTATGATGTGAAAGTAAAATAAAATTATGTATATATAAAATATAATATATGTAATATAAAGTAATGTAATATGCAATAAAAATATGTAAAAATATGTAATAAAAATATAATGTAATATAAAATAAAATAACATACCAGCTTTATTTATTTAGTGCATATAGCATTGAGGATAAATTTTCACTGAATGCTCTTATAGCAATATAAGGAATAATTAATGCCCTAAAACTAAGGAATAATTAATGCCTAATAGTCCGTCCCTTCCCTCCAAAAAAGTTTGAGATTAATGACTTTTTCTAATTTATGTTGTTTTCATTACCAGTCTTTTTAAACAATGTTTGTTTAGAAATTCTTCAATTTAATTTAATTAAAATATTGAAAAGTATAATAATAACTTAAAAGTATAACAATAACTTAAAAGTCGAAAACTGAAATGAACAGTAAATTGAGCTTTTAATAGAATTTTCCCAGTTTCATTAGAGTCAAGTTGTCATGAATTAATTTTATTTAGTGAATAATTGCTTTAGCTTGTTAAATCTAAACATTATTTAACCATGTGATAACATCAGGTTTTTTATTTTAAATTATTTATTGTAATTTATATTTGTTTTATAAGTTTTCACCCATTTTAGGTGAAGTGTCTGCAGAGGAACTGTTCAATATGTTTTTTGGTGGAAGTTTTCCTGCTGGGATGGCTGGTAAGAGCTTTATTTTCATGATTGGAAGTTACTTTTTTCTGAAACAAAACAGAGAAAAGTCAGGGAATTTTTTCAAGGTGCAAAAATCATAAAATTTAATTAAAATACCCAAACAATTAGGGAATACATTTATGTTTTAGATACCTTAAAAAATTTTTTTATCCAAAAAAATTTAGTCTTCTTAATTTTTTTAAAATTATCCACACTTATGAAAGTTTTGTAATATATTTTATGTTTAAGAATAAGGCAGAACTGAAAAATTAATTTTAAAAAAATGTATGCCACCAGATATAAAGTTAGAGAAAAATAAATTTTTTTTTCTTTCTGAGTTTTTATGGCCACCCTGTAAAAGAATCAATTAATCATGCTTATTAATAAACTCTTCTGTCATTTTTATTTTTATTATTATTTATTATAAACTATTGTTTTACTATAAAATTATAAACTGATTACAAGTAAATGTTTATTTTACAGGGGACAGAGACATTTCTAAAAACTTCAACTTTTGATTTTATTCTGTTATAATTATAAAACTAACTATGACTATGCATAATAAATTGGTAGGGTTTCTAAGTGCATGACTGACATGCATTTTTAAATTAATGGAGGTGTGTTCCAAAATACTTAGACACAATATATAAATAAATAAAGGAAATATGTTAACAAAATAATAACACAATGGTTAAAACAATGGTAATGGTAACTCATTTCCAGAAACAAAAATTAAGAAAACATCATTATTAAACAAAATGTTATATGCTATACAGGGGCGGTCCAGGGCATATTCACTACCGTTTAGCGGTGCCTTCACAAATTCATTTTCAGGAAAAGGGGTAGTTTTACAAAATACCTTTAAAAGAGCAAATTCTCCCCCCCCCCTGTAAAATTTAGTTGTCGTATCTCCATGAATGAAATGACGAGGCTGTCCCTTTGTAAAGTTTACAGAAAGTCGAAAATCAAACTTTCTTTTAAACATTTTTCTAAATTTATTCTAATAGACCTTTATTTTTTTATGAAAATTTTTTTCCAGAGATTTTTTTTCTTTTTTAAATTTTATAATGGCATGCCTCTGAGAAAGGAGAAGTTAAAATGGAAATAATGAAAATTGATTTTAAATATAATGAATGAGATGATTGTTTTTTACTTTTATTTTCAATAATTTAAACAGATCGGATAAATTTAAGTTTACACATTATTATCTCTAATTATTTAGTATTTTCTACACCAAAATTTCAGTTTTTGACAGTAACTGTCAAAACAAAAAGATAGTTTAATATCAAAATAATTAAGAAATATAATTGATTGAGCACTTGTAATTTCATATGTATGTTTATTTATATTACGTCTTATTTATAATAGTTAATAATTATCCTTATACTAACATTTTGGGTTTTTGACCCTTGTGAAAAACTATGTCATAACGGTGTTCTTGACATTTAAAGTTGATGTATGCCATTATTCATTTCAGCCAATTCTTACCAGAGAAGACCACAGAGAAGATATGCATCCACCGACAATCGTAATGTGCAATCAGAAGTAAATTGTTAACATATTTACTAAAAGATAATTGTTTTTAATATGTATACAATTTTGATTTTTTTAAAAATGATAATACAGTATAGCCCCAATTATCCACAGAATTGGGGGGCAAGGACACCACAGATAATGCAAAAAGTTTTATAAGGAAACGCAGAAAATAATTTTAAAATGCATCCATACATTTTAAACATACAACAAAAATCTTTGTTCCCTGTATAAATCACTGAAACGATGAGCAGTAGAGAAAGCAAATTGTATAAACAGCATCATGATTCATAGTTGGTCAGATAGCCCAATGTGGATTGATTATTTTGATTTTGAAGCTTTACATGATGCTTACATTTATTCTGAAGTCTTACTATACTATTCTTAAGTATTAAGTGTAAAAGTATTACTGACATACTTTTTATTCTCAAGTCATTTAATTTTTAGAAGCAGCTGATTTTATAATCCAATAATATTTTTTTCAATATAGGTCACTGTAATGGAGATCAGACTGTTCATCTTACTACTGCATAAATTAATCAAAACTGTTACCAGTTGAAATGATGATTTTAAGAAACTTATCCTTGATTATTTTATTAGTGTCATAAAATTGTTTAAACATGTTGAGTTTACACCGTTATGTTTTTGGTGTAATTGACTTTTTTATTCCAGAAAAGAGGTGCATGTCCTCAGAAGTGCAATATTTCTTCCACATAATAAAATCTAAGATAATTTCTGAAATATTAAGACATTAATTAATGCTTAATTTCGTTGCTAATTATTCAATTCTTAAAATATTTGATGAATCTATTAGAGATTTAAAAAAAAACTGACAACTTTATACGAAACAAATATTACAGAACTATGTAATTAGATATAGGGTTGGTGAGAACTATGTTGTTAGATATCGGGTTAGTGAGAGCTATATTGTTAGATATAGGGTTGGTGAGAACTATGTTGTTAGATATAGGGTTTGTGAGAACTATGTTGTTAGATATAGGGTTAATGAGAACTAAGTTGTTAGATATAGGGTTGGTGAGAACTATGTTGTTAGATTTAAGGTCCTTCTCAAAAGCAGCAAAACTCAAAAATTTCTCCCTAATCTTTTAGACAATTAGGAAGAAAATAGTATTAATCATCATTGATTTAAATATAGTTAAGTTAAAAAAAAAAAAAGGTAAGAAAATAAATTTTTTTATAATTTTGTAGTTATTTAGCAGATAGGAGAAATTTTTCTTTCAAGTGTAAAATTTTGAGAACTATTGTTATTTTAGTTTCATTTTTCTCAAAAATTGGACGACTGAGATGTAATTAGAATGGTTTGATTGTTACATCCAAAGTTACTTAAATTCCCTGTGGCAGAATTTTTTCGAGCTATCTGCGACAAAACTCTCTACACTGATATCTTTCTGCAAGATATTTTTAATAATAACAAACATATAAGTTACTAATTAAAAAAAATAAAAGTGCTGTTTCCAAAAGAAAAAGCTATATATGTATTTTTAATTGAACGTGTAATAATTTTAATATTCTAATATTATAGGTGATATTCTCACATTTTGTTGGGGGGAGAAACGCTCAAATTATTTCCTTCTTCGCCTTTTGTAAATAATCATCATAATAAAAATAATAATTATGAATCATGAAATCATTAGTAGTAATTGATGATAAAATAATCGCTGGCAAAATCACATGAATTGGACGCCTCAAATGTGTGTATCGTTTTGACATTAGGTTGTGGTAATAAATAATATCATAAAAAATATCGGATTTAAAACCTATGGAGAAATCAATAGCAATAACTGCCAAAAATTTGGTAGAATTATTACCTTAAAAAGTAAATACTCAAATGCACGATTTGAATTTTCCTTATTGTTTGAAATATATTGGGATATTTAAAAACCGTGTGAAAATCAATATCGATAACTGCCGAAAAATACAATCAAAACATTACATCGATTTACGATACTATCGGCGTAAATTTAGCATGTCAAAAAAGTTATTATCTAAATGCATGATTCAAATATTATGTATAAATTTCTGTAGAAAAGAAAAAAATTTTTTTTTTTTACTTTTCAAAATAAAAATTGTTTTACCATAATTCTGCCACAGGGCTTAGATTTATTCTTTTTGTACCGTTCTCTGAGACACTCTATATTACTAGGCAAACTTTTCCTTGTTTGTTCAACTAGTTCCAATACTGATGGTTGTATTGATATCTATCTTCACCAGTGTTTTCATCTCTGATTCACCATATAGCCTTTCTAAATCTTTGTGAGTACTTTTACTACTTCTTAATTTCTAAAATTTTTCTCTCAACTAAAGTTTTGTTTTTACCTTAATATTTATATATAAAAACATTTGAAAGGTGTGTATAGGGTGCGTAGTGCTTTTAAAAAGTGCTTAAAGATGTTTATTTTTGATTTACGTTTTTTAAAAGCCCTTAAAGGCACTTTTTTTTATTTGGGGTTTGTAAAAGGTGCTTAATTTTCTATCTGCTAAAAAGAGATTTTTCTTTGCCGTGTCGATTGTCATTCAAAATTACAAAAAATGCATGATTTTTCACAATTTTTTTCTGCAATATTTATCATAAGCTAGTTATTTTATCATCATTATGTAAAGTTTTTCAAAATGTTTTTGAATGTTATTGATTTTATGTTTATTAAGAACTTTAAATGATGGAAAAAAATAATTTTTATTAATGCACTGATTTTTTTTTTTTGTAAAGTGATTAAAAGGTGCCTATTCTTTGTTGAGAAATCTGGCTACGCACCCTGTTTGTAGAAAAAAAATTTTTTTTGTTAAAAATAGTTTTTTTTAAAAGAACGAAATTTTATTTAATGCTTAAAGTTAATTGCATGTTAAGTTAAAATTATTGTTAAGTAAGAAGCATGTTAAGTAAAAGCATGTCAGGGCCATGATCTTTTAACAGCTACATCTACTATTATCTTTTAACATCACTAATACAACTTTTTTAACTTCTACTCTGCATCATTGAGTGAATTTTCAGCCCCACTTGATTTAAAGTGAGCGGTGGTGGCTCAGGAGGTAGAGGGCTCACCTTCAGATGAGGTTTAAATTCTAGCGCTGGCTGGTTGAAACACATTCCGCATCTGGCTTGCACCAACCACAGAGCTGACATGAAATATCCTCAGTGGTAGACAATGGGTAAGAGTCTCCATGCTGTCAGGCTAATCTTGGAAGGTTTTCCTCCATGTAACGCAAATGCAGGATAGTTCCATCATAAAGCACTCCACAAAATAAAATTTCTCTCAATACTTGATCCAGGAGTTCCCTTGTCTTCTGGATTGTATTCAAAATTACATTGCTACGGAGTTGAACATTAGTCGTAAACTCAATAATTGGGTTGACTGCTCAATGACGGTTATAAAATAAAATAGATTTAAAGTGGACCTCATTGCATGTACACGCCAGCTGTTTAGCAAACCTCCTGTATACCATAATTTTTTTTTTACTTCGTGAATGGAGTAAATTCCTCACCTTTAATTATCATTTAATAGTGCACTAAACATTTTGCTTTCATTTACTGTTAAACTAAAAAAAGTTTAGTTAGTGAATGCTTCTTAATAAGACCAAAATATGTGTCTTATCTTTTTTTTAATATTAGCCATTTCTTTAACAAGGGTTTCTGTACTCTTTATAATTTTATTTCCTCAAAAATAATTTATGAATATTTTCAAAAGCATAATCTCATTCTGAAATTTTTTTATTTTTCGTGAAAAAAAAGTAGCAGAGTTCCCCATTGTTTTAAAAAAAGGTACTGGAATATACTACTAAGAAGAAAACAACTTATTATTGAATGCTTAGAGATTTCTTTTCTTTTAAACAGGAAATATTCGCAAGAGAGACAAACAAGCAACTTGCAAGTGCCGTACTTTGTGAAAGTAAATTTTAATACCGATTTCCAAGGAAGTATCAGAAGGCTTGAAGCTCAAGTGGAAGAAGAATACATTTCTAATTTACGTGGTTCTTGTTTCAAAGAGAAGAATTATAGTAATATTTTAAATCATTCTGCTATCTTTGCCATCTTCTCACATTTTTTATAATTAATATTTCAATAGGAATGGGGGCAAATTATTTTACTTTTTTTTTATTAGTAATGTGTTTTTCGTCTCAGTTGTGAGAATTTTATTATTTTTAAAACTTTCTTCTTCACAGACTTAGGACTCTGCCAATTTATTTGATTATAAAATTGCATGTTCAAAGAAAAACAACAACTTTTTTTTGTGATTTTTATTTTTTATAAGTCAAATTTTATTAATACAAGACTGAAGTAGAATAATTAAAATAAAGTAAAATAGTACAAGGTTAAAATCAATTTAAAGAAAATAAAGATTTTGAAATTAATGAAAAATTAAATTTTATTGGTAACTTCAATTACAGTCTCTTTTAAATAATTTTTTCTTTCAGCTTTTAAAGCAGATTAGATGAGATAATATATCTTAACTGTACCCTATGGTAAGAACTCCTACCTCTACAAAGACTGAGGTTATCTGCTGCTATGGAAACAAGAATAGTTCATTTCAGGGAGGGTAGCTTCTTTTCACTCTAGGGCTAACACAGTAGACCAAAGAAAAATATGCCTTTTCTTTCTCTGACCCAAGCTAAAACCTGTCCTAAACAATGACCCCACTTAAAGTAGTTATTCCTCGTTACCATAGTCACCACCACTGTTCCTGATGAATGGCTGAGAGAGTTCTTACTTTAGACAAACTATACTCTCATACTACTGATAAGGGATGGCGTCATGGGCTATGCATGATCAACCAGGAGCAAATGAAAAAGAAAAAAAAGACTGCTAAAACTCGTAGTCCATGACGTCACCGATGTAAGTTCAGTGCATGAGAGAGTTATGTCACCCAAAACGGTTTCAGAAAACAGAAGATCTAAATTTCATTATAATCAATCAGAGAAAAGCCCCTTTAATTATTTACCAAACAGTTACGTTAAATCAGTGTTTTCATCATAGAAAAAAAATGGGTGAGAATTTCTCACCCTTTCTCAAACACAGGGTGAGATTTCAAAAAGTTAGGTGAGATTTCTAAAAAAACACAAAAACTCTTGCAAAAAAAATCTTTTCTTTAATTATAATACATTTTTAACGTCTTCTACTTTTTAAAGCATTGAATATTTTTGATGCATCATCATAGAAGATTTTGCCTTTACACGGTATTTGTCCATCTTGCATAAGTGCATAAAAGATTTGAACGTCTTACATGAAGAAACCTTACCTACTGTAAACTCGAGGTTGCAGAGAAATGTGTNCACTGAATATTTTTTAAATTACTTTAAATTGTTATTTAAATTTCAATTTTTAAAAATTATATAAAGACTATGATATTTTGATTTTTTATTTGTTTAAAATTAAGTGCTAAGTTGTTCAAACATATCCAATTTTATTTATACTTATTCAAACTGTAATATAAATGAGTTTCATACAGCTACGATAAAAACTCATGCGCAGGAAACATTTTGAAATATTGGAACATTTAGTAATTTAACTTGCGGATAAATTATTAAAAAAATTATAACTTTTCAACAAATTAATATTTTTGCTTCAAATTTTGGGAATATCTTTCTAAATGCTTTATTCACAATCTATGAAATTTTCATTAAAATTGGTCGATATTTAAAAAAAATCATTTTGAACCTGAAGTGTCCCCTTAATGCATAATTATTTTTGTGTTACTATTAAAAATAAAATTATCATTGCTCTATTTAGACTTATTGTCAACCACCATTGCATACACATTTGTATAGTTTGTTCACCAGGAGTTGGCACTTGGTTCCGCCTTCATCACGTGGTATGCGACGATTCTGTTTTGCTATTTTTGGGAGAAGGTTGTGAGCAATCCTGAACAAAGTTGCTATTTTGCAATCGTACGGCAAAAATATTTATTTCGCATACTTTATCTGCATTTTTTAAAACATTAAATATTTCATAAATTTGATAATATTTCTCTCTTCTGAGTGATTAGTTTGTCCTTTTTGCTGAGAAAACAACAGTTATTAAATTTAAAATATATTTAATTGGCTAGAGAAACGAAAGGTATAACAGCATATAATAGAGCGAAGTAAGTGACTGGAAAGAAAAAGTCACCCTTTGTGTTTGGCGCGCATTAAGGGTTGTCTCAATTTCAAGCGCTAACTCTTGGTGAACGAACTATACTTATGTTTCATAACTCTACCTTTTTGAATATAGTTTTTAGAACATATTTGGGTCTGAACCTTTTATCTCGAAATTTTTCTAGTGTCCCTTCAACTTTGAGAGTACAAAATTAATAATCCTTAAAATGTGTTAATATTCTTTGTAGGAGAGAGCATGATATGGAAAGCTCGCAACTTCAGAGACAGAGTATTGGAAGAAAAAGCAAAAGCTATTAAAACTCCATCTTGTGATACTTTGAATGACCTCTACACAAATGAGAGAGGCTGGTGAAAAGAATTATTATTTGTTATTCACTTTTTGTTATGTATATCCTGCACATATATATTAAATATTTATTATTATTTGAAATTCTGTGTAATTTAGTATATTTTAAACTTTAATCACATCTGCTAGGGAAGAAAAAAATGACTCTGCTCCCTAATGGCAAAACTCAAACTGAAATCTAACACGAAAATTTTTATTTCAACAACTATTTGCATATTGCTTTGGACTGATTAAAGCAATAAAATTCAGAGTTTGCAAAGCTTAGGACAGAATGGATTAAACAGGGTTTAAACCGCCCTGTCCAAAACCCTTTTATTCTAATTATGTCATAATTTAAAAAAAATATTGTGAAAAATAGAAGGTTAATTTTTGAACAAGAAACAAAATGAAGACAAGTTTTTGTTTTAAATATTGCATTATTTANTATTCTAATTATGTCATAATTTAAAAAAAATATTGTGAAAAATAGAAGGTTAATTTTTGAACAAGAAACAAAATGAAGACAAGTTTTTGTTTTATTAAAAAAAGTTTATATTATTTTTAATATTGCATTATTTATCCTTATGCACAAATATAATTTATCAGTTTAAAAACATATTTAAAGGATAAGGTATTGACTTTTGTTTAATTATTTGTGGAGATTCAAAAGTTATGAATCTTTTCCTATCATATTATTTTCTTTTAATAAGTTAAAGCAAAAAGCTTAAAAATTTAAAGCAAAAAATATATTTATATATATAATTATTATGTGTGCAATGGTTACACTGGTAGAATTTTTACCTTTAATCAAAGTTTTGGACATTTAAGACAGTAAAACCCACGTGTCCTGTCCAAAACCCTAACAAAATTAAAATGTTAAAATACTATTCAAGTAAGTTTTTAGTGTTCCATTTTCAGAATATTTTGATTTAGTAATTTTTTTTTTAAATGATAAAATTCTATGCAGGTTGTGTTGTACAAAAACATCTTTATTTACTTGAGGAATTTTTCTAAAGAATAAAGTTAAAAAAAAAAAAAATTCATTATAATTAATTTTGATCAGAGTAAAGGAATAATTAAAAACATTATACACAGCTTAAGAGATATTTTTCTGATAAATCAAGATTTGTTTTTATGCGGTTGTCGAGCAACTCAATTCCAAGAAAAATTGAAGTTTATTGTACACAGTGAAGAATTTTTCAGAGATGTCAAGTTATAAAAAATAAGACACAAATAAAAAAAAAACAGACAAGTGTTACATCAATAAGAATTAATTTTATTAACAAAAACACCAACATTTGTAAAATCCCTTCATTAAAAAAATGTAAAATTTAATACATAGAACCAAAATATTCAATTTAATTTTTTTATTAAAGTATAAAAAATAACAACATCTTGAAGTATTACATGATGTATTTTAACATACACANGTTACATCAATAAGAATTAATTTTATTAACAAAAACACCAACATTTGTAAAATCCCTTCATTAAAAAAATGTAAAATTTAATACATAGAACCAAAATATTCAATTTAATTTTTTTATTAAAGTATAAAAAATAACAACATGATGTATTTTAACATACACAATTAAAAGAAATATATATATATATATACAATATTTACAAAGGTGATTTGGGGCTGGTATTGATATAAGTAAAGGAGTAAGGCCTATGATAATATCAATTTTCTGCTATAACTTTTTTTGAAGGAAAAAAATCAGGATCCAAACAGAAATAAAATTTAATAATGCTTATTTTGACTTGTACACAGTGTCACAGTGCTGAATTCCCCCCAGTATGCAGTTCACCATTAATAAGGGGGAGGACGGAATATATAAACACTGTTTGCATGTTTTGTTTTCTATTTAATATGACGAATAATTCTAGAAACGGATTAATTGTGATAAAAATTTGGAAATTTTTCCATAACAAAATGAATTCAGCATTCTGTATCAAACACCTTTAATATGTGTTTATTGAATTGCTGTTAAAAATGAAGTACATATACATATTTAAGGCCTCACACTAATAAATAAACTAGGATAATATATGAACACAATCTAATATATAAACTAGGATAATATATCAACACAATCCAAAGCTTATGAATCAATACAGAGAAGAAGAGACTGAAAACACCAAAGCCTGTTTGATTGCTGAGGAAAACAAGGAAGAGTTGAGCTGTGTTTATTTGAAACACATTCAAGATTCATACTATAACTTAACTGTTTTCAGCATCATCCTGATTCGCTAGATTTTGATAGTTTAATTTATTTCTTACATCTATTTTCATTTGATAGATTATATTTCTGTTTTTGATTAATCATGACTATTCTTAAAATTTAATCTATTTCTTTTATTTGTTTAAATTTAATCTATAATTTTTAAAAAAATTAATCTATTTCTGTTATCTATTTTCTTTGATAGATTACATTTCCATTAATTATGAAAAAAATAATTTTTTAAAAAAATAGTCAATATATTCTTTAAAATTTAATCTTATTTTATTATAAACTGTGAAAAAACAAACCACTGAGATGGGCTGACTCAGTGGAGTCTGATTTTCACGCAATTAATGAAAAGAATTGGAGATCAAAGATAAATCGGAAGTCGTCATGGAGAAATCTTCAGAGGAAGGCATTGACTCACATTGGGCTGTTTGGCCAACTATGATTATGATGATCTTATAAACTGTAAAAAATGCATTTAGCTGGTTTAGTATTATTATTGAAAATATTCAATTTTTTAAAATTTATAAACATTTATTTTGACTTTATTATTTCTTTACGTCTTTATTTTCATTTGATAAACTTTATTTCTGTTTATGGATCAATCATGACTATTCTACAAAAAATTGTCACGATTTATTCTTTATAACTTAATTTTCTTCTTACAGATAATTGTAAAAAAATGCCTTAAGCAATTTGTGAAAATATTTAATAACATAAAAATGCCAAATTAAAGCAGTAAGCACAGTAAATCTATTTTCCCCACCTTGAAAAAGAAGTAGAATATACCATGCTTAATAAATGCATAGATATATATATCCAAAAAAGAAAAACAATATTTTATTCAAATGCATTCTGACAGTAATTGCAAAGTCAAGATGCAAGAAAGGCACTCAATATTTGTTATCGGTTTATTTCTATCACTTATCTTAATACAATTTTAATAAATTGTTTTATTACTTTAGAAAGATTCTATTTTGGCTCTTTCTTTATGATCAATGTCAATGTTTTTTAAGGAATATAGTTCTATACAAAATGGTGATGCTCAGAAAAGGAAAAAGGGTTTAGTTAGTCATTGAGACCCATATAATTTACCTTAAAATTTCCTGTTTACAAACTACAGTCAAAAGGTCAGTATAGTGAACACGGTTTATAGTGAACTCCCTGATATCGGAACGAGATGTTTGCTCCCGTACCTTGCGACACACGTATAATGTTAATTTTTTGGATATAGTGAACTAACAAAAGAGAGGAAGTTAGACATTCTTCGACTGATTTATTTTCATTTTTTTGTAAAAATTTTGAAATTTATACATCAAAATAAATACATAAACGATTTTTAAAACCATCTACAGCATGGAATGTAGCAACAAGCATTTTTTCGTGCTTGCTTCATTATTTAATAGCATTATTGAGTTGGCCGAGCATTTATAAAAGCAGGAATTTTCCAGTATCTGGATAACTGCTTCAAGTCAAAACCGATGAAATTGCTAAGCGATTTGGTGAGATAACTTTTATGTGCTCGAATGGCTGATTAAACAGGTATAAAAAGTGGAATGACATAAATTGAGGAAAAACTATCGGAGAGTCGGGAAGCGTTTCCATATCTGATGTTGAGGATTGCTCATCAGCTAAATTATTTACTACTAAATTGTTACTATTTATTTTTGTACGCAAGACGAAGATTAATAAAAAATAAAAGTTAAAACATTTTTTGTTACTACGTATTATCTTTCAGGCCTTTTTGCATTTCATTTTATTGGTCATTGATTTAAATAATAGGTAATAAAAGGGGGTGGGGGGGAGTTAGGAACTATTAGTTAAAATTGTTTGCGAAACAGATATAGTGAAGTTTCGGCTATAGTGAAAGGAAATTTTGGTCCCTTGAAGGTTCACTATAGCGGGGTTTGACTATTTTCTTACAATTGATCTAAAAGCGTTAAAAAAAAATTATAACTATACACGGGTGTGGTCTTTTCTCAGATTGCTTCTTTAAGTAGGCCCATCTTCCAACTTCCGCCATGCGACCTGTAAATAAAATTACTAAATTTTTTATTATTGTTACTGTAATCGTACATTACTTTATTGTGCAATGCAAGCTGTCATTTATCCTCTCACATATTTTCAAAATCTATTATGAAATCTTTGCATTAAAAAAAAGAGAACATTTTATATCAAAGCAATATAATTTTGATGAAATGGTAAAGTTATCTTTTGCATGGATTAAAATGATGTTTGGTTTGACAGAAGGAATAAAATAATCGTGCCCACAGCCCAGCATTGCAATATGTAATAAACAAACACACATTGAATACACTTTTAAGGTGCTACTTCATGGTTTGAAAAGGCCCGCTTTGGATAAGCTAATAAATAAATGCTCTAACTTTATAAAATATACACACCAAATTATGTATATTAGGCTCTTAGTTAAAGAAAGAACGCTAAGAAGCAAAATTTTAAATGCAGGGTATCTGCTACAGTTAAGATTTTCAAATCCATGACTTTCCATGAATGAATAATTCCAAGAATTTTTCTTGACTTAACCGAATTCACTATTTTCTCTGACAAAAAAACACAACAATAAATTTAAAAAAGAATTATAACATTAATTGAAATGATACTTATAACCAAAACTGTTATACTCTGCATCTTCATATTTATTGATTTTAAACTTAAAAAACAGAGTAAAGAAAGAGTTGAAGCAATAAAATAGCTAAAAAAAATACAAAAGCAACTAACTAAATACAGTCAGATATATGTAGCTATTTAAACCTGTTTTATTTCTTCTTAAAAGTAAGTATAATATTAAAAGCCTAAACTGGAATTTTAAATCGATAAAAAAATAAATAAATAAAAAAATTCTGAAATCACGAAAGTTTAAAAGATAATTCGCTCTAGAAATGATGTTCTTTCTTTCATTTTTTGAAAGAACACCATGATTTTTAAAGAACAGGATAAAAACATTTTATATTTTAATAAAATATGGCTATGAGTGGGGATTTTGTTACAAATTTAGATATTCAGAACTGTGTGAAATTGGGAGTGGGGGAATTCCATTTTAAAAATTAGATTTTTTGGCAACCTAAATCTATGACTTTCCATGATTTTTTTTAAAAAAAAGTTAAAATCATGACATTTCATGACAAATTTTGTTTAATGCCGAAATCCATGACTTTCCAGTAGCGCAGATACCCCATAAATGACAAATAGTTGTCTGAGGTAGGTACTTTATTTGCGTTGCACTAGAGCTGCAAAATGGAGTATTGGCAACGGTCTGGGAAACATCCCTGAGGATGATCCAAAGACATGCCATCACAATTTTGATCCTCTGCAGAGGGGATGGTTCTCCTGCCTTGGTAGCTAGAGTGATACCTGTGTGCGAAGTCTAGCACAAAAAATTGTCCGATAATTAGTTTACAAAATTCAAGTTTCCAAATTTTTCCTTCAACTGTTTGGGTTTGCACATGGAATTAAGCAGTTTAAGACAGTTAATATAGTTTTCATATGCTGATACAGAAAGAAAAAAAGGATCTTATATGTTGAAGTAGTCAAGCATCTATGATTGATAGTCTGATGTTCAGGTATCCAGATTTGTTTAAAGAATAATTCCAATCAAGAAGAACCCAATCACGAGAACCTCCCACGGTTAGCTGACAGCAAGGGGACTCTAACCTATGACCTGTCCACCACTGAGGACATTTCATGTCAGCACTGTGGTCGGCGCAAACCGGATGCAGAATTCGTATCAACCAGCCATGGCTGGGATTCAAACACTGTTCACCTCATTGGAAGGTGAACATTAAATCCCCTGAGCCATCGCAGCTCAACCATAATGACTGGAGAGAAATTTTTATGATAGCCTGACTCTATTAAAAAAATTTTTTGTGCTCTTATAATTATATTATTTATCGTGTTGTTCTTCAATTAATAATTCAGCACAAAGACACCCTTTGTTACTTTGGATTCTGCCATATTACTTCGGATTATTGAATCTAAACCACTAATTACTATTAAAAGGCAAAAATAATAAAAATTGTCTTACATTACACATTTCTCGAACCAATGCTTTTTCGCCTTCTGCCAGTTCCTCAGATTCTAAATCACTTTCAAGATTTTTCTCCATCTGCTCATGAATTTCTAATACCTTTAAAAAATATATGAGAAAACCAAATGTTATCGTTTGTATGATCTTCTAAATATTAACTAACAAAATATCGACGTTTTAAAGTCTGAAAGTTTATATACATGAATTAAAAAATCATAGAAACATCCACTTTTTAAAATGTAATGGGCTACAATATTTAGAACTTTCACCAAGAGTTACATAAGAATTAATATTTTTCTATAGAATGTTGTATAATAATAATAATTTATCAATATATAAAGCATACATTTTTGCAAATCTGAAAGTTTTCAAAAAAAAAAAAATATNAAAAAAAAAATATATATATATATTGGAAATTTTAAGGAAAATAAAATACCTACTATTTTACACTAATAAGTACAAGTTTTAATTTATTGAGATATATTTACATTTGCAATTTTCTACATTAAAAATATTTGAATTGAAAAATCATTCCAATTAAATTCATGATTTTAAAACTAATTTGAGTTTCATAAAATATTAATGAACAACATTAGTTTTAAAAAAAGATTATAAAGTTTAAAAAAAGATTCCAAAGATCTGGCCAGTTTGAAATTTAATCCCTCGTGTAACCACTGACTCTCCTCAACCACATGTAGAAGTATCAGGCTCTGAAACCATTATTAGAGACATTGCATTGGATTGAAGTTTGATCAGACAACCAGCATTTAGCACAGGGAATCAAATTTAGGCTAAAGCGATGATAGACGTTTAGATAATTTCGGGCAGAATGATTCTAAACCGTGCCAACTCTGAAACCATGTAATGAATTAGTAAACTGTTTACTGTTTTTGTTTAGATGATTTTTTTTTACTGTCTACTTTTAGAATCTGAATAAATATTTGTATACAGTATTTCAAAAAGTTTAATATAAGTTCCAATTGCTTACTTTCATGGCATGAACAACAGCTTCTGGTTTTGAAAGAGACAAACTTTCATTTGGCTATAAAATGTCATTTCTATATTAACTTTATTCAGACATTAATTTTTTCATTCAAACATTAATTTTATACAAAGCAATGTATATCTTTAGAAAGTACATAATTTTTTTGGCACACATAAATATGAAAGTAAAATAGAATAATTTGGAAGACCACAATAAAGCAATATAATTTATTCAAAAAATATAAACCATTTTCAAATTGTACTAAAGATGAATAATCACTTATGCCTACATACAATCAAAAATATGCTTTTAAAAATTGGAAAAGTACAAGAAATAAGTTAGCATAAATCCAACTTTTTCTTCAGTAAGATTAAGAGGGGGGAAAAACAACTTAAAAATAAACTATTTTTTTACCTGTAAGTTATTTTTCTAAAAATATTTATTTATATTTCACTTGGTGTTATTCTCCGCTGATATAATTTATTTAGTGTATTTTTTTTATTTTATATTTAGTGTATTAGTTATTTGTACTTTCATGATAAGCTCTATGCGAACTGATGTCTATTAAAGACATACAATTAAAATAATGAACACAAATTTGTAAAACATAATTAGAAATGAATTTTTATCACTACAAATTAATCTCTTTGGTGAAATACATTTTGCAATTCTTTTTAATAAAAACATACATTAAATAGGAATTGAAAAAACGAAATTGCAGTTTAAGTTGCAATGATAATCAAGTTAAGAGTTTAGGTTAGAATATTATTCCAATGGATTGGGGAACAAAATTTGTCTAATACAAGAGAATTGAAATCTTTTAATGAACAATTTGTAATTTAGATGTAACAATCTATGTCTGGTGAAATGAAAATTATCAAGTAGAAATTGTGGGGACTATGAATTAAACAAGCAAAGATTTGCCCCCTTGTTACACAAAAAATTTAATTGGAAATAAAGACCTGCACTGATCTTTTTTTTCCTTCTTTTATTTAAACCTTTTATACTTATTGTACTACATGCACAAATTTATACAGTCAGACCTGTTTACCTCGAATCTCATGGGAAAGGCGAAAAATTTAAAATAAGCAGGTTTCAAGTTACACAGGTACTTTAAAAAAATTAAATTCAATTATGAAATTCTATTAAAAGTGCTTTATTTGTTTTCAGTAGAAAAATATAGGCCTTTCTATAAATTAATTATACCAAATACATCTACTAGAAGAAATGCATTGTTAATAAGATTTTGCATAAGTAACAAAATTTAAATTTTAGATTAGCGAAACTGCGAGAAAGTTTTGTCAGAATACAAATTATTAATTTGTAGAAGTTTGAAATCAACTGTCTTCTTCGAACTAGCAGAAGAATCATATGATTGGATATTTTTTAATTTTTAAGAATATAAATAACATTGCACTTTAAAACAAAAATGTTTTGTTTGCAGACTTGAAATGTTTTTCGTTTAAACCTTTGAGTGAATATTACCAACTTGTAGAAGAAGATTAAATAATAACCAAATTGATATTACGAATTGATTTATTTCAAATTGATATTATCTAACAAAGCATATTTATATAACCAAACAAATATATACCTTCAGGTCCCTACTATTTCCATCATTCCAATTACTCTTGTTGTAGTATTTATGTCCAATTTTGTTTTTCTAAAATAATAAAAAAAAGTCACTAAAAAAATAACATCAAAGCTTTAACAATATACAAATTGCAAACTAATATCAATATTTCTCAAATAGGAAAATTTCTTTTATAAGAATATTTTGAAAGCAAAATTAAATTTAATAATTATTAACGTTTTTAAAAAAAAAATGTGGAACTTTGGAAGAACTGATTTTTTAAACTTTAATAAATCAATCGGAATTAGTGATAACAAAATTTTCTTTAAAATAAAAATATATTATTTCCTAGTTTAGAATAATTAAGTTATAATATTTACATAAACTTTTCGTGTTTTTTTTTTTTTATTTTAAATTTTGATGTTTAATGGTAACTAGTGGCTTAAAGCAGATATAGGACTACAAAGGGTTAATAATTAAAAGACCTTGGCAATAGAAAGAAATTAAAGACAATCCAATGTTTTTCTTTTTGGTATCTGCTGCAAAAATTGCAAACTTAATGAAATATTTTAGCCTATTGCTGTGCCTTTTGAATGTATTAAGATAACTTTAATCAACTTCAATTAAAGCACACACTCAAGTTAGCTAGAGACTTATTAGACATGTTTTAGGCAAAAAGCTAAATATGGTAAAATATACAGAAAAAAAGTGTGACATAATTCATGAGCAGTTCAAAAAATAAATTCTAGAATAATTTTATACAAACTGACAGTTTGTGTGCAATGCTATATTATCATTAGAGTAATAACTCCATTTACAAATAATTCTAAGAGCTTAAAATTAATCATAATCATGGTATGTAAATAAACAGACATTAATTTAAATGAGCTAAAGCTAGACAAATATGAACACAAGGAAAGCTGCTAATTCTAGATAGTTGAGTGCCAAAAATCTTGGTTTGATTGATTCGGGAATGATATTGCATCAACAAAAAAATATTATTCAGAGGTAAAATTCATAAATGAATAACTATTCATCATAAGATGCCTAACACGTATAAGATTTGTAAATTATTTCAGTGAATAAGACATACACTGGGACGTAACACTATTAAAAAGCTATCAATTTTGTGTATCACTTATATCTTTAAAATTGAGTGCATTTCAATTGAGATTAAACTTTCATATAATCCTAACATATATATATATAATATTAAATCTGGAATCGGTCATTGTAATCCTTAAATTTAAATAAGTAATATTAAGTAATCTAAAACTTTTTCCAATAATATATACACAAGAACATTTAAAATTAATGATATTTAAAATTCCTTATGTATGAAGTTTGCTCTGGTGAAAATAAAACAATTCGCAAATAAATTATGAAACTTTTATTTGAAAAACATATTGTAATGTACCTTATTTTTTGATTAAAAATAAAATAAAAGTACCATTTCTCTCAGCTTGTTTTCTTCAAGTTCTTGCACTTTTCTTTCTAAATTTTTTATATATTGAAGAACCTGCACTGTAAGAGATTTTAAAAATTATTACAATTAATATAAATTATAAAATTAAACAGCAATTAGCTATAATTTTGAATTGTATCTATTTTAATAAAAAAGCAATACCAAACAATAATTGTTTCTGATTAAAAGAAAAAAATCAGAAAAAGCATGTTTCAAATATTTTATAAGATTGAAATTACAAGAAAACATGCCTTTTTCATGTCTTCGCTACTATATTGATATTTTTAGCAACAATATTTTTCTTACACAACTATACTTTAACACGTTGACTGCCGCACACGTTTACAGTGAAATCTCCTTCAGGCCCGAAGTACCGCTGTACGAATGGTATTCGGCTAAGTTCTCCCACCAATATTTTAACAATGCGAGTGCCTGGTGATCACAAGAATAATATCTTGCTACGTTAGTTTTTCTGGCATCATGTCTATTTATTTGTGTCTGTTGCTTTGCATCTGTTTCTTATCTCACCACTTTACATGATCAGTTTGAATATTTGCCGAGTAAAGAGGAGTATAACTTAAAATCTTTACCCTAAATCGTTGAAATATTAAAAAGAAAAATGAAAAACTTATTTCTCAGTGAATCAAACAGCAGTGAACAAGAAAGCTTTTATGATGCTCACAATAATTTTCTTAATAAATCCTTTTTGTATTATTTCTATTATAAGTTTCGTTACTTCCTGTGAAATATATTTTCATATACATATGGATATCCTTCCCAAGTAGCCGATCAGAAACTTTGCTGTCACCCGAATATGGGTCACACGGTAGTCAACGTGTTAAAAATATTGTACACATAAAACAAACTTAAAATTTAATTATTAGGTAGAGTACTAAAGGCGTTGCAATTTTGTCTTTTGATTAAATGTGTTAAATAAAACTTGTAGTCTAATAATGCCTATAAGTCTCTAATACCTATTATGTCAAACATCTATAGATACATATCAAATTACTATAATTTATAGATAAACTATCATTCCAGAGGCCCTTTCCCTCCCTTACTTCAGAACTCCACTATCAAAGGGTGGTAGACGGAAGAGAAATTCTATATATGCTTTCAATTATCTTCGCAAAAAAAAAAAAAAATTAATGCTTAATTTTAATTCTCTCTGCAGTACTTTTTACAGCATCAATCAAAACTAAAGAAATACAGAGAGTAGCATTTTAGATTTTCCACAGATTTTTTCTGATTACAGTATATGAACGTAATTTTGAAATCAGCACTTTTAGAAAGATAATTCAGTATATAACGCTTGCCTGTTTGTAGATTTTTGAAAAAAATTTTTGCTCCTGTGTAATTTAAATTAAAATTAATTTTTAGTTTTAGCTAAATCAGTAGTTTTTCGCCAGTTTAAATAACTAAAAAAAAGTAAATTTTTTAAAAATCTAAACACAGAGAAATGCATAGTATTAAATTATCAATCCAAAATCACTATTGGCATTATTTTAAATTTCCACTGTCAAAGGGAGGTAATGAAATTCCTTAAATTGTAAAGAACTGTTTCACCATCATAGAAAATGAGCCTATGTTTCATTCATTTTTCTTAAAATTTTGTGCTGACCCACACTATTATATTTTATAACTGCTGTGGAACAGCTAACTTAATTTTTGTGTTTACGACTAGTAATGTTCAACTCCGTAGCCTTGTAATTTTGAACCCAGCCCACAAGTCAAGGGAACTCCTTGATCAAGTACTGGCAGAAATTTGCCTTTGTGGAGGACTTTTTGCGGGAATCAGGATGGTCAGCCTGATGGTAAAAGCAAAATGTTTAGTGCATTATTAAATGATAATCAAAGGTAAGGAATTTACTTCAATCACAAAGTAAAAATTTTTTTATGGTTTACTGGAGGCAGTCTAAATGGCTGGCGCGTACATGCAATGAGGTCCACCTTAAATCTATTTTATTTCATAACCGTCGTTGAGCAGCCGACCCAATTATTGAGTTTAGGACACTAATGTTCAACTCCGTAGCAATGCAATTTGGAAACACAATCCAGAAGACAAAGGAACTAACCTGCATTTGCGTTACACGGAGGGGAAAATCTTCCATGGTTAGCCTGACAGCAAGGAGACTTTAACCCATGATCTGTCTACCCATGAGGATATTTCACGTCAGCACTGTGGTCGGTGCAAGCCGGATACAGAATTTGTATCGACCAGCTATTGCTGGAATTTTTTACACGGTTCACCTTATTGGAAGGTGAACACTCAATCCCTTGAGCTACCACAGCTCACAATATTCAATTGTCAAACCAGTGATAACAAACAAAACATTAAATTAAAATAAAAAATTCAAGAAGGAGAAAAACTAACCATTAATGACAGAGCGATGACTCTGAATGGAGTCCTCAACATTTTGTGCCATTCTGTGAGGTGAAAAAGGAGAATGAACAGTTGTGAGCAATCCCAGCTCTTCATTATTTGTTGAGCTACTGCTGCCATCACCATCATCTCTTCGAGAGCTCAGGGGCTCACCACAATGACTGCAAGAAGCACGAGACCTTTCCTCATCCAAGCACAGGCACAATTTCTGTTGGGGAAGCAAATAATTCTAAATAACTTCAAAGAGGGATCAAATAATTGTTAAAGAAATAGAAAACACTCTGAATAATTTTGACTAGATTTAGATCTAAACTTAACAGTACAGAGAATAAAGCTTAAATAGTTAAAAAAGAACATGTAAATTAATAAAAAACATAATTTATATCTCAAGGACACTCCCAGTAAACACATTTTTTAATTTCGTAATCAAAAACAGCACAAAATAATTACATAACTGCATATCTTTCAAGTAAAATAACTAACAATAAAAACAATGATTCAGTATTGTATTTATTGAAAAAAATGAAACCTTTATTCAGGGAGCATAACCAGATTTTTCAACAAAAAATAAGCACTTAAGCACTCAAAAAATATTTTTAATCACTTTCCCCCCCCAAAAAAAAAAACATAATTAGGATCTGTGCAGTTATAAAATTATTTTTTTCTATTGTTTAAAAGTTCTTAATTTATGAACATAAATCAATAACATTCAAAAACATTTTCACAAACTTTACATAATCATGATAAAATAACTAGTTTCTGATAAATATTGCAGAGAAAATTACGAAAATCATGCATCTTTTGTAATTTAAAATGGCAATGGACACGGCAAAGAAAAAATCTCTTTTGAAAGATAGAAAATTAAGCATTTTCTACAAACCCTAAATAAAAAAAGCACATATAAGGGGTTTTAACCCGTTCTTTCTCGCTCCTGTGAAATTTTCGGCCTGAAGTGTTTATTAGTTACGCGCCAATAAGAATAAAACTAATTCATTTCCTTTGCCTGGAAAACATTTTATTTCTCATTTTACACACCAAATGGCAGTACCAGGATATTTTTAAGGTAATTGCAGTTAGTTTATTTTAAACTAGATGTCAGTTTATTTTAAACTACCTGTAAAAAAATAGGCACTTTTATGACCGTTTTCTTGAAAATTAACCGATCGTTAAGGGGTTAAGAATGTAGCTAAATAACAAGCACTTTTTAAACACGCTATGCATCCTGTTTATTTAAAACAAAAAACATTTACAGATTCAATTCGGAAACAAAAAAATTATGTTTCAATTAATTTTTTATACTTTATAATTATTTAAAAAAAATTAATTATGCTTTGAGCTTATTTAGGCTATAAATTGAGTTAACCTCTAATCTATTTTTTTTTTTTTTAAACAAAAACTTAAAATTATATTTACCATATGACATTTTATTCTCATGAAAGAAACTTGAATAAATTCTTAAATATATTTTTACAAATACTAATGAAGCAGAACTCTTTTAACAATAATACATTTATCCAGTTAATAATTTAAATTATTGCAATTTTTAATAAATTAACATAAAATTAGTATAAAATATATTGCAATTTAAGCGAAAATCAATTATTTTGATTTCTCAAAAAATAACACTAAACCTTATGGGACAAAAAAGATTTTTCAAACCGGCTTTTTTAAGAGATTTCTTTCTACCTTCAGTTCGAGATTATCTCGAATAAGCTCTTGTTGCTTATTTTCTAACTCCTGCAGCTTATTTTGATAAGATGCAACTTCTTGACGCATCACACTAGCTGTATACCTCCCGAATCTTTGCCATTCTCTGGCAAGTTTTCGCCCTTTCTGGCGGTCATCATCAAGAAAGCAACATAAATCCCTCAACTCTTGATTGTCATCTTGATACCTTTGATTTATTTCATTGAGATTCCTTACTTCTTGCATATGGGCCTAAAATGGGTTTTAAAACAAATATAATAATAATATATAGAAATAATCCTATAATATATAATAATTATTAGTATAATAATAACAAATATATAATAATTAGATTTCAAAACACAGTAGCTTCATATTAACTCAAACCTGTTGAGTAATAAGAAAAAAAAAGGGATAAAAAAGGGAAAGTTAAGAGTAAAAATATAAATGATAACATGAAAGTGTATAAGATCAAGTTTGCTATTAAAATCAAACACGTCCGTTCTTGAATCAGTTGCATAACATTGATTATGTCAATAACAGTTAATGAAAATGCACACAAACAAAGGATGATTAAGATTGGTTCTAAATCAGGGCTGTAGAATTGGAATTGCAAAAATTTCTTTGACCTTGGTTTATTGAAAGTTAGGTACTATTAAAAAAAAGTGCTGGATACCGTAAAAAAGTAGACAAATAATTATATCCACAAAAATATTAAGTTCGTATATTATCCACAGCTTGACTCACTTTCTCACCAACACGAGTCCGGCGCCCTTCCAATCAGGCTATTCCGGCACTTTCTGTTATAGGTATTTTATATTTAAAAGTTTTTACATACTATAGAGTAGCATAAATAAACATTAGGTTGCTTGTGAAAATTAAATAAAAGAAGATTTGTATAAGATGATAGATAAGTATTTTAAGATTTTCCTTTCATTACCCATTCCCAGTAAATAGAAAAACTGCTTTTGTATTGTAGTTAACAATAGCTACAACTAATTTTTTTTAAAATGTAGCTAGTGATTACAAATTACTTAACTACTTTTAAGGGACAAGTTCTTCTGGAGGATCAATTTACACATTTGTTCAAAATTTAAAAAAAGTTGACAATAAAAAAAAATAAAAAAAATTGCGTTTTAAATTAAAATGAAAAATTTACATGTTGCTAATTTTTTTTTCTTTCAACCTTCAATTTTTTGTGCCTTTCTTGACAGTAAATTTTTCTTTCAAGAAATTCTACAAAACTATTCTTCAAATATTTATGATTCTATTCAGAGTTTAAAGCATAAGATAACTTAACAGAAAAGAGAATCTAGTAAACCCGAGACATTATCATTTAAGATTTGTATCGACATCCGTGTAAGATTTGCACCAACACTCGTGCAAGATTTGCAACAACCAGATTTGAAAATTAGTTGTATTTGAATCTTGTTTCCTTACTATTAATAGTTAAAAGCAATTGCAAAAAAGCGATATTTACTATTTTTTTTTATTGCACTACTCACCACTAATATTTTAAAAAAGTAATATTTTACACTACAAATATAGAAATAAAGTAGTAACCACTGAAGTTTCAATATATACTAGTTCTGACTGTCAGAATGTATTACAATCTTATAAAAGGGGTTATTGTGACAGAAAGTGAAAAAAAAAAACTGAAAATTTTATGTGCAAAAAATTGATATTAAGATAAAAATTTACATAGGATACGTGTGTCCTATTTAATATAATTTTTTGAATTAACATTTATAATTAAATTACCTACTAATGAAGAATATTACAAGAATCGATATTGGATTTTAAAATCATGTGAATATTAATCGGGGCATTGGCTTTTAAAATCCCGGGAACAGGGTGCATAGCCAAATCTTTCAACAAAAAATAAGCACCTTTTAAGTACTTTTTAAGCACTCAAAAAATATTTTTACACACTATATTTATTAACAAAATGCAAAGTAATCTTCAAAGACTTTACATGATCATGATAAAATGATTAAGAGATTTTTCGGTTCGATATCAGAGGGTGGAAAAGCGATATTTGATTTTAAAATCGTGTAAATATGAATTATGATATTGGACTTAAGAAACATGAAAATAAAAATTCCATCGTTGAATTTCAAATCACGTGAATGCAAATCAAAAGTTAATACAAGAATCGATGTTGAATATTACAATTGCGTGAATACGAATCGCGACATTTGATTTTAAGCAGTTCCAAATTTTCAAAATGGCAAAAATTCGCCAAACTAAATAAATCTAACTGGCGGAAGAATCACATGTATGGAAACTTTTCGTTAACAGAATATAGCAAAAGCTTCAAAATTTGGCCGGATTTTTTGATTCGCGAGAGTCAGAAAACATATGGTCTTGAGATACTAGTGATTTTTGCGGAAAACCACGTCTTATTTCTAGTTTTTACACTCGGAAGAATGTTACGAAAAATACGGGATTCTGTGGTACACCCGGAATACAATCCCCCCTGTTAAAAATAAATAAATTTCCCACAAAACCATTTATTAAAACATATAACGACAGATTCTTCAGTCATGAAGAAACTAACTTATTAACAACCCTGTTAGGTTGCAATAGAGATTATGCATGATTCAATCATCTTTACCAGCTGATGAAACACACCAATCAATGTCCAAACTGATCTGAAAGTTAATAAAAGTAAATATCCCAATCTAACCAATTAAAGAGAATGTACCTGGATTCGTTGATTAATATCTTTCACTAAGGCCCCATTACTCATCATAAGCTTCACATTTTCAGATTCAGCTCTTCTAAATCTTCGAAGTAGCTCCTGAGGTGGCAAATGAAGAAGCTCCTCGTCACTCATTCGATTATTAGAAGTACCTGCCATCATTTTTATCTGTAAAAAAATATAGATGTCACCTTAACATTAAAAAAAAACTACACATGTTTAATGCGTAAAACTGATGATCTGTATATAATTTTTTAAAAAAGAAACTAGGTAGAACATGAATATTTGAATATTGATGGTAACTGAAGTCTATTTTTATTTTTTTAAAAAAATAACACACTTACAATAGTTTTTTCTCTTACAGTCTTTTGAGTTAATGATATATTACTTATTAAATTGAGTACCATAGACGCAGAAAAAAGGTGAAGAAACTCTTTAGGCAAAAGAAAAGGCTCCTTGATGAAGAATTGTTTAAAGATGTTGAACATCTATCTATCTATCGGAAAATCAACTGCAGTCGATTGGACTTTAAACAGACCTCTAGTCTATGCAATAACAAATTTGAAATTATTAGTGATAAACAAGACATGCTAAAATGATGGCATGAACATTTTAATGAACTTCTTAATGAAAATTTTGAGGATGTTGAAATAATTGCACCTGAATTCATAAATGACATCGAAGTTAAGACTCCAACTATTGAGGAGATCAGGGCTGCAATTAAAAACTTAAAGAATAAGAAGGCTTCGGGACATGATCTTATTTCAGCAGAACTACTAAAAAATTGTGAACCTACCTTATTCAGAAATTTATTTGAACTTATTACTGACATCGGCACTCTGAGATCATGCCAACGGATTGGAATATTAGCATTTTGTGCCCAATTCACAAGAAAGGAGATCCTATGATCTGTGCCAACTATCATGGCATTAGTCTTTTTTGAATAACTTATCAAATTCTATCTAGAATTTTATATCTCAGACTGTTACCATTTATTGACTCACAAATAGGAAAATATCAATGTGGATTCCGTGTTGGAAAATCAACTAAAGATCAGATATTTTGTCTCCGTCAGATTTTAGAAAAATCAATGGAATTTAACATTGAAACACATAATTTTTTTTTATTGATTTCAAAGCTGCTTTTGATAGTATCAATAGAAATTATCTTTTTGAAACAATGAATACTTTTAAAATATCTTCAAAACTCATTAAATTAACGAGACTTACATTGTAAGATACAAAGTGTAAGATTAAGTTTCTGGGGTCTCTGTCAGAAAATCTTGTTACATTCACAGGTTCTCTCTCCTGTCTTCTTTTAAAAATTGCACTTGAGTATATATATATATATATACACACACACACACATATATACAGAC